TTTTGCTTCTTTTTGTTCTTCTCTTTTTTGTTTCTGTTCTTTTTTTTTCTGGGGCTTGGTGTGGGAAGCCGATTTTGGGTCAAAGCCAATTTTGGGGAACCAAACTTGGGGGAATGTGAAGCCTATCTTTTTTTGGGGTTTTCGAGTTGTGACACAATACATTCATTTTACGTGCATCAAAGTCGCCCTCTAAGTGGTAGTTTATAGGGAAAGAGACCCAGTTTTCTGACTTTGATTTGCACAAGGATCACCCAGGACCCGAGGATGAAACCAACCAGAGAGCCCGAAGGAACACCCCAAAGACACGCCAAAGCTGGGATTTCATGTTGATTTCCTGACCAACATCAAAGGATCCTTGACACCACTCCAAACAGTTGTCACTTAGGGTAGTTTGGAGCCTTGAAGCATATTCGCGCCTTGTCCCTCCCGATGCTACCATCAAGCGCGACACAGACCAAAGATATCACGCTCACCCGCATTCCGCACGGTGGGGTTCCTGAACTTACTGAACTGCCTGGTTTGGACCATCTCCGTCCATTTTTTCCAACTCCTCAACCCCTGGGTGTGTGCTTTGCATACCCAACAAACGCGGAACAGACCAGACAGTGGATGTAGAAGAACCTTGATCAGGAAGCCCCAGTCAGGTACCCCTCCATTTTTTTTGTTTGAGAATCACACCAAGCTGTTGCCTCCAAATACTTGCACCAATCTGAGTCAGTTTTCTTTGAACCCGTTGGGAAAGGGTGTGTGTGTGATTCCTGAGGCTTGGTATCCTATGTTTGGTTATTGGGTAACGGAGAGCTCTGCCGAGCATTGCCTCCCGGAGATTTGCAGTTCATTGTTGCTCTTTTTGCAACAGCCTGCCAGGACGTTTGCCTCAGCACCCCTCAATTGGTGGTTTGGATTGGCGGTTCGGGGGTTTAAATTTTAAACCTCAGTTCCTTTTGAAGCAAATGGGTATGGTGCTCCCTGTGCAAACCACCAAAGCAAACCACTAATTCGGCTTGTGACCCGGCCCGTTGGCTCTGCCCGGTTTTGACACAGCTGCCCCCAGGCATATATTTCTTTCTGTGAGGAATTTATACCATACCCCACCCTAGAAGCCTAAACTTCTGGCAAGGTATCACCTGGACCCTAAAGCCTAACGGACTGGCAAGGTATCAACAAACCACGAAGACACCTGGACCATGGAGCTCTTGTGGGGGGGTTTCTGCGGAGGAGTCCGAGGAGGAGGATGTGTGGCCGCTGCCCAAAGGTTCCATCTGAAGTGATGCGCTGTGCTGTTCCAGGGTGCTGGTTGGGCACGGCGTGACCGATTTTTCTCCCTAGTTTTTGCCGTCAGGCTTCGTTTGATCTGGTTTGAAGCGCTGTAAACAGGAGTGTCCGAATTTCCTCGGTGGGTATTTCAAGAGGACGGAACCTTTCCTCATCCAAGAGCACGCAGGTGTGGGTTTCGGAGGCTACGGATGCTCATAAAACTAGGTACCTTTCCTTTTCTTGTGTAAGGCAGTGCACAAGTATCCCTGCTCTCAGTGGATTTTAAGCCTCCATACAAAACCGACCCATGCTCACCACATTTTTAGTCAGACGGGTCGCGACCGAGGGCCGAGTACCCGTGGCCTCTGGGGCGGAAGCTTTCCAGGAGGAGCCGGGGGTGCAGACGCGCCGCTTCGAAGGGGCCCGTTGACCAAGAGGAAGCAATCCTTAATCCTTACCTGGGGTTAGGAAGGGGTCCCCTTTGCAGTGGCTTTCCTATAGGGATTATGGATTAGGATTGGCCAAGCCTCCATTTTGAACAGCCCAGTTAAATGTTAACACTCAGTTCCTGAGCTCATGGACTTTAAACTTTGTGGGAAGACCATTTTAGTGGCAAACGGACTTTTTTTTTTGGCCAGTCCACTCAGGAAGTGAGACCATGGCAATTTATAAGGCTTCCCTTGCTCTCTACTTGCAATTAGGGTATCCACCGAAGCAATTGGGGCTCCCTTCATTGGAAGCGCCTGGCAGAGATGAGCATCTTTGGGAGTTCCCCCCTCAGGGTCCAACAGCCAGAGAGGCTCTTTTGTTTTCTATGGCCACTGAGGAAGTGCCCAGCACCCTCTCCCAAGAGAAAAGTTGTCTCCCAAAGAGGTCAAGCATATACTTCCATGTTTGGTGGTGGGAGGGCAACAAAACACAGTTGACGCTTGGAGGCAGTTTGACGGCCAGATGGCTGTCCCAGCTTTTTGGGTGGTCTTTTGACGTCGGATTGGAGCGCGGAGACGTGTAGAGCCATGGGCAGCATTCACTGTATGGCTGTTGACATGACGGACCCAATTGCCACCGACATTCGCAGATTCTCTAGGTCATTCGCGAGAGCCTTCAAACGATTTGAAACTCACGCCAATCATTTGCACTCCTCTGCCGTCGGTATGGGAAGTCACCATTCAGGGGGTCCTGTTGGAACTTTTTACCGGCGGATTCATCGCCATTTGCATTCGTTGCTCCGGTCAGCAACCGTCCGGTCTTTTGCCGCTCTTAGCCGACTGCTGAAAACCAAGATCGTCGGAAGGCACAGGTGGGGCTGGGGTAATGGGTTTCAAAGACCAACCAACACTTCAATCCGCCATTACAGTCCTCGCAGGTCGCAGGTCCATTCCTTTTGCTGCTGCTGTTTTTCCTGCAAATGGACACATGTTCTGTGTATTGTACTGCAGCGTATGAGCTAGATACTTCCAACTGACACTGCATATCTGTGACACCTGGGGCTTGTGTGGACCTTCCCTTTTGTCAGCAATCTGCTTCCAACTGCCCCAGGTGTACCTTCCATGGGGTTTCTCCGAAGAGAGGCACTCGCAAGCAAACTCCTGGGCTCAAATACGAGGGTACCCTTTTCGAGTGCGATGTTTTCTCTGGAAAACCACGTGGGAGACGCCCCACCCATTTTGGGGGTGCCCTTGAATACGGCCGCGGATGGGCACACATCTTTCTATCAGGGCGGATCCGTCAGGAAGTCCGGGAGAAGCTCAGGAGGCCTGCCACGAGCAAAGGCTTTATGGTCGAACAGGGCCACTTAGCTTAGTTTCCGTTTGGGTTTCCTTGATTTGGCTTATGTAAGAAAGGTGGCCTCGAAACAAACACATGCCGAATTGTTTGAAGTGATTTTACTTTCTAATGTCAACTAAGTATGGACCAGTATCAAGCATATGATTTTGATCGGGACAACTGAGGTAGAAATGGGTTGCCTGAGATGGGGATCGTGGACAGGTTACCTGCGGCTTTCCTTGCCCGCACAAGGCTCCAGCAGCCCAAGGTCTTCCCAAGTGGACTGGGGTCTCTTTTGAACGTATTTACATGTTAATTTTAAGGCTCGCCAAATATGGACCAGAACTCAGACTCATTTTTTTGGTCGGGGTTTACATGAGTTAGATTTGGCTTGCAGGGGACTTCAACACCAAACTAAGTCAATATTTGTTTTATCCCCTTGTATGACCGGGTAAATGAGTTTGTGGTTGATCCGGTTTTTCAACCAGTATTCATGGGTATCATCCATTCCACAGTATGACTTTGTTGCCCCAGGTTGGTACATGACTTTGCCCCAGGTACAGGGTAGCGTCTCACCGCGATCTATAGAGGAACGCTGGAAGGGGTTGAGCAATGGCTGGCACATCGGCTAGGGAAGTGATAGGCAAAACTTTTTAGGTGATACATCAAACATTTGGAGGGTGAGACGCAAGATTCCATCAGCTAAGAATAAGGATCAATGAGCATGCCCACCCATACTCAGTTTCAGTTTCAGTTTCAGTTTCAGTTTGATTTGATAGAATCGCTGGCCTGCATGTCACACCACCATCATCATTCATTAATGCGACCGCCTCTCTATCCCCTTCTTCCTGCCCTCCCATCCAGGTTGGCACCACTGAATCAGGAGCGCGCATCCAGTGTTCACCAGCAAGTGGCGCATTGCGCCAGCAACGAAACTTTATTTTTATTTTTGCATGGGGCACAGGACTGTTATTTGTGGATCTCAAGCGTAAGGCCACACAGGGGCATTTGCCTTGCCTGCCAAAAGCGTTGGCATCAGGTAGCCTTAGGTAGCCTTAGACAACCCAGGCCTGCTTGCTGGGACGAGGACCCCTGCGAAGTTTGGAACAGCTCCATTTACCTATTTGATGTTTGTCTCCACCTGCTATTCATGAGTACACCATGATATTTGTTCAGTCACATGAGCAACTCGTTTGCATGATGGATGTTTGCTTCCAGCCTCTTGGTGGCTCAACAGAAATTCGAGAACGCGGCCCACGGCCAATGTCTGGGGCCAGAGAAGCTTTGCCGTCTGCAATGCTTGAGCTCGCAACAAGCTGACGGGCAGGGGGCACCTCTTGGCATCTCTTGCAGCACTCAACGCGTGATGCGAGGCACGCGAGTGCACCTTATCTCATCTAGTTAGCCCAGGACAAATTCGCCCGGGGCTCTCTCTGTTGGAATAAAAAAAGGACGACTCTGTGGAGCTCTTTGGGTTTACAAATGAAGCTGTCGGGCTGGGGGGCTGGGGCTGGGGTCGATTCTCCCATGAAGATGCTCGCTTGTTTCCAGTGAGTGCATGTTAAGCAACGTTGCCGCGCTGCTTCAAAGCTATTCTGCGCTGCTTCGGATGGAAATAGACAAGGCTGCATAGGTGTGGGGTGGGCGAGAAATTCCAGAAGATCATAGCCTTCCATGGCCCCCGCGCCTAAAATGAAGGCACACGAAGAGGCTAGTGCAGCGGTGTAAGGGAAACGGGGGCCTGTTGGCAGCAAGTCACCAGCCACCCCTGTGGTGGATGTTTTCAAGCAGGAAACCAAGAGGAAAAAGCATTTTAAGGGCTCCGGGATTGTGGGACATACCAATGTGGGAGCTGTGGTCTTTGGTGGCCAATCAACCTGCTTTTCCAAGCCTCGTGTGAGGGGGCACCTCTTCATGGGCGATCCGCAGTCGTTTCTCGGTTCTCCTAGCGCGGCCTCTCGTTTGAGGAAGGGAACATGAGCCGCGACCTCAGGCGAACGACTGGAGATGCATTTGGATGCACTGGAAAGGTCGGCTGGAGAGACCCGGCCCAAACTGTTTGTGGCAAACGGTTTTTCAGCTAGCGCCAGAGGAAAGTCATTCGTGTAGCATCCTAGAATCATTTGAAAGAACTGATTTGGGATATCCAACTAGGGGGTCCCGCTTCGGGCAGATGAATTGTCTTCCAGAACCCTTGAGTGAGGTTCCCAATGTCTTCGGATTTGGAAAACCCGTGGGTATCGGACGCAGAGAGGTACGAGTTGTTTGTTGTAGATCTCTTTGGTGGGCATCATGCGGGGATTCGCGTCCACCAGCCATGTTCCAGGGATGTTCCCCATTCAAATTTCACGGCCACAGAACGAGGGCCGCGCCATGCGCAAAGGCCTCGCCCACTCTGGATGGCTCAAGCTTTGGGAAGACAAGATTGGGGATGTTCTGCTTGTTGTTTGGGCCACCCCCAGTGTGGTTGGCGATAAAGTGAACCAAAAGGAAGCCAGCCTTTCTGTGGGTGAAAGTATTTTGAGACAACGCCTTGCTTAATTTTCCAAAGATAGAGGATACCGTGATCTACAAAAGCATCCAGATAGAGCTGGTACAAGGATCAAAATGGTTTCATCCTTCTACGATCACGACTAAATTTGGCTTTCATGTACCCCACTCAGGCACATCCCCATTCATATTCTTTGGTCCCATAATTCGTACGCGTCCTTTTCGACGGCTGCGAGACCTGTTTCTGAGGCCGGGCAGTGCTGCAAGTCTTTGAGGAGTACCAGAAGGCCAGTGGGATCTCCGCAAAAAGGATTAATCCGCAGGAGAGGACGCACCCCTGATTAGTGCGGTACCCTGGATTCATCCAAAGCTAACATCACCGCGTGTACCAAAAAATGGACGTGGACCTGGACACGGGCCTTCTTAGGTGGATGGGAAAACCCTCCGCTCGCCCACTACCCACGATTGGTAGACAGAGGGTAAGAATAAGTCTCGGCTTCCCCAGGTTGTTGGAAACATTGAGGGCTGACTTGGGGAACACCCGCGGAATTTCCCTCAAACCCAATGTGTCCTTCTTGCTGGGCCTAAGAAGGGTGGGATTCTGATTCCGGCCCCACAAAGAACTGTAGAACACGTGAAAAGGGGGCCGGAAGAGAAGGGAAAAAATGTCCTTTGATTTTTTCGGAGCCAACAACTCCTTTGAGTTAGAGAAGCCCAAGCCCGGCTGAAGCTATGATGCCGAGCTGACGGCGATGCAGCTTGGGCCTACGTATAGGTGCTTCCCTCATCCTCAAGCTTGGATGCGCCTTGGGTTCCTCGGAGTGGTTGCTTTTTTTGAGGATGTTACGTCAATGGACCCGGTGCAGTATCTTTATCTGATTGCATCGCATAAGTGCCTGGAGAGGCCTGCCCCGTGCCGAAGGAGGTCGGTTTCCAAAAAAAACTTCGAAGGGTGCAACTTGAGGTAAGGAACGCCCTCATTTCATGGGCCAAGTGAGGACATAGTCGAAAGACGCAGTCCATGAGTCTCTAAGAAGGACCCAGAGATTTGGCAAGGCACCTGCACGGGAATCAAAGGCAGTTGATTGCTCCAGTCCGGCATTCTGGGCAGTCCAAAGTGAATGCTTCTGCTCAAAGTACCTCATTTGAGCGGCTGTGTTTTTTGAGGCTCGGTACCCTTTGACCTTGGTCAGGAAACCAACATGAATGGTTTTCAGAATCCCCGTGCCACTATTCCCGCCCAGCACGCTGTCAGGCGCGTGTGACCTTCGTCCAGACGGTGGCAGACCTGGCCGGGCTCTCCGGGATGTGAGCTTGAAGTGGGCCTGACGCCACACGCTATTTTCCATTGACTTGCTTTGGGGAACAGATGGTCGGTTCTTTTTTAGCAAGGGGCTCCTTGCATTGCCCTTGTGGGTAGTTCAAGCATCACCTGTTGAGTCATTTTGATGTGCCTTTCCTTTGTTGGCGATGTTCAAAGGGGACATATCTGGAGCACTGTTACATGCCATATGTTTTTGTGGACAAATGGTAGAAGCACTCACGTCACAGGGCGACCACATCCAGGCTGAAAAAGAAATCAACGGTCGAGCTGAAATAGAACGAACTGCCCTACAAACCACAGCATGGGTTAGAGGGGATGGGGGAGCTCCTAGTCGTGACAGGTAAGATTGGTGTGTGACACACGCCTCACAAATACTGTGGACTTTTATATCTTTTTTCCGAGGCGACGCGGCCGCAAAATATCGATGCCCTGCAGAATGCAGGCGGGACTGGTGAGGCTTGCGGTTTCTTTTGGATGTCAGCAAAAGGGAGCGGGTTTATTTTGCCAGACATGAAACAGATACCAAACGGGTTGTAGAAGGCATGCACCAAGGACAATCAGGTGTGTGGCATCGATCCTATTTGTTCGAACCCGTTGAGCAGGTCACCCAAGTTTTGAACCAAGCCAGGTTGGTGAGAGAGAAACGGGTAAAGGAAGGAAGGCACTGGAAGGGGATCAAAGTGAGGCCGCCAGGATTCGAACCTTGAAATATGGTCATGCAGCGTAGTATACCAATTTTCCCCTGATAATCATTGTATATTTTGTGGCTGATCAAATACGAACCAGAGTCTGCCAAGATTATTCTTGGCGTATCCTGGGGTTGGGCCAAGCTTCCAATTAGATCAAGGGCTTCCCATTTCGACTTACCAAAAGCACCGGGGAAAAAAACAACAAAAAACGGCAACTCCGGCGAGATGTGAGCCACCAGTGAGACCCTTTGCTGGGATCCCTTGTCAAATCATTTTATATTGTAAGTTTCGCTAAGTCCGAACCAACATCAAACACCTTCTGATTTTCGGCTGGCAGAAGTTGAGGCAGTGTTGCAGCTGTCGTTTCTTGTAGTTTCGTGTCCTTTAAATTGAACTACCGACAAAAGAACTGGCGCCTCTTTTCTTCCATGGAGTTCCACAGGAGGTTTCCCCTTTTCAAGTCAACATATTTCCATAAGATTCCGCTCAACGCCGCTGGAAATTTCCGCGTTGAGGCGTGATGGCGCTGCTTCGGCCCTTGCTGCTGGACAACGTGGCGTCCATCCAGCAGAGCGCGGCCTTGGCGCTCGGGAGGCTGGCGAACTACAGGCGGGGGGTGAGGGGCGGGGGATCAAGAGATGGGGGCGGTGCTCGACAAAGCCGGGCGTGGCGATTTTTGAGGGCAGCCCCCCAGTTTGGGCGGGTTTCGGAGGGGAGCCTAAAGAAGGAGGTTGGAGGATATTGTCCAAGTGGGCAACCTGCAATGGTGAAGGCTTTCTTCGGGGTCGGGAACAGGTGAAGTTCAACAGCAGCTTCAACATGCTCAAACGGCTTTTCTAGGGGCAACCTCCGCATGATTTCTGGGGATTCCGTTTTTGAACACAACGACGGTTGAGAAGAAAGGGGAATCAATCCGCCCTGGAATTATCGTTGCAACAGCCTCCTTTCGGTTTCTCTTGGGGACCTTTCGGATCGTGAAACACGCTTTGCAACCAGAGGTTCCGATACATCCAAAGGAGGGAGGGGTTTCTTTTGGCTTGTTTGAACTGGGCCGCAAAACCATGAACATTTTTGGGATCTTTGAAGGCCCCAAGAAGCGATATAATTTGATAGCCTCACCTGTCCAACCCACAACGCTCAGACATGCCTACAGTCCCTCCGACCACCGCCTGTTGGGTCAATTTAAAGTGAGTGCCCTATAGGGGACACATTTAGAGGTTGGAAGTTGGAAACCCTGTTTCTCCAAGTTTCCCAGGGCTTGCAAGTGCATCTCTGTTCCCTGCCCGTGCTGTTGAAAGGTTGGCAGCCGAGCAAGCCACTTTGACTTTGAACTAGCGACTTCCACCAGCTTGAGTTTGATTGAGAAACGTTGAGAAAGTTCCATGAGCCCTTGGTGTGTGGGCCCTGGCTGTTAGTAGACACTGTGCCCCAGGACAACCATTCAGACCCACTATATAATAGGTATGTAAACGGTACATGAAAAGGGGCCCATGCCAATGGCACATTGTAAGTCTATCTGGAGAGTTTAGTTAGATCTGGGACATTTCTACAACAGCAGGGCACATTCTGAGCCTCGCCTTCTTTTTTCCTTGTCCGTCAGTGACGAGCTCGCAGAGTCCGTGGTGACCCATGAGATCCTCCCTCAGCTTGTGTGCGCCGTGGGGGGTGGGGGGGGGGGGGGGTAGGAGGCGGCTCTGCAACTTGGGCTCTCAGAGGAAATTGGTTTGCCGGCCTTTGAACGGCAGCCGCTTTCTTTGGAGCCCGCAGAAAGCAAGCAAGTGGTCGTAAGGGTGGCAACCGCTATGTCACAGAAAGGTTCATTCTCCAACCACTCTTTAGATTTCCCTTGGTGGTTTAGTCCCGTGCAAATTGACGGAAGGAACCCAAAACGGGTGGCCCGTTGCCCTTGACCTCGAAAACAAACCAACCACCCGAAGGGGGTCTCTGATTTCGAGACGCCCACCTGGAAGCTGAATTCAAAAACTGTTGGGGTTCTATCTTGATTTGCACGAGAGTAAACATCAGCTGTTGAGTGAGTACTGATTGTGCTTGCCCTTGGCAAAATGCCGTTCACAGGGGAATTTAAACCAGACCTGAAGGTGCCCACAGAAAAACGAAAGGAGGTTCAAACCACTCATTTTTTCATCCCCTTGGTAGAAACTCAATGGTCGACCCGGGTTGCAGAGGTGTTTGCGGGATCAACCAGTTTTGGTGAGAGAATAAACCATTGTGGTTGTTCTTAACGGGAATAGCGGGCCCCTTCAAGTGATTACTTCGGCGGTGACACAGAAGTGGGTATTGAAGCGTTGAATGTTGAAGCCCATCATCTTCGAAGCTTGGTGTTTTCAACTGTCCACGTGGCCCATGTGCATTTCCCCGAAGCTCTCTATTCCAAATTTCGATGGCCTGGCTTTTTCTGCCCCGGTCCGCAGGGCTGCAATGGAAAATGCGGCAGAATTGAACACTTGACGTGCATGTGTGCAGGGAGCTCCGGAATGCAAGACATTTTGCCATGATGCATTGGGTGTGAACACAAAGAATTCCAGCAAGGGCTTTCGGGATTTCTTTTTGTTTTTCTCCTGCACTGGGGCCTTGGCAGGTGTTGTTTTTCAAAGACAAACAGCACGAAGTGTCCGCGAGACCGTGAGGCCTACTTGCATGCACATGTTTGGGTTTGTGAATGTGCAAGGGACTACACGACTGGCTGGCCAAATGGCAACTTGGTGATGAGCAGTTCTCGTCGAAGTGGGTGAGCTTGAAGCGAAGCTCGGCCAAGTCGCAAGGGGCCATCATCAATCATCCTTCTTTCAGTAGCGACAAGCAGGTGGTGGGTGAACCGCGCAAAAATCGTGACAAGGAGCACAGTGACTTGGAAGAAGCAGCTGAAGCAGGCTCCCTCTTATCTTCATCAGGGGTTCTAGCATGATCCACCTGCAAAAACAACATGAGGGAGACACAAAGACACAAAAAGCCGAGGCCGTTTCCATGGATCGTTTCATCTTGGTTTCCCTAAGCCACAGCTTCAGCAAGCGCCAAGCGGTTCGCGGGCCAGGTACTCCTTGGCACAGCAGAACCGCTTCTACAAGAAGGCCAGCCCCAGTGAAGGAAATGGCTTAAGTCCACTGGAAATAATAAAACATATTTCCAGTAGTGCTGCTCCTTCATCTTGATGTAGTTCCTGGAGCATTGGGTTGAATGCATAGGGTCCGCATGCTTTGGCCCTCTTCTTGGCTTTCTTGGCTGTATGGATTGTATGACCAGGGGGCCTGTCAGGGATGTGAGGGAGCCTCGGTTTCGTGCCGTGCATGAGGGTCCATGAAGCAGGGTTGCTGAAAGGATGCATTTCGGCCGTATTGAAAGGCGTCAACCATTCTATCAGCTGATTTGGAGGATCTGTGACGTGAGTCAGATAGCTTTTGGATCGATTCTTTTGGACAGCTGGGTGGGACCTGGCCAAACTTTGAAGCCACCGTGGGGTGGTCCGGCGTCGGAACCTAATTAAGGGGCACCAGGTGTTGCTTTCCAGATCCATTGCCGCAGTCGACGAGGTGTTACATGACCCCATGCCTGACTTGTGTCTGTTCTGTGTCTGGCTGCAACTCCAGCTGGTCTTGCGCAGAATTGAGGGGCTCCCGTCGCCAAAGGTCTTTTTCCAAGACCGATCCACACTCACTGAGCTGAGCTGACTCTTTGGGTGGTCAGGGCTGGAACAGGCCGCCAGGGCTGCGCTTTGGTCCCGGCACTGATTAACTGCGAGCATCTGAGAATGTGCCTTCTCCTGATTGGCGCACGGTATCCAACACCACACCATCCAATGTCAGATGTTTGATCGGTGAGTGTTCCCCTCAAAAGTGCAGGATTCCCCCCCCCCCCCCCGCGCCCCAATCAGAATCAACCATGTTCATCCTGGGTTCCCATTGTGGGGCATAGGGTTTGGCAAAAGCAAAGGATCCCCCCGAGGGTCTTGTGACTTGAAGTCGGTCGTCCAGTCTATGCTCAACTTAGGGACATGAGGGGACTCCCACATTTTCCCACAAAACGCAGAGACTCGCTAATGTTTCCATGTTACCTTTGGGGTAGCCGCATATTGTGACCGTGGCCCCGAATCCTCCCACTTGCTTTCAGGGTAGCAAGTAATCTTGGACGAGGGTATTGGAAGACTGCAGTCCGCTTGAAAAGCCCCTCCCCCAGACGTCAGCTTCCATGATTGTTGAAAGGAGGGCAGCGCTCGCAAACATGTTTGCCGAAGTTTGGTTCTGGCAACTTTCTGTGATACCGAGGGAATCCTCTTTTCTTGACGGATTAGGGATGGGAGTCTCACAGAAAGGCTCAGTTTCTCCAACCATTCCCATATTTTTACCCCTGTTCGTTTTTGTTCTGCCCCGCGAATTTTTCGGGGTGATTTCCCCAGGTTTCCACAGTTTTTCGGTGTTTTTACTGCACAGCGTGCGAACCCAACACGGGGTGGTCCCGCGAATTCCCATCTTTTCTCGTGGGCCCCGAAACCGGGCGACGACCGTCGAGGCCGCCGCCTTCGTGCTGCGCGCGGTGTCGAAGCACTCGCCGCAACTGGCGCAGGCGAAACGGGGACGCGACGGGGCGGCCGATGCGGTGGGGTGGGGGTGGGGTGGGCAGGGTGGGGTGGGGTGAGGTGGGGTGGGTGGGGTGGGTGGGTGGTGGAAGTAGGGCGGCTTCCGCTTTTGTTGGCAGAAATGGCAGAAAGGCTAATCGAAAAGGGAGCTTCCAATAGACGCATCCTTTTGCTGAATTTTCCCTCTTTTGCAGTGATGTTCGCAAAAATCTGCAATACATCAGGGTTGTTTGGTTGGATGTGGCTGGTTGCAGTATTTAGCAGCTTTGCTTGCTTTACTCATCACTCTTTGGGATTGCTTCGGGGCCTGAGGTGGGGGACGACCCCCCCCTCTGTTCAGATTGGTTTGGGCCTGCTGAATTCTCGTTGGCCCGCGCGCCAAGAAGCCCGGCTTTTGAGCTTGGGGCTTTGGTTCTTGCTTTCGACCTTTGGAGCATATTGTAGTGACGTGGGTTGAGGGAAATCGCACCGGAGTTGGAAGTTGGCATCACCATTCACCTCTTTCAAGCCGCATCCAATCTGAATCGAGCTCGCGAGTCGGGCGATTGACATATGGAGGTGGGATGTGTCTGGGACTGCCCAAAGATCACGAGTCACGATGCGTGGCAAAGTTTTGAGCGGCATTTCGCCAATGCGCAAACATCAGTTAGCTGTCAGGCGCAAGGCCGGGAGAGTCTTCAGGCCTGCAGAAACCAGAGTTGCAGGTAGGCTTGACCGAACTTGTTTGGACGTCGCCTGTCTTTTCTTAGTTCTCCCACGTTCAGGAAAGCGGTCCATCGGCACTCCACTCTCCAGGCGGTGGTGGACAGTGGCGCCCTGGAGGCCCTGGTGAACTGCCTGGAAGAGTTTGATCCTTCAGTCAAGGCCGGGCGTTTTTTTTTTCTTTTTTTTTTTTCTGAGAAGTGAACAGCTCCGCACGATGTTTGTTTTTTGGAGGTGAGGGGAGGTGGGGTGGCGCGCGCGCTCCTTGGAGAAGCTTGAAAAACCCGGAAGGCTGTGGTGGCTGGGGCTTTTTTAAGCCCAAGAATGGGTCGACTCAAAGGGCACCAAGTACCTCCGCCTTTCTTTCGGTCCCGGAAAGCAGTGCTCGAACTGATTCCTGGCTGCGAACAATCCCATGGGCAGGGGGTTGCAGAGAGGGGGCTTGGGGCCAAGGGACTGTCCAAGGTTGCCCAAGGAGATGGTTGCTTGTTGCTTTCATTACGCTTCGACCAGGAAGGTGCCAGTTGGCAGCCATGGGGAAGAGGTTGCGGCAGGCATACGGAAGCTCTCTCATGTTACACCATCCTGGTCAGCCTTACATTTTCACTTACTGACATCCTAGTCAGCCATCCTAGTCTTGTTTAACATCACCTGTTGAGCCAATTCGAGCGAGCTTGGGCGACGTTTACCGGGAAGATAGCTGAAGCTTCTGGGGCTTCCCATGATCCAAGCTTCCAAGAAGGAGAGGCAAGGTTGGGACAGTAAACGCCGCAGATCCCCCGTTTTCGAAAGCCCAGATCCGAGTGAATGGGCAATCCGGCTGGGGGCGCCGGTATTTCCTCCTTTTTGGTTTGTCCCTTTGGAAGCTTGCATCCCACCATCGGTGTGAGCCTGGGGGCAACTTGCCAAAAGAGAGCCACCAGAGTCGAGAGGCGTCCGGGCTCGCGCCTTCTTGTGGCCCGATGTGTTCGATGCCCCAGCCCTTTTGGGTTAGTTTGCCCATGTCACTTTCTTGCTGCCGATCTGGCAATTAAACCAAAAACACAATCGATGCAAGAAACGATCTGATCCCAGCAAGTCTTTCAATTGGAAGTTCGGAAATAGGACACCTGCTTTCGGAAGATACCAAACGAAGCCTTCTAGAAGCTCAGAATCGGAATGGGCCGTCAGTTGAGCACAGCCACACCACTCAAACACTTGGTTGCTGGTGGTTTGTCATCCACTGTCATAAACTCTTGGACGGCATTTGCAACCATTGTACTCCTTCCTGGGTGTGTCATTTTTAGAGGCTACCCCTGTTCTGGTGACTTTTCAGGGAACCCAACCAACAAAAAGACACACCATCTTGGGGCTATGTGTGTTTCCGACTACATTCCCATGACTTTCCTTCGGGCACGGGTCACCTATCCGATCATTTCTGGGCTGAAGTCAGAAGATGGGGTTGGCGCCCTATAACCTACCCCTTTGATGGTGGCTTTGATAATGACATCATGGGGCCAGGCAAGAAAACCGCGTTCGAGGGGCGACCCTGCTTCGGAGCGAGCCCCTGTTGTTTCTGGTGCAGCTGAGGCAAGGTAAATCCCAGGCGCCTTTTTTGCGCTGCACCCCTAAACCAGAAAGGAAAGCGTGGGTTTAAATCGGGTTTAAAGGAACACCGGGTTTAAATTGGGGTTACCCCCCAAATGGTTTTCCCTTTGGCTTCATTCTGACCTGTACGGGGCCACAGACCCAACCTGCCGCACAGGAAGCAGCCGCCTGGGCTCTCGGGTACATCGCCCGGCGGGGGCGCCGAGTCGAGTGAGACGACGCCCAAGCCGGCCGAAAAAGCGATTTGTTTGTTGCATTTGTTTTTTTGTTTGTTGTTTTTTTTTCTTTCTTTCTTTCTTTCTTTCTTTCTTTCTTTCGTTTTTTTTTGGGGGGGGGCATGCTTAGCTTGCCAGTATTTTTGGGTGGCTAAGGGAACCCCCGCAAAGTGATAGTCATGGGCGTGGCAATCCCATCCGCGAGTTATAGCGAGCTTACCGATCCGAATCCAAAACCAGGTCTCCCGTGAAGTTCCTTGGGGATTCCTCCTTCCAGGTGCACGAAAAACATGCTAGGTGGAAGGCGTTTCTGGCCGTGGGTTGCTGGCTGGGGCAAATCAGGTGCGTGGGATGCAGACCCCCTACTGTCCTTCGAAATTGATCTTCCAGATACCCTCCCACAGGGGCTATGTTCGTGATAGGACAGGTGCGCGACATGTAGATGCATGCTTGATATGGACATATACTCATGCAGATGTAGGTATTTAGCATGGATGTGTGTGTCAAACAAAGGATGCTCAAATAGTTGTACAGGAAGCTTGACGTTTTGATGTGTCCCATATCTTGGCAGCACGGACACCGAGTATGATACGTGCTGTTCTTTTGAGTTTCTTGCTATGTGAACGCAGATGGCGCCAGTCCAGCGTGTATGTCAGATTGGTACATATTTTTTTCTGTGAATAGGAAGCGTCAGAAGCGCCTTCGAGTAGGGCTTGAGATCACGGGTGGGGGAAACGCTGCAACATGGAAGCCACATGATCCTGTTGGGGGTTTTGCGTTTTTGACATTGCCGAACTTGGCCTACTCGAACTTAGATAGCCTTTTTGCCCGTTTGCCCTTTTGCAAGCAAATGGCTTGGCAAGCAAATGGCTAACAGGTCTAAGTCTGGGCAAGTTAAGGGGTGTGCGGAGTTGCATAACCAGTACACAAGCCCTGCTGGATTCACAGAGCGCCGCGGATTGTTCCTTGCCTCCTCCCTTTTCCCGCCTCTAGTCTTCTCCTTTTCGCCGCTTGTCCTGCTCCTGGCTGCTCTTCGCGCCAGCCTGCTCCGGCAACCAGAGCCGAGGGGACTCTGGGCCGAAAGGCCGGAGATTGCCCCAATTGAAACTGGGGACATGAGAAGGTGCTTGCTGAACGCAGGATGTGCACTGTCGCCCCCCTGCTTTGAATTGATTTGCAGTTGCGGTGCAATGTTGAGAACCTCCTGAACATGCGTTCTTTTGGAACGCAGGATGGCGGATGTGGACCAGGCGGACAAGCAAGGCCAGAACTCAGTTGATGAAGATGTTGTGCTGAGAGACGTTGGGTTTTGAGGCTGGGCGCAGGGCACTGCCTCGTGACAGCATCCGTGAGCGATATCTTTGAGCAACGAGATCGGGACGACACCGGTGGAAGGCTTGGCAAAGGGCTTTTATCAAGGCTGCGGCCAGTGCCTTCGTCCCGTAGCTCAGCTGTGAGAAAGATCGGCTTTGTTCGGTAACCAGATTGGTGGGACGGAGGCCACGGAGGATCTGCTGGGCATGTGCAGTTCGTCATAGACTGGGGAAGTTTGATGAGCCCCTGTCGAACAAGAGACCGCAGTTTTGGCTACGTCAAAGAGACGCCCATTTCCTGGCCCCGCGCCAGCCTTGCACAGAAGAGACTTAGCCTTTCGGGCTGGCAGGAGAGCGTCCTTGTGCATACCTTTGTGCCAGTCGCCTGGCCTATTCCATGGTCCAGCGGCACACCCGCCTCTGTTCAGCACAAGAGGCAGCAGCAGTTCGAGAGTTTAGCTACTTTGAGCACTCTCGGCACGTGGGAAACAACTGCTGTTGATGCATGCGGCTTCTGGCTGTTTCCGAGCTAGACATGTGGGAGTTGCCTGTTTCACTGTGGGCAATCCGCCAGCCTTCCGTGCAGTGAGTAATACGTACTTTGCCCAAAGCAGATCTTCGTGTCGACCTGTTCCCTTGGCCACATGAGATGGTGTTCTAGCAGGGTTGTTGGAACCCACCAAACTGCTACAGATAAACAGCACCAACAGCATATTTTTGCTGGTGCTTGCTGAGGACCCTGAAGATTGGTTTCAAAAGTGACGGCGGATGACGATGCCCGCAGGATGGGCTGCCACAATCACCACTTAGAACCTGCCACCCTCCAAACACCTAAGGGAGATGACGCTTGCACTCTCTGTGCAAGCAGCTTACCCTGCTCAAGGAAAGCAGCTGCCAGCTTGCATTTTCCCGCCCTCACTCCCTTCAATGATCTTCATTGAGCCAGCCCTGCTGTTGAGCGATGGAAGTGGGGCTCATAGCCAGGAAGCACCTTTTTTCCGGTTTTCCACATCACAGAACCACTCCAAGACCACTACGGACATCTCCGATGTGACCAGATGTCCAGATTCAGGCACACCAAGGAGTTGGCCCAGACCGTGGTGGATGCAGGCGCTGGTCTTTGTTGTTGTTTTTCTCAGGGGGGGGGTTGGGAGGGAAGGTCAGCCAAACTGCCCTCAAAGCGGTTGCATTTAGAGGGGTTCTTCCAGTTTCGTTTGGCTCCCGGAGGTTCCATTGAGAGGATCATTGTGAGGATATTCGTTTTTCGGTCTCAAGAGAAAAGCGGACAAGGGGCGCTTGTTGGATGGCCATTGAAGGGAAACCATGAGGAAACAGGAGTATCAACCAAAAAGGCTTCAGATGCAAACCCAGGAGAGACCGAAATCAAAAGGACGCCAAGCACCTTTGGGACACCGAAACCACAAGGGGCACACTTTCGCAATTTTTGCGGCTTCCCTCCAAGACATATCCACTCACATGCGGGCGGACCTAGGCCCTGTTTTCAGGGACCCAGCGCTTGGAGCCTCCTGCTTCAATGAGGTCTTAGCCCAAAAGGGGCAGCCAGCCTTCGAGAAGCTTTTGGCCTTAGACAATGTAAAGGTTTCTATGAAGGGAACCATGACCATGACCCACATAGAAGTTTTGGGCCATGGCACAAGTGAGATTTGTTGGACCCCCGCGCCTGGGAGGAACCAGGTTTGCAGGGGCCTCGGGCGCAGTTTGGTCCACATCTAAGGTGTACGGGAATGCTATGACTCCTTAAGCCGTTTGTGGCCACCGGTCGGCTTCTCCGTTTTCCTTTTCGGCAGTCGACTTGTTCGCCCAGCCCGCAAGTTTTGGCTCGGGGAGGCCAACTCATGCCCGATAAGGGTCCAAAGCCAATGTGCTGGTGCAAGTTTGTGCTGTGCGGGAGAAAGCGACCAACAAACAAAGGACTAAGTCCAATCGGCAGCCAGACAGCAAGAAAAAGGAAAAAGGAAGGACCAGCGAACAGTTTGAGAGGAACAATTGCAAGAACATCTCAGGCGGCCCCCCCGCGCAGAGAGACATCTTGCTGGGGTTGCTTTCGGCCTTCGAACGAAGTTCGTACTTCGTTCGCAACATGGAGTTTGACCTGACCGAAGCGGAGCTGCAGGCGGGCGGATGCGGACGGGGTTTGGATGCAGAAAGGGACTTGGTTGAAAGGCCGAAAAGACCAAGGATATGCACACGCATTGAACAACATTTGTAATGTTGACCCCAGATAAATAAACCCCTGTTTATCAATATGGGGGTGTCCCTGGATTTAGTGGGGATTTGTCACTTTTGGAGGGGTTACTGAAAATGAAGGCTTTGGACGAGAAGTTCTGCACCCCGCGATTTTCAACTTCCATGATTGTTGGAAAGTGGAACGAGTGTATTATCATTATTCTTCTTTTATTTTGACTATCATTGCAGAATAGGGGACTCTGGCAGTGAATTCCTTTTCTTTTTTTTTAGCTCTGTAAATTGTGTGCTTTTCTGCTGTTCTTGAGGGATGTGTGTGAGTGTGTGTGCGCGCAATCTTCTATCTTTACAATTCTGTTGGAACCGACATCCTGCGTAAATTCGAATTTGACATAGAATGGTTCTTGATTAAAGTCTAATCTAACATATTTAGGATCAAATTCTAGCTAAACTCAAATTGAATTGTACAGTGCTATTTGGCAACAATGCTCTGTTCAAATTCTAAATTTCCAGTAAAACAACTCCATCAGGATTCGAAACAAGTATGTCCTTATTGAGTCCTGTCTAAATTCTATTCAAGTTTTGAATCTTAAAGAGTGGCCGTAGATGGAGATGCGAATTGAGTATGAGCAACGCTACAGAGCACTGTTGTTTCTTTTTCTTTTTCGGTGTTCTCTGACCATGGTAGTACTGGCGGCTAGGTAAACACACGGTTTTTGGATCTCTGACTTCTTTCCTTTGAACTTATACTTATCAAAATCAACTGAACTTCTGTCTGACTTTATATAAGTAGAACTTGAGAAGAACAGACTCCAATTGTTTGTTGTTTGGGCTTGCTTTGCTTCTGTTGAGCTCCTTTTGAATAAATTGGGTTTAAACGTGAAGTGATTTGTAGAGAAGACATGGAAAAGGGCACCCTGTGTAAGAGTTGACTTGACGTATACTATTTAGTACTTAAAATCCAATTTAAGATAGAAATCTTGGTCGGATGATTTCTTTACTAAGTTCTATTGAAAGTCAGTTAGAATTCGAGTAGACTTTAACGAAAACAAATGCGCAAACTGTCATAAGTAACGAACTCGGAGGTCCAAAACATTGTGTTTTCCCAGTCCCCCCCCCCACCAGTTTGCACTTGCTTTGCTTTATACATCATGCATTACATTGCAGATCATTGTTCCATCACGACACATGACATGACATGACGTGACATCACATTGTATTGCATTACGTCGTTGCGATATGTCCGGGGCTTAGACGGTCAGTACCCCTTGAGGGAGTTTCGACGGCGATTTCGGAGAATTCCTTTTCAAACATTTGTAATTACCCCCTTCACCTTGAATTTGGATCTTCATAGAAACCATGTCAACCGAGTACATTCTATTTGGAACCCCAGAGAACCCTCTTGCTTGAATAGGAATCCCTTTGGAGGACTCCTTTCTTTGGCCCGCCCAAGGCGTGACGCTTGGCACCGTAGCATGTATGGATGGCATTTGGCAACGTGGGGGTTGAGAAAACCCCCACGGCACAGGACGAAGCGAAGCTCCAAAGGGTGTGGTTATGAAGTGGTGTTGTTGCACAGGGAGGCCCATATCGGCTCGGTTGAACACGGGTTTGTACAAAACCTGCAGCTTTGCAATGGCTGAAGTGGCCGGAATTGATCATCCCTTAAATGCGATGGCGACTGGGTCTCCTGTTCAATGGCGACCTGGGAGGAAGCCAGTTTGGAGTTGTGACACACAGCCACTTCCTTCACATCCGCTCTCTGAGGAAGAGCGTACGAGCAAGCGAATGAACCAATCGCGTGAACCGACGGGCGGACGGATGCAGGAAGGGAAGGGAAGGGAAGGCAAAAGGAAGGAAAGGAAAGGAGACGCAAGGAATTTCGCGGTGAGGAGAGGAAAGGAAAGGAAAGGAAAGGAAGGAAAGGAAGGAGTAAGGAAGGAGGAAAGGAGTAAAGCAGGAGCAAGGAAGGAGTAAGGAGTAAGGAAGGAGTGAGGAAGGAGTAAGGAAGGAGTGAGGAAGGAGTAAGGAAGCAGCGAAGAAGGAGAAGGAAGAAGTACGGAAGGAAGACCGAATAAGGAAGGAAGGCCGCATGAGCACACTTGAATGTGGGTGAATCAACCTAAGTCACCTTGCAATGATTGGCATTGGCAAACACGCGCAAAGGGGTATGCAGTAGGGCGCAATTTTGGCGCAAACGCCTTAAAGGGCAAGCAGACGGCCCGGACGCGACAGTGGATGAACGTCACCCCATGTGACCTCCCACCTTAAGTGACTTCGCATGGCCTCCAGCCATTCTTGACCCACATGTCAAGGAGTGGCTTCAAATGGATGAACTTGGTTCGTGGGGGCTCGGTTTCCCTTTGCACACTACCCCAAGAAGGGTACAATCGAACAAAAGAGCTGCACCGATCAAGCTCAGTTGACCACTTTGGGGTAATTGTCTCGTTCCGATTTTGGTCGATTCGGCTACCGATCAATGCATCGATCCGGACAAATCATGCCAAGCGCATCGATTCGAGGGTAAAGCCAGCGAATCAGCCGCAACGGGTTCTTTAACTTGGCGAGTTCCTATTTCTGGTTTGCCATTTGTAGTTATTTGCTCCCATGATCTCACTCTCCCATGTCCAGTTGAGTACTTTGGGTTGGCAGAGATGGTCGTCAACCTGCTCTTTGCTGGTTTTAGACCAGCAAATGCGAAGGTTCCCACTGCCGGAGCTACGACCATGACCCACATCTGGGGGATTTCGGCGGTCGCCAGGGCCTGCTGGGGCGTCAGATTGCCAACCGCCCATGGCCTGCACCCGGCACGGCCCTTCGGACGAATTGGAATTGGGGGCTTGGGTGCCGTTTCTCCCGGTCCTTTCGGTGGCATGGTTGTGGGAAAGGATTTTTCAGATTTGGAGACCGAACCTGACATTGGCTGATCTGCCCCTCGGATGAATTTGGAAAGGACCGTACTACTCAGGGTTGGTTAGAAACCTTTTACGCAAGGCAATCTATCTTAGGGGGCTCGTCTCATCCGAAGTTGGCGGCAGGGGATTTTTGGTTCTTTCGGTGCTGCTTTCCCTACACTCTGTTTGGTTTCCTCTTGCAGGAATTGGATGGTTGCGAGTATGCACGGAGACGGGGAACTTTGCCCTGAGGCCAATGTTGGCCCAGAATTGATTTCTCCGGGGTCAACGTTACAACACCACCTTCCTTGCAACCATGAACTTGAACGGGCATGTGTCAGGTGAATAAGTGGGAGCGTCTCAGATGAGCGACCAGACGTGAAGGCCCGTCCAAAGCTATGGGTACTTTTCCGATTCATGTCCAGGCGTGTAGATTTGGTCATGCCCCAAGTGCCCTGAAATTTTGCCCTTGCTAGCGGGGTCCAGGGTCGAAGGCTCCAAGATCCAACTTGTGCGACAGTGGCTTTCTGCACAATCAAGCAACATTTTGGCCAGTTGAGTTTCTTTGTCGTGAGGCGATGTTGAAAGGGGACCTTTGGGTCTGCCTCCAAGTAGACCCTCCACAAAGCTTGTACTTCCCTTGTTAAACATTTCCAACATTTTGGTACCGAGTAGTGTTGTGGTATTCAACCACTTGAATGTCCCTGGCGTCGTCGTGTTGCACCACAACCACAACTCCACTTGTTTTCCGTATGTTTTCGGCACACTCCACAGGTTTCCTTGCAGGCAATCCTTTGTTTTGTTTTTGTGGGGCGATTTGAAGCCCCCCGGGCATAGGACCCGGGAGCTGACGCGAAATTCCAAATCCCTTGCCGCGAGGTGGTGACCATGGCCTCTGACTGGGACGGGCCCTCCACCCACCACTCCAAGGAGTTCCTGAGCCTCAAGGCCGAAGCGGAATCTTTCTTGGTCCCCGGTCCGCCGAGCTGGCAGGTGCCCCTGAAATTTACATATACAATATATTATATACACGTATGGGGTTGATCAATACTCCTGCCCCCAAATGACCTTTTGATCAACCCCCATACATAGAAAATATCTTATTTGTAACAAAAAGAACTGATATTTGGAGTTGGGGTCATGTGACTGTTCAAAGTGAGGACTCTGCCTTTCAAGGGCGAAGTAGCGGTACTGCAATGATGTTGATTCTGGACCATTTGCTGTCAGCGTTCCTACTTATGCCTCCACGTGCGTACAGAATCACTGCCTATTGATTCAAGGTACGGCAACATTGCTCTGGGTGGCTCAGATCTCCTTAAACTTGCAAGTCATCTTGCGCCCAGCCTGGAGTGGATCAATACCAGGCTGGAATGCTTGTGGAGATCACAACAGCTTCTGGAATCACACTGACACTTGATTAACTTGCGCTCCTTCCAGGATTGTCAAGACACTTGCCGCGCACTTAGGAAACACGGGTTGTTCAATTGCTCTGCGTGGGAAGGAAGGCAAGCCAAGCAGCAATATAACTTTGGTTGTTTGCTTTCCTTTCTTCCCTCTCTTCCTTTCTCTCTTCCTTCCTTCCTTCCTTCCTTCCTTGCTTGCTTGCTTGCTTGCGTGCTTGCTTGCGTGCTTGCTTGCTTGCTTGCTTGCTTGCTTGCTTGCTTGCTTGCTTGCTTGCGTTCGTTCGTTCGTTCTTTCTTTCTTTATTTCTGTCCTGCTTTATTTCATTCTTTTTTTCTTTCCTTCTTTCCTTCTTTCTTTCTTTCTTTCTTTCTTTCTGTTTTTCTTTCTTTCTTTCTTTCTTTCTTTTTTCCTTCTTTCTTTCTTTCTTTCTTTCTTTATCTGTGCTTTGGTTGGACCGGAAATCTGTAACACTTCGAGAAATGATTGTTTCCACACTATCTAGCAAGACAGTTGTCAGTTGTTTACTCCCCTGCAAATCAACAGTAGCATGGAACCCCTAAAACCTGCATTTATTGCAATCTCTTGGGGAACTTCTTTTTGGCGGCGTTAGTCTGCCGGGGGTTCTCTGTGCACGTCTTTTGGACCAACCCAACGGCTGCCTCTTGCTTTCCTTTTCGCTGGAAGGCGGGCGACCAGGTCAAGATCACAGCTCGGGTTCCCAGTATCGAGGTTGGTTGCAAGCAAGTTGGACAGCCGTTCCAGGCCAGGATGTATGCTCGATTACGGACTCACAAGGCTATGAGTTTCAAATGTTTCATTTTTACCTAAGCAAATGCGATGCTTTTGGAGGGTCTTAGATGGCAATGACTTTAATGGTTGGAACCTCCTGAAAAATGATAGGTGTCCGCCACTGGGTAAGACCTGTACCTAGACGTGGAACAAAGCACAGGTTTTCCTAGGTAACATGTCAACCGCATGCAATCGACTGCTTCAACTCATGAATATCTTGCCGCTTGAAGACCGGGTCAAGCCCATCAAGGCACTGGAGCCTCTGGATCTCAGGTTGAGCCTGTTCTGTTGACTTAAGCCCCGACAAGAGAGTTTCTCACCAGCTCGGGCCCACTTCGGATTGACCAATCACCAAACGAGTGCCGTGGAGCGCTTTGGATTGGTGTGGGGACCTTTCTTAGGTAGCTTGACACAGGCGCCCTGATAAAGCTCATTGAATTTCTCTCAAGAAGGAGCCATCCCCCCAAAATGAAAACTACCAGGTGGTTTTCGCGAACTGGACATGATATGTTTCGTTCAGCTGGGGCAGGGTCTTTCTTGCCAACCGGGGGTCCCCCCCCCAAAAAAGAGCACACACCCATTTCGGCGATTTCCGTTTGAGCTACCACCAAAAGGGTTCGTATCAGGGATTCGTATTGGAGTAGGGTAATATCCCCCCTAAAAACAAAGACGAAAGCGAGTCTTCAAAGAAAATGGTTTCGGAGAAATTCCAGTTTGGCACATCAGGGTTTCGGCTCAGTGTTTTCCAGGAGGTGTCTCCGGGCGGGGCCTTCCTGCGCGGCACAGTGCGGGCCACAGCATCCTCCTCGAGTCAGGCTCCGCAAAAGCGGAAATGAGAGGGCAATCCCTTGTATAGATGGCAAATCCCATTTGAGCAATGGTCAATATGGATTCGATACATATGTAATGTGTGTATATGTATATATATATATATATATATATGTATGTATATGTCATCTACTGTAGCAAATAAAGGGGGGGGCGACATCCGTACACGAAGCCCGACATTGCCCTTGGAAAATGGGGGGTTGCGCACCAAAGTCCTGACGCCAAAACATATAATGACAGTGGCTTATTTGACGTTTTTACGGTTCACGAATTTGGCGCGCAAAAGCTGAGGTAGTCACTGTTGTACATTCTGCAACTTATGTGCAGGACATGAAAGGGTTGTAGGGTCTTGGTATGGGGATTGTCCATCGGGGTTATGCTGTTTCCCTCTTTGTCCCTTGGCGTCGGCGGATTTTCACAAAAGGGTTGCTCTTCTGTCCACTGAACGCAGCTTCGACACAGAGGCATCAGAAACATCAACATACCAAAGAGTGGAACCAACAGAATCCGGATCTTCACATAAACCGAAGACCCCAGATTAACATCCGCCACGGGTTGACATGAGCCCCGTTGCGTCAGACCCACGCAGCCTCCCCAGCGCCCTGATTCAAGGCCGACGGTGAGCAAGTGGGTTGTAGGTAAGGTGGGTGTGGGTCAAAATTAAACCACCAGGAATTGGACTGCAGGCTTTAGTCCTGGGTTCCATTTCCTTAGGCAACCCATTTGGGGTACCCATTCTTGACCCACAGGCAAGCTCTGGTTGCCGCCTTCGAGCTGAGGTGGTGCGGGGTGGCGGCAGTGGGGGGCGCTCCGGCTGGCTGGGCGGAGCCGGCTGCGAGGTGCTCCCTGGCACAGGGGTCCCTCAATGGCCCCCCGTTCTTGGGCCGAAAGAGGTAGTTTCATGGGAAGCCACCGGCAAAAAATGCAACTTTTTTGAAGGACAAAAATCCGTGACCCCTGCGGAAAAAGCCTTCATCCTGGGCATTTCGAGCCGAAAAGGAGAGAGTTGCTTTTTGCGGCTTGATCCGCCTCGGGTTTTTAGAGATGGTTCTCTTCCTGGAAGGAGGGTCCCAGAACAGGTTGTCTCTATATTTTCCCACTCTTTCGCCGTTTTTCCCTTTTTTTGCCACAAGAAGAACCCCAGGACAGGTGACCGGTGTCTCTATATTTTCCCTTCCGTTCCTTTTTTCTCACAAAAAAGAGAACCCATAGGCGAGTCTTGGTGTTTCAAGGGGAGATGGGGACCTTTCTCCAGGCCAAGATGGCGCTGACCATCGCGGTGCCCTTGGGGAACGAGAGCTACGAGGAGCTGCCCACAGGAGGCGGGCGGGGTTTGAGCGGTGCTTTGGGCGGGGGTCTCATTTGGCCATGGGTCAAAACCAATGCACCAGGTGCAGGATGGTCATGGAGAAGGCTAACTGACATATGGCCATGGTTCAAAGCCGTTTTGGGATCCCATTTGGGGATAGGTGAATTCACCACCCATTTTAGGAAGCTCCTATTTTACTGGGGGTTGGGATGTTCACTGGGGGGTAACCGGGGTTTGAGCCATGGCAAGCATGAGGTCAATTTGATAGTGTAGTGATTTTTCTTGAAACCATGAAGTCATTTTGAGAGTGTCACCATGGAAGTCACCAGAACAAGTCATAACCAAAAGGGTATACCCTCCTTTGTTCGACTCTATTGGAGGATCGTTGAAGAGCGCGAACGCACTCCACACCAGCGCTTCAAAGAAAGGTTGCTTATGTGAAGGACACTTATTCATGAGCCCGAGATTGGCCGCTCTCTCAGATCCGCCATGTTTTTCGTCAGCGCTGAAACTGCCCACCAATGAAAGACGTAACGCACCGGGGATAAGGCAAAACAGATATAACCCAACAAAAAACAACGCCTGTAGTTGCCCAGGACCCGGGTCTGCAGGTGCCGATAGGTCCCTTGGCGTTTGTTTACACATCACCTTTCGGCCCAGTGAGTTTCGTATAAAGGTGGTGAGTAGGAACAGCTAGGGGTGCCTTGCCGGACGACATGCGAGGAGGTGGGGACGATGTGAACGGTGAGCCGGAAGATGTGGAGGCTGGGTCCTTGTGGGTTGGTTGACAACGAGGGGTTATGATTTCCTGGGTTTCTGTTGGGTGCCTATACCATGGGCACATGTATAACCAGACATACTGTAGATGGAGAAAAATCACTTCACTGGATGGCAGGCGGTTTATCAACCAGTCTTCATAGGGTTTCATCCGTCCCAACTGGTTCAAAGTTCGAAGTCGAGCTGTCCATCTACAGTACTACAAGGGTCCAAGTATTGCAGTGGCTTTGTGGACACGTGAAAACGAAAATTGGGCACGATTACATGAGTAAACTTCTGTAGCAAATGTTGAAGCCATTTGAGTTGGGTTCCGTTTCTTGTCACCTTTTCATGTTTCAGAGAGGGTTGTGAAAAAAGGGCCAACATTGTGTCAACCTTCTTGTCTTGCTGTCTACCATTCCTGAGGGGGTGCCCTCAAAAGGTTAATCGCCAGAAGCTTTTTGCGAAGTTCGCTCGATACATGCCAAGACCCGTGGCGCTCTTGTAAAGAGGGTCCGTCCATCTTACAGTCTTACACGGACGACATGAAACCAATCAGTTGGATGCCACTTTCAACAAGCAACATAAAACGGGGCCCATGGCTTGAGAGAAGTCCGAGTGGTCGATGGGTTGCCTTCAAGCAGAGCTCTGTATATCGAAACGGCTTGTTGGTTTCGGGCACGGTGGAAGTGCTGTTCTTCCAAAAGCGGCGTCTCCCAATTTGAACCGGACTTCCCCGGGCTGGTTTGCAACAAGTGCGCTGCCTTGTTCAGCTCAAGGTGGACGGTTGGTTTGTCCAGAAGTGTCCTTTCTTTCGAAGAGCAGAGCTTGCGGGCAGCTGGTCCTTGGGGAAAGAGCGACCTGCCATGTAGCCAGAAAACCGCAAGCAAACTGACTTGGAATTCAGGACAAGCAACACTTTCCCCTGACGATTTTCCTCATCCATGTTACCTCCAAGCCAACTAACACCTTCCAAACGTGTGGAACACCCAAACCCGAAAGCCTCCGCCATCAAGCCTTGAAAGCCTAAGGTCTGCCTGACGCCAGCAAGATTGGTAGATGACCGATTCCTTACTTGGGGTTGACAGGGATGGTGATCCACCTGGTAGTAAGAATCCTTAAACAACCGTTATTATTACCAGTAAGGTCCGGCAGAGCCGGGGGGCGGAAGTTTCAAAGCAGTGAACAACTATAGTTTGGAGAACTGTCCTTGGCCCCTTGCTTCTCTCTCTCTCTCTTTTTCTCTCTTTGTCTCTTTCTCTCTTTCTCTTTCTCTTTCTCTTTCTGTTTCTCTGTCTCTCTCTCTCTCTCTTTTTCTTTCTTTTTTTTCTCTCTTTCTCTTTCTTTTTTTCTCTCTCTCTTTCTCTTTCTTTTTTTTTCCCTTTCCAAAGCTCCCAACGAGCGCTTCAAGTTCAACTCTCCTCCCTCCCCCTCGAGAGCGCCTTTTCTTTGCGTCTGCCCAAGCCGTGCTGTAGTCTGGGCTAGAGCACGCGGCCCGAAACGCACGCGTGTCAAGCGCAAAAGCTAGGCTTTTCTCTTCGTCTGCTTCAGCGGTGCAGCAGTCCGCGCGAGCGCGCGGCCCGACGCGGCACGCGCCGACACGAACGCGCGGCCCGAAACGGCACGCGCGTCATCAAGCACGAAAGCTGGGCGAGGTCAAAGCCTCTTTTACTTTGGCAACCTTAGTCAACGGAGTCATTGCCATGGCGTCTTCCTGAAGACGCTTGATTTTAAGGCTGGGCTGGGAGTCCAAGGAAAGCTGCCACGCCCGACGGCGGGCAAACGGCTCGATATCTGCGTCCGCAGCCGGAAACTGGAAGATCACCTGCCAGTGACGCAAGGAAGGCTCGCCGTCCGTGTCGAACAGAACATGAGGCTTTGCAACCACCCGCAACAGCGTGTCAGGCCGCTGTCGCGCGATGGCCAAGCTGTCTCTGACGCTGACCACCCACGTGAGGTCCGCGCGAATATCTGGCTGCGTGGCGTCTGCGCACTCGAAGATGATTCGCACTCCGCGCTCGGCTTCGTTGCACTCCTGCACAGGATCTTTGGTCGTTATTCGTAGTAAGAGTTCCGCATACTGGACTGGCAGATCCTCACCTGCCGTAATTTGCCCTGCGTCATCCAAGGTCGCGTCTGACAAGTAGATGCATGGGCAGCCCGGGAGTGAGGCGGCCGCGCGCAAGCACAGGAGTGGCTTTGCTGAGCCCGAGTAGGTAAGCGGAGCCTCGCGAACATGCACCACTTGCAAGGTGTTGCGCGCGGCGCGAGAGCCAGTCGGTCCAGAGTACGCTTCGTCGTGCGCCACGACGAAGCGCACAGCCCACTTGCGGGCTCGGATCTCGTGCTCCGCATTCTCTCGCGACTGTACCGCGTCGCCCGGCCGAAACGCCAAGGCAGCACGCAGCACTTCGTCGACGCACTTGGTAAAGATCCTCGCGTCCAGCGTGGCCGTGTGATCCCACACAGTAGCCTCCAGGCTGTAGCACGGCCGGACGCCAGCTTCGTCGTGTTTGTCGCAAGTCTTGCGAAAGCAAGTGGCGCAGCCTGTGTAGTGCCAAGAGTCTTCCGGCACCCGGGACAAGGTCTGCAGGTGAGCCAGCGTGCAGAACGGTGCCTCCCACACGTCCTCGTGAGAGAACTTCTTCGCTTCGGCCGCCGGCAAAAAAGCGCCGAGCGTCGCCAGCGAGACCAAAGTCGCACAGCGCCAACGTTTTCTGCATCTTGCCATCCCCCAGCTCGCAGAGAGTGCTTGCGAAAGTGCTGCGCCTGCCACGAAATCTATACTTGACCTTGCGAAAGCGCTGCGCCTGTCACGAAATCTACACTTGACCTTGCGAAAGTGCTGCGCCTGCCACGCAATTCAAACCTTGCGAAACCTTCGCGCGGCCGTGCCAATGGTCCCGTCTCCGAGACCGTTCCGCACCCGTTCCGAACCCGTTCCGAGACCGCCTCCGTACAGGCGTCGCAGCCGAGGTGGTTTGCGCACAGTCCGGAAGCCCAATTCACGCACAGCGCCAACGTTTTCTGCATCTTGCCATCCCCCAGCTCGCAGAGAGTGCTTGCGAAAGTGCTGCGCCTGCCACGAAATCTATACTTGACCTTGCGAAAGTGCTGCGCCTGCCACGAAATCTATACTTGACCTTGCGAAAGTGCTGCGCCTGCCACGCAATTCAAACCTTGCGAAACCTTCGCGCGGCCGTGCCAATGGGCCCGTCTCCGAGACCGTTCCGAACCCGTTCCGCACCCGCCTCCGTACAGGCGTCGCAGCCGAGGTGGTTTGCGCACTGTCCGGAAGCCCAATTCACGCACAGCGCCAACGTTTTCTGCATCTTGCCATCCCCCAGCTCGCAGAGAGTGCTTGCGAAAGTGCTGCGCCTGCCACGAAATCGATACTTGACCTTGCGAAAGTGCTGCGCCTGCCACGAAATCTATACTTGACCTTGCGAAAGTGCTGCGCCTGCCACGCAATTCAAACCTTGCGAAACCTTCGCGCGGCCGTGCCAATGGTCCCGTCTCCGAGACCGTTCCGACCCGTTCCGCACCCGCCTCCGTACAGGCGTCGCAGCCGAGGTGGTTTGCGCACTGTCCGGAAGCCCAATTCACGCACAGCGCCAACGTTTTCTGCATCTTGCCATCCCCCAGCTCGCAGAGAGTGCTTGCGAAAGTGCTGCGCCTGCCACGAAATCGATACTTGACCTTGCGAAAGTGCTGCGAAAGTGCTGCGCCTGCCACGAAATCTACACTTGACCTTGCGAAAGTGCTGCGCCTGCCACGCAATTCAAACCTTGCGAAACCTTCGCGCGGCCGTGCCAATGGGCCCGTCTCCGAGACCGTTCCGAACCCGTTCCGCACCCGCCTCCGTACAGGCGTCGCAGCCGAGGTGGTTTGCGCACTGTCCGGAAGCCCAATTCACGCACAGCGCCAACGTTTTCTGCATCTTGCCATCCCCCAGCTCGCAGAGAGTGCTTGCGAAAGTGCTGCGCCTGCCACGAAATCTATACTTGACCTTGCGAAAGTGCTGCCTGCCCTTGCGAAAGTGCCACGAAATCTATACTTGACCTTGCGAAAGTGCTGCGCCTGCCACGAAATCTACACTTGACCTTGCGAAAGTGCTGCGCCTGCCACGCAATTCAAACCTTGCGAAACCTTCGCGCGGCCGTGCCAATGGGCCCGTCTCCGAGACCGTTCCGAACCCGTTCCGCACCCGCCTCCGTACAGGCGTCGCAGCCGAGGTGGTTTGCGCACTGTCCGGAAGCCCAATTCACGCACAGCGCCAACGTTTTCTGCATCTTGCCATCCCCCAGCTCGCAGAGAGTGCTTGCGAAAGTGCTGCGCCTGCCACGAAATCTATACTTGACCTTGCGAAAGTGCTGCGCCTGCCACGAAATCTACACTTGACCTTGCGAAAGTGCTGCGCCTGCCACGCAATTCAAACCTTGCGAAACCTTCGCGCGGCCGTGCCAATGGTCCCGTCTCCGAGACCGTTCCGAACCCGTTCCGAGACCGCCTCCGTACAGGCGTCGCAGCCGAGGTGGTTTGCGCACTGTCCGGAAGCCCAATTCACGCACAGCGCCAACGTTTTCTGCATCTTGCCATCCCCCAGCTCGCAGAGAGTGCTTGCGAAAGTGCTGCGCCTGCCACGAAATCGATACTTGACCTTGCGAAAGTGCTGCGCCTGCCACGAAATACTTGACCTTGCGAAAGTGCTGCGCCTGACCTTGCGAAAGTGCTGCGCCTGCCACGCAATTCAAACCTTGCGAAACCTTCGCGCGGCCGTGCCAATGGTCCCGTCTCCGAGACCGTTCCGAGACCGCCTCCGTACAGGCGTCGCAGCCGAGGTGGTTTGCGCACTGTCCGGAAGCCCAATTCACGCACAGCGCCAACGTTTTCTGCATCTTGCCATCCCCCAGCTCGCAGAGAGTGCTTGCGAAAGTGCTGCGCCTGCCACGAAATCGATACTTGAGAAAGCTATCTATGTGTTAAGCTGGCTATATGTCAAAGCTATCTATCTGTCATGCTAGCCTATTGGAAAGCTATCTATCTGTCAAGCTAGCTATATGTCAAAGCTATCTATTTGTCATGCTAGCTACCTGTCATAGCTATATGTCAAAGCAGCTAGCTCACTTAGTTCCAGTACTACGGAAGTTTCTTGTTAAACTTCCTTTGATTATAAGTATTATTATGATTATCATTATTATTATTATTATTACTATGGTTGTCATTGTTATTTATTATTATTAGTATATTATAATAATAATTAATATATTACTTATTTATTTCTTTATTTATTTTTTTTATTTATTTATTTATATATTTTTTATTATTTGCTAAAAATAATAATTATTATTATTACTAGTCTTATTCTTATTCTTATTTATTATTATTTTTACTGCTATTCTTATTCTTATTCTTATTCTTACACACCCATAACACAATCACAAAACCTGTTAGGGGAACCAAAGCCACGGGCCATATAAGGAGTTTGACCTTGGCTCATGTGACTTGGAGAAACCAACTTGTCAGCTGTGGAATGCCGAGCCACAGGCCAAGAAGAAGTTGAGCTTTTATTTTCAGGGGAGTTTGGCTCAGTCAGCTTAGGGAGGGGAAACACGTCATTTTGACGCATAACCGCATGGGAGTTTGTCAAAATCGTGGGCTCCTCTGGGATGGTTTTCAATTGGACGCCGAAAGGAAATCAATTGTTTAAGAAACCCCTGGAGAAGACACAGCGGGACCCTCAAAATTGATAGTTTTCCTTTTTATTTCACTTTAAGGGCGCACCCAGAAAATCAACTACATCTCCGAGGCCTACCTGTCGCGGCATGGCGTGGATGGCCCGGCGGCGGATGCGCTCCGGAAGTTGCCCCCCAAGCAGCAGGCGCGGATTCTTGCCGCGCAGAGCGCCCGCACAGATCGGCCGCGGATCGGTGGCGTCGCAGGTCCCGAGTCAAAGGATGGGGAGGCTTCACTCGGGCTACTCGCTCCCTGAGTTCCTAGCATGGCTTCTCAGAGAGTTTGTTACATCCGGCAAAATATGAATATTGGCAGCATGAACTTTTGTTGGTTGCTTCAGACCGCTTCAAAGAACACTCTTCAAAGCCGCCGAATCTGATTCTACGCTTGCACACAAGGCACCAGGGAATCAACAAACTCCTGGGGTGCAAACCTCGGTCTGGCAGCGGCTCCCTCCAACAATCATGGAAGCTGACAGTCCTCTTGAAAAAGCCCCTTGTACACTTCCATGATAGAAACGAGCAGCAGGATCAAAACCTGCCTCGGACATGAAAACGGGGAGCGCGCGTGTGCTACAACAAAGGCCGCTCACGCTTGATGATCCATCGTATGCACCTATCCTTGACCTCAGCTACTGCGTGCTGACGCCCTCAATAGATCCGTGGCCAACCCGAGAGGTCTTTCTGCGGCAGGGTTGTCCTCAGGTCGCGTAGCGGTCGCAACTTGAGTGCCTCTTGCAGGGCGCCCCGATTGATCCAGTTGCAGGTAACTTCCTCAGGTGTCCGGTTGCAGGCAGTTTTAGGACAACATAATGAATGCATCCAAGACATATAGAACTGAATGCCTCTTCCATCATCATATGGCTGCGGAAGAGCCTGATTGAACATCGGTAAGGGATGGAATTGTTTGATGCATGCATCGAGTTCTTGCATCGATGGGCGGGCTTCTTCTCCTGAGCCAGGCAGAGATCATTGCGTCCGACATGACGAATTGCCGAAACCCTGCTGCCGTGGCTGGGCTGAGCTTGGTGATCGGTATGAATCGTCAGCAAAAAGTACCTGTTGACAATTGGATGGCGGTTCCACATTAGAACACTGCCACATCAGAACATTTGCCACCTTCCCACTTATTGGTCGTGCGAATCTTTGCTTGTCAAGTCTTCAGGGAGGAGTGGGCAAGACTTTCAGCCATGCTCATCAACTCAGCCTCGACGGACCACCCGGTTCAACGAAACAGTTAAGGACTCCTTTTGTCAAGGCGTTTGTGCCATTGTCGCCGTCGTTGTCGTTAACATTTTCATGTTGCTGTTCTTGTTGTTCTTGTCTTTTTTTTTCTTCTTTCGAATCTTGGTTCTTTGCACACCATGCTGCTGCTGCTGTTGATGATGAAGATGATGATGATGATGATGATGATGGTGATGATGATGATGATGGTGATGGTGATGATGGTGATGATGGTGACGGTGATGGTGATGGTGATGGTGATGGTGATGGTGATGATGTTGATGATGATGCTGCTGATGATGATGATGATGATGATGACGATGACGATGACGATGACGATGACGATGATGATGATGATGATGATGATGATGGTGATGATGATGATGATGATGGTGATGGTGATGATGGTGATGATGGTGACGGTGATGGTGATGGTGATGGTGATGGTGATGGTGACGATGACGATGATGATGCTGATGCTGATGCTGATGCTGATGCTGATGCCGCTGATGATGATGTTGATGATGATGCTGCTGCTGATGATGATGACGATGACGATGACGATGACGATGACGATGACGATGATGATGATGATGATGATGATGATGATGATGATGATGATGATGATGATGACGATGATGATGATGATGTGATGATGTTGATGGTGGCGGTGACACGATAGCATTTTAATTCACAACGTGGCCTGGCGAGCCAGCCAGGCCGCACTTGCTTGAATGTTAACCGACCGCAGCCTGATCAGTGCATTTCCCACTATTTGGTTGCAATACCAGTTTTGAGGCGCCTGTGCCTCACTGCGATATGCCAGCGCAAGCCCGAACGTGGCCGTGAGCCCTGCTGCACGGTCCTGCCGTGCAGCGCTGCCCAATCCACCTTTGTAGCAATTTGCCTAAAGGTGCGTGTGCATCTTAACCCAGTGACAGGTTGGTGCGCTTCAACATGATGATGGTGGCGGTGGTGGTGGTGACTGTGGTGGTGGTGGTGCTGGTGGTGGTGGTGGTGGTGGTGGAAAACAACATGGAGGTGTTGCAAAGGAGTGCATGGATTGTGCCAAGAGGATATCTCAGAACAATGGCAGAATTTATTCAAACAGCTCCCCTAGGATAACTTGCGCGTCAATCCAAGACATGTTTTTGTTCCTTCAAAATCTGGCGTTCACCAATTTGAGCAAGCATCCGTTGTGTAGGAAGGTGCTAAGCTTTGGATGCTGGCTATGTCTTTGTGCTTTGTTTTGAGCAAGTGGTGCCAAATGCAGAACTAGCACTACCCACCGCAAAATCGATGTTCCATGCTCAAATTGTTGATGAATCCGCTCATGTGTCCATCCCTCAGAGGTTTTGCAACCTGCATTCGTTCGTGGTTTGCTTGCAACACCAGCGGCAAACATACCCAAACTCCCAGACCCCGCTTCAAACAAGTGCTATTGGCAACCCCCTCAATATTCCACGCGGTGTTGCCATGGCGGGTCGAAAAATGGTATTTCTCAGAATAGTGGTCTCCAAGAATGACCAGGCCTTCACTTGCTGCTTCTCAGCAAGGAATGAGGGAACGACCCCCATAGACCCTCCCTCTTTCAGGGATCCCCTTCCAGTTCATTCTCATTTGATTCCCCAGCAAGATCAACCTTGACCAACCCCTAGAAAGATGTACAATCCTTGGTTTCCTTCGGTTTACCACCAGGTGTACCGCCCTTGGAATAAACAAACCCCTGGAAACATAAGCCCCTTCCTTCGGATCATCCACCGCTGGCCCCCGAGCCCGAGGTGCTGCTGAGCCGCATCGAGCGCCTGCGCGGGGGGGGCCCCCCCGCCGCCCACGGAGGCGGCGGCGGCGGAGGCGGCGGAGGCTACGGGCACATCACGCCCTCCACGGCGCCGCCGAAGGCGCGGCGATCCAACCCGAAGCCCACGGACTCCAGCGATGCGCCGGGGGAAAAGACAAAATGACAATTCGAAGAGGAACCCGAGGAGCTCTACTGAAGTTCTGGAGCTTCGATTCAGAAAAAGTTGCAAGTCTTTAAACATAGGGGAGTCTTTGGGAACCAATGGGTGATTTTTCTCCGCAGTTGTGATGCATTTGGCCGGAGTAAGGGTTTGCTATGAAAGTTCGGGTCGGAAAGGGGAATCCAGATTCCGTGAATTTTAGTATGCCATGTGAAGGGGTGGGACACGGGTGAATAATACAGGGTCGTCCTAGGCTCGAGCGTGGCTCTTTGCTCATCAGATCCAGCCCATTGGGAACAATCGAGCGCTTGGAACGTTTTCAAGAGACTTCCCAATTCTCTCGTCTTTCTTTTCAACCAAATTTTGCTCCCTTTCTCCCAGTTTGTTTTTCCCCGAAGATGAGTGGGCTACGATTGTTCCGGCCTTTTTGGCCTAATAAGCAGAGCTATTAGGGCGGGATGGGTGCATTCTTTGACCTTGGCCACCCTTGAACACTCAAAGGAAGACAAGGCAAGTCCAACAAAAGGCAAAGAACACCCACCCCTGTGCCATGTTCATAGGATCAAATCTTCCACTGTGTCCCCCCAAATACAACCCTAACAGCCTCGCTACTCCGTGCAAATCAACAAAGCCAAAACTCCATCATGTTCAGAAGCAACTCCTCTTGGACCTCTTGTTGGGTTCCATATTGATCTGGATGCTGCTGGATGGACCAGGGCCTGCACCAGTTGGCCTTAGTATTCAAATTTCGGGTTTCATGAATTACCCCTGGCGGTTCCGTGTTGGGGAGTAAGGTGTCCATGTTAGCAGGTGGTTCTACTGATTTCATAATGGTTCTAGGGAAGGCCCAGAAAAGAAACGCTTGCTAGCCATCTCAGAACTATTTACCATCTCAGAACCATGACTTGCTGATGCGATAGGGAATGATAAATGGAATGAACCGTTTTGGGTTCTCCTCACAGGAAACCACCAGTTGGATGGTTTATAATGTGGACCCCATATTAATCAAGCCCTGTCTATTAAAAGGGGGTGCTTTTCTCATGGGTTTGCGTGGATGGAATCATCACTGGAGGGGAACACCCCCCATATTAACAAGCTGTTTTTTTTTGGGTTCCCCTCAAAGGACATCACCAGTTGGACTATTGGAGGGGCCTCCACCCCCATATTCAAAACAAAAAACAAAAAACCCGCTGGGGTTGAAGAAATTCTGGGGTCCAAAACCATTCGGGTCGTTCCCTCCACTTCACGGCGCATCCCTCTGGGTGAATTATCACGACCTCACCAAACCAAACCAAATGGTGGTTGATGTGGGGAATAGCCCCCCAACCACCGCCAGAAACAGAGGTTGGTGAGATATTATAATTCACCCAGAAATCCCTCGCACTCGCACTCGCGCTGATGAGAGTCAGGTGATCTTGGCCCGGGGCTCTCTGGGCCGCAGCCGCAGCCCCGTGCCGCACCCGCACGGGGCCTGGGGGCGGCGTAGGGGGGAGGGGGGAGGCCTCGGTCTGGGGAGGATGGCTTGGGTGAAAGGCACGGGGCTTTTTTGGATTTGAGGACGGCCCCATGTAGAAAAGGGTTTTGGTTTTTTGGTTTTTTGGTTACGAAACGATGCAGGTGTTCTGCTGGTGAAAAGGCAAATGTTTTGCGGAGCATGCTTGCTTTTGGCATTTTGCCACCCGAGAAAGTGGAGGCACAAACACCGTGCAATGGGTGTTGGGGATCCCTCCGGAAAAAAAGGACAAGTGGGCTACCGCAAGAAGAACTATGCGATCTTGTAGGGTAACTCATTTGGGGCTATATTTTATATCCACCACCCGAGCAGGATCCCTTGAAAGGCGCGCCTGAACTTCGGACTTCCTCGGACAGAGGGCGCGGGGAGACAAACTCCATATCTTTGCAGCCCCCTCCACATGAGCAACTGACACAACTATTGGTAGATATGAGAGGCCCACCCAAATTTCTCACTAAAAGCAGAAGGGCACCCAATTTGTGCCATATTTTTTCAGGGAAGTACGTAGCTAGAAAGCGGAGAGTTCCCAGCCGAGGCAAATCGGTACGAATCGCGCTGCGTTGGGGGGGCGGGCAATGCTTGCGTGCGGTGACAGCTTACAGTTGAAACAATCCGTTTGCACTTTGGCTTCATAGACTGCACCGACTGATTCTTTCGATATCTTGGGGACATGATTGCGGTTCACGAAGCTGCTGCGAAACTGGCCCACGTTCTCATACTCCGTTTGGCATGGTGTTCCTCCTCCAGTGCTTGACCCAGCCATCTTACGATCTGGCTTACGTCCCACGAGGGTGCATGCGAGAAGATTGAGCGGACTTTGGCTTATGAAAAATGTACGGCTGCGAAGTAGTTTTCCCGAACATGTTCACAACGTGCGTTGCAGAGGGCTAACCCTAGGCAAGCCTAATGAGTGCCATCCGCCGTGGAGTTCTGTGTTTTTTTTGCACGCCGTTCAGAAAGAAGCCTTTAATTGGAAGATTCACACCGGCCTGAAACGCGCCGCGAACCTAGTTTTGTCCAACGTACTATTGCCCAACTTTGCCTGTGGCTCATGCTTAGATTCCTGAGAACAGGCAGGAGTCAGCACGCCACATGTCCAACCTTTGGGGAGCAATATGGTCTAGTGTTTTCTTGTTGACCCCCACAGTCCCCAGTTTGCAGACACTTCCCCACATTTCTTTTTCTTCGAGCGGCCCCAGCTCAATCTGCCTTATTTTGCGGCTTTCCCAAATATGAGATGCTTCCCTGTTTCACTTGGCGAGTCAGGACCAGCCATGCGGAGCAAGGATGTATGCATTTTCGCAAGCTGTTGCCCCACTCGTATGACTGAGATTGTTAACGACTTCCCGAGGATGCAACTGCAAAAGCAGGAGCCATTTGATTCAACCCTTCAGGCCTGAGTTTGACCATTCAAAGGCAAAGCAACCCAACAAGGAGGGATCAATTTCCCGAAAGGAGAGACTGTTCCTGAAACTCAATGTGTTTTTGCATTTCAGGAGGGCATGGTCCTCTCTTGCCTCAGATCAACCAACCTATGGTAGGATTTCTCTAGAGGGATTAGCTTAATGTTTTTTGTCGGAGTTCCGTCCGTTCATCTGCAGAAATCAGGAAACCTCTACTTGGTGGTTTGCCTGGGTGGTTTGCGGATTTGAACCCCGGGTCCTTGAGAGCAAATGGAAAACCACGCCCCTGAACCATCAAACCACCAATTCTCACTTCCTGAGTTCATGAACTGTACAATTTTTGGGAAGACCATTTTAGTGGTAAATATAAAGTTCGGACTTTTTTTTGGGCCATCCACTCAGCCAGTGAGAATCCAAACCACCAATCAGAGGGAAGCTGAATAAAGCAAAACACACAAAAGGCTTCAGTCAGCTCCCAGGGCGAGGGCAGAGCCGATGAATCCGCAGGCGCACCCGGCGCACCCCGCAAACTTGGGCCTTCGCTCGGAGAACATGGGAATGGCATAGCGAAGCAAAGCAGTCTGTGAGAGTCGATTCGCCATCCTGTGATGTCCCTCTGGTCACCCCAAGAGAACCTTATGTTTAGACCCAAGGGAAATAGAAGGACTCTCGTTCGTCAAAAGAACATTCACATGGGGCCCGATATTTTCTCATCTTTGGTGGTTCTGTAAATCTCCTCTTGGGGCCCTAAGGCGAGTTTTTTTCGGGGATCGGGGTGCTGGGGAAATATTGGCAGAGCCCTGTGTAAGGCACCCGACTGCGCCAGGCCAGGAAGAATTGGTCCAGAGGCGGGAACGAGGCGCGGGGGATGTGTCCTGCGTCGTGGAGGGCTGAGGCTGTTTGAAGGTATTGTTTAGAGGGGAGCCAGATTTCATTTTTTTTGGTGCGACCCATTCCTTAGAGATCCAACTTTCTCTTTTCATTTTTGGGGAACACTAGGATCAAACTATAGGTCCGGCACCCTTGAATGTCACTCGCCAACAGCACCAATCGCCGGTCAATTCTGCTGGCCCTTTTTGGCTTGACTCCGCCTTGAGTCAGCCCTCGGCTCCCCCAACGCCTAATTCCACCCGTGTTGTTTGGTGAGGTTATGGATGCCATTACGTTGCAAAAGGAGCTGGGCTTTCAATCCCCAAGCCACCAACCCAAACCATCAGTTTCCCCGCACTCCGAGTACCGTCATTGTTTTATGACAGGATCAACCAAGACGCCCCCCACCCAACCCCTCCCCGCCCCAACCCCTCCCCCTCCTTCCCCAACCCCTCCCCCCCACGAAGCGCAGCACACGGACCACGAGCATCGCCGCCTCGCCGTTTCAAGGTGGAGGACTTCATCGCGCGGCACTCCCTGGACGCGCAGGTGGCGGCACAGCTCCAGGCGCGGAGGGGGGGGTTTGGGGTGGCCTAGGCCCGCTTCTCTGGTACCAAGGGCTTCCTTCTCTGATATCAAGGGCTCGAATCCCAAGGGAATCCCAACAAAATTTCAAGGGAATTTCAAGGAAAGCCCCTCCCAAGTCATCAACTCAGAAAGATGGAGAGATCTGCCACTTTGGCCCCCAGAAGTGAGGTGGTTTTTGTGCTGAATGCGAGGCAGCACCAAGGAAACCAGGCGCTTTTGGGTTGCCTTTGTTGGGCGAAGCTTGAGAATTCACGTCACCCACTAAGAAATGTACTAAAGAACCCATCCCCCTTCAGGGAAGCAATGCATGAGGGTGGTCCCACGAAGCACTTCCTCGGTTCGCCAGCAGGCACTTCCTCCGGACGAGCAGCACCTGATCGCCCCTCGGCACGGAAAGGTTCCGGTGAAGTCCAGCGGTCGAAGGCTGGCCGCATAAAGGAAAGGAAAAGGAATCCGTTTTGCAATCTATGGTCATCCTCTTCGAAGATTCACACCTTACACGCTGGCCTCTTTGCAGTTTCTGGCCTCGCACATGTCATTGTTGAGAGCTTTTTGTGTGGGAGACAAGCAATTTAATTTTGTTGGTCTGCTACTCCGGCTATGAAAAGTTGGTGATGAAATGGAAAGGATTAGACCTCATCCCATCCTGTGTCTGGGATAGCGGTTAACCTTTCCTTTTGCTTTCGTAGACCATCAATCCCATAGACGAACCGCTATTACAGAAAGGACATGACGAAGGAATGGACCTTGTTTGCGTGACTTTCAATGAGGAATGGAGGCAGTTGCCGGGTTTCCCGCACAAAAGATCGGCATCCGTTGAGTTACTCTGTGCAGGGAGACCTTAAGTATACTCTCTTGAAGAGCCCATCTCAAGATGAGATTGCCCACGGGGCTTCAAGATGGCAACCACATGAATTGCAAATCACTCCTTCGGCAAAGCGGGTGTGGTTTGGTTCTCGAAATGGCCCAAAAGCACCAAGGGTTGACCATACATGGGCCAAATTCCAATCCAAACACCGACTCTTTTTGACAAACAACGCCAATATATATATATATATAGATATGTATATATATATATTACGACGACAAGGGACAGGTTCTTACAGGACAAGGAAGCAGATGACAAAAGGAGCATTTCTCTCCAGCTCCGGACCCGAATTTCCGGTTTTCGGAGCAAATCCTTTGGGCCTTTGGAGCCGCTCTGAGAGATTTTGTCCGATAGGTTCAGTCGGACTTGACCAACGCGCGGAACCCCTCAGCTGTGGTCCTGTCAAGAATACAGCGGGCGGAGGCGCAGTGGGTTTCAGGGGGGACATGGCCGCATTCGAGATTGAAGCGAGACACCTCTTGCCATGAGCTTTGTAGCTCTGTTTTGTGTTGGCAGTTGTGGTGAATTTGGCACTGGAAGTTGGGAGGTTGTCTAGGCTCCAACCATCGTGGAACTGGACAGGCCGTTTCAAGAACACTCGAGTCTTCCAAACTCCTGTCAGCTTTCATTCTTGGAAAGAGGCTATTATTTTGCAGCTTTTTGAAGCTTCAGGCCGGGCAGAAGGCTGTCAGGCAAACCGACAGGAAACAGTGGGGAAGCCTTGGTCCGAAAGACCAGGAACCCTCCGAGCCTTCCATGGGTCGATGAAGGTCTGTCTCTAGAGGGCACACCCCTGCAAATCAATAGGGCTAGAAGGAAGTTGTTGGATGCTTCTGTTCATTTGCAGGGCTGAATCAGTTTCTTGGTTTGTTGGTCCACCTGTTCATTTGTCACACGCCATGGGAACCTTGCTCACTTCTAAGACTTTCCTGATGTTCCGGCTTGTGCTGGCAACACACTGTGCTCTGGCTCCGAGTTACGGCGGGGTCCCCAAAAAGCTGCAAAGAAGGGAAGGAACCAGGGTGTCTCCCCTCTAATCTGCCCAAATCTGTCATGGATGTGTGGTTTACCCTGCAATATGGGCATGGGTCAAAATCCCCCACAAAAATAGGTTCTAAAATGGGTGGTGAATTCACCTACCCCAAAATGGGCTCCCAAAACGGTTTTGACAACCACGGCCATATGGGGTCATCCGCGCAGATGTTTTGCCCCATTTTTGACGGGTCAGGTGCACTTGCAGGCCGTGGAGGAGTACTTGCGGCCCGGCTTTAGTGGTTCTGCCGGCGACCCCAAACTACTCACAAGCCACCCCCAAGGAAAAACACCGTCTGGTCATAGGTGTCCTTCTTGGTTGTTTTGGTCAAAAAAATAGATGGCCCTGGTTTACCTGGTGGTTTCATCATCTACCAGGGCCATCTATTTGTCCCAAAGGACACCCATGCTGCTGGTGCGATAGGCAGGGAAGGAGAATTGGAATGAGTCCTATAAACCATCCAAGGGACCCCGAAACGGTTCATTCCCTCATTGCCTACTGCGAACAAGGTTTGGAGATAGCGAAGACCCTCTTGGATTTGCCAGATTGGACGTAGAAAAACAACACAGAATTAAGAGGGAGTCTTTAATTCAGGGGCCTTTGTTTCAGGCTCACTAAGTATGGATCGTCATTTTCAGTCCAAGGCAAAAGCCGCTCTCCGTTTTACTCGTGTTCCTCAGGTGTGAGGTGTCAAGATTCAGTATCAAGGCCATGCATTTATGTATATGGCGAGCTCACCTGGTAAAGCCATCCCGCTACGTAGTTGTCCTTTGGTTGGGGGTCCCTTGTTTCAGATTTGGTGGATTGCAGTAAAACAAGCGCAGAATCTTCGGGTTCATGTTGGGCTGCTTGAACTCGCCAAGTTGCTCCGAGGTCACGCAATACCATCGACGAGGCCTCGTCGTTTTGGTTTTCCCGCCCGAGGGAGGATCTGCCGATCAGTTCCATCTGTCACAAACCCTAGGTCCCGCAGTAGTGCCCTTTTACCCTTTTTGGGGAGGGTTCCCCTAGTAAAACAGACTACAGCAAAAAGGGTACCCTTATTCGAACCTCTCTACTGGAGGACCTAGTAACCGGTTTTGACGCATGCGAGGACCAGCTTGGTCAGATGGGAAGGAGTGGAGTCTTGGGATTCAAAGCCTTCTGATTTGGTCGCCGAGGGTTGGTGGAATGGGATTGCTCCCCTGTTGACCTCAGTCAGGAGAATCAGCCCGTGAGGTCCCAAAGGCGATGTCAGGAAGATGGGTGGCCCGAAAGCATGAGCACGGGCGGCAAGTTCTCCAAGCAAGTTCTCGGTGCAAGTTGCTCTGTTCTCCAAGCAAGTTCTCTCAGAAGTTGCTCTGAACCAGTTTCCTCGGTTCGCGTAACACTTTCGTACTTAAAAGTTGCGATGTTCCTCCGGAGCTGCGGAAGTGTACTGCGCGTACTACTTTCGTACTTACAAGTTGGGATTTTCCAGCCGGAGCTGCGAAAGTTTTCTTTGTGTGATACTTTCGTACTTCAAAGTTTCAATTTTCCAGCCGAAGGTGCGAAAGTGTACTTCACGTGCTACTTTCGTACTGAAAAGTTGCGATTTTCAGCCGGAGCTGCGAGGGTGTACTTCGCGCTCAACAGTTGCGATTTTCCAGCCGGAGCTGGGAAACTTTACTTCGCGTACTACTTTCATTCTCAAAAGTTGCGATTTTCCAGCCGGAGCTGCGCAAGTGTACTTTGCGCGCTACTTTCGTACTTAAAAGTTGCGATTTTCCAGCCGGAGCTGCGAAAGTGTACTTCGCGCGCAAAAGTTGCAATTTTCCAGCCGGAGCTGTGAAAGTTTAATTCGCGTACACGAAATACGCTTTCCAGCCGGAGCTGCGAAAGTGTACTTCGCGTACTACTTTCTTGCTTGAAAGTCGCGATTTTCAAGCCAGAGTTGCCGCGGACCAGGCGGGAATCGAATCCGCGACCACGCAATTGCGAAACACAAGCCACGAGCCAACCTCCAAAGCTTTTTTGCGAGAAGAAAATCGCAGAGCGCCACAGCGAGAGCACTTCGACGCGCATGGTCTCCGCAGAGGGTTCGCTGAGACTAAACTGTAGCGCATCTCAACGTACTCGCTTCTCAGCGCATCCTTGCTTCACAGCGGAGACGGCATAGCCTTCCTTCACAGCACATCTCAACATAGCTTTGCTGCGCATCTCAACAAAGCAGTGAACAGCTCTGCTATGCGGAGCTCTGCTCTTTGCAGCTCTGCTTTGCGCAGCGCTGGGCTTGCGTCGGCGACCGCGTTGTTACAATAAGCGTTCGGGATACTCGGGGCCTAGTTTACCCCCTGAAGGGTATCCTTACGAAGAAAGAGCCACAAAAAAGAAAGGGAACTAAGGCGCGGAGCGAATTTAGCTGGACAGCGCCGCAGGTGGGCGCCCAGGCCTTGAGGGCCCTGCCAGTGGATGCGGCGCAGGCGCCGCCTGGGGTTTTTGGGGGCCCCACCCAACACCTGACACTCTCCCGGCAAAAAACATAGAAACAATGAGCAACATAGGGGCAGACATGCCGTCAACTCATTTGTTGTTGTGTAGCATGAGGGTGAAAGGATTGTGGCAAAGGGAAACCAACAAACTACCAGTCCGGCACCTTCCGGCGCCCTCCGCGCCCTCCGACACCCTCCAACACCCTCCGTCACCCTCCGGTACCCTCCGGCACCCTCCGGCACCCTCCGGCACCCTCCGGCACTCTCCGGCACCCTCCGGCACCCTCCGGCACCCTCCGGCACCCTCCGGCAGTTGAACTAGACAAAATTGTACTTGTAGGAAGCAATGCTGTAGTTATTTTATGTCCAGATATCCTGATTGGGCGTGTGCCAGGGTTGTGAATTCCTCCGTGCCGCTAGTAGCGGAGCGGCGTGACCTTGTTTTTCGCAGCATTGTATCTCTTTCTGGCCTTCGCAGGTCATCATCTCCAAGGACATCAGCAACTCTCGGAACCCCTCGGCGGTGCTTCTGTCTCGCATCCGCCAGATCGAGGCATCTCGGAACCACTGCGACGGTGTGGGGTCTGGAGATGGGAACCGTTTTGGGAACCGTGTATAAAGAGGGCCATTTAATATTATGTACATTACACACAGATTCTTGCCCTATGATCATGAAGCAATTTGGTTTAAAAGTACACAGACAACAGATGGGCTAGCTGAATCTGCTGAGTTGATATCGTGCCTGACCCTTGAATGGCTAGCATGCCTACATTCCATATCATTCCACGGGCAAACACGGCTTGAAGGGACAGATTCATTGGTTTGTTAGCCGTGCAGGCACCAGGAATGACAGCCCTCAAACCCAAAACAACCGTGCTGCCATACCTACACATAAGGCAACTACGTCAGGTGAGTGTCGGATCTGCATAAATTACTAACCTGCCAAGGTTGGGATTCAGACTTGATAGCCAACGAGCTGCTCGCTGGGGCATGGCACACTTCGCATGGCAGCTCATATTTTGCGTTGCACGGACCAGGTGAACAAAGCCCAGAGTCGCAGTGACTTTTGTTGCAACTGTCATTATTCGGTCCGTCCATGCCAAGGGACCGGCGAGCAATTTGGGATGAAGACAGAATACACATTAAAACGACACCTGGTGTGTTCGTCTTGAGCCTGTGCTCTCTTTTTGGGTGTCCTTTTTTTGACATTCAAACCAAAGAGAAGCAACATGTTTATCCTGTTGAACTATCCCAAGAAGCGTACCCTCAAAGACACACACCCAACTATCTTCATATTTCATGGCGGGCTCACCAGGCAGAGCGAGCTTGATGTAGGTCCTTGACTTGGGGACCCACTTCTTATTTCATGGGATTTTGGAAGTCAACAACTCGCAGATCAGCGCTACTGACAGATGCGGCTTGGTGTTTTTATCTATCTATCGCCTGCTGGTTTTTTGGGAGGGGGACCCATGTCCTGGTGTATCTACCCCGCGAGAGACTGCGGGGTCTTTTGTTGGCTGGGATTCATGGAAAACAGCCGCCCACGCCCAGCGCTCCAGGCCGGCGGCGCTCCGAACTTTTTGGCGGGGCCGGGGGGCATGGCGCCCATGGCGCCCATGGCGCCCATGGCGCCCATGGCCATGGTGGCGCCCTCGCGGGGCCCGCGGCCGGGGAGCCCCGGCGGCACCTTTTAACGCGCGAGAGATGCGTCGGGTGGCGCGTTACGCACCGGGGACCCCAGAAAATTAGAGACATGGAGCACTGGTGTCAGATTTGTTTGTCTCAAAATGGGGGAATCATCCAAACAGCTGGCTGTTTTTTTGGGTTTGGAGACAATCACGTATCTCTATGGGTTTGTGTCTGAATAGGGAATGACATTGGGTGGCTTTTCTTGGGTGGTTTTTCTTGGCTATTAAAAGTGTGCCCTCAAGAAGAAAGACGCCAACAAATGTTTGGCTACCCTTTTCAGGTTTTGGGGTGGTCTGAATGGAAATCAGCAAGCCGACCTTTCAGCTGGTATGCGGGTGTGCTTCTGTGTATGCTTGTGTGTCTGGGCCTATCAAAGGGACAAGGGACACCACCTTGGTCAAGCTCTGTGCACGGCGAGTCAACCTTCAATCGCAACCCCTTCTCAGAAGGTTCCACAAGCAACAGCGGTAGAAGTGGGGTTGAAGCCAATCCTGGGTTTGGGGCAGCTTTGGGGGTAGGCTTTTGAGGGTTCTGTGTCGGTGTCTGTGTCTGTGTCTGCGTCTGTGTCTGTGTCTCTGTCTGTGTCTGTGTGTCTGTGTGTCTGTGTGTCTGTGTGTCTGTGTGTCTGTGTGTCTGTGTGTCTGTGTGTCTGTGTGTCTGTGTGTCTGTGTGTCTGTGTGTCGGTGTGTCGGTGTGTCGGTGTGTCGGTGTGTCGGTGTGTCGGTGTGTCGGTGTGTCGGTGTGTCGGTGTGTCGGTGTGTCTGTGTGTCTGTGTGTCTGTGAGTCTGTGTGTCTGTGTGCCTGTGCGTGTTTGTGAGTCTGTGTGTCTGTGTGTCTGTGTGTTTGTGTGTCTGTGTGTCGGTGTGTCGGTGTGTCGGTGTGTTGTGTGTGTTCGGTGTGTCTGTGTGTCTGTGTGTCTGTGTGTCTGTGTGTCTGTGTGTCTGTGTGTCTGTGTGTCTGTGTGTCTGTGTGTCTGTGTGTCTGTGTGTCTGTGTGTCTGTGTGTCTGTGTGTCTGTGTGTCTGTGTGTCTGTGTGTCTGTGTGTCTGTGTGTCTGTGTGTGTGTGTGTGTGTATGTGTGTGTGTGTGTGTGTGTGTGTGTGTGTGTGTGTGTGTGTCTGTGTGTGTCTGTGTGTGTCTGTGTGTGTCTGTGTGTGTCTGTGTGTGTGTCTGTGTGTGTCTGTGTGTGTGTGTCTGTGTGTGTGTCTGTGTGTGTGTCTGTGTGTGTCTGTGTGTGTCTGTGTGTGTGTGTGTGTGTGTGTGTGTCTGTGTGTGTCTGTCTGTGTGTGTCTGTGTGTGTCTGTGTGTGTCTGTGCGTTTCTGTGTGTGTCTGCGTGTGTCTGTGTGTGTCTGTGTGTCTGTGTCTCTGTGTCTCTGTGACTCTGTGTCTCTGTGTCTCCATGTCTCTCTGTCTCTCTGTCTCTGTGTCTCTGTGTCTCTGTGTCTCTGTGTCTGTGTGTCTGTGTGTCTGTGTGTGTCTGTGTGTGTGTGTGTCTGTGTGTGTCTCTGTGTCTGTGTGTTTGTGTGTCTCTGTGTGTGTGTGTGTGTGTGTTTGTGTGTCTCTGTGTGTTTGTGTGTGTCTGTGTGTGTCTGTGTGTGCGTGTCTGTGTGTGTCTTTGCGTGTCTGTGTGTGTCCGTGTGTGTGTCTGTGTTTGTGTGTCTATGTGTATCAATGTGTGTCTCTGTGTGTCTCTGTGGGTGTCTGTGTGTGGCTGTGTGTGTGTCTGTGTGTGTCTGTGTGTGTGTGTCTGTGTGTGTCTGCGTGTGTCTGTGTGTGTCTGTGCGTGTGTGTGTGTGTGAGTGTGTGTGTGTGTGTGTGTCTGTGTGTGTCTATGTGTGTCTATGTGTGTCTGTGTCTGTGTGTCAGTGTGTCTGTGTGTCTGTGTGTCTGTGTGTCTGTGTGTCTGTGTGTCTGTGTGTCTGTGTGTCTGTGTGTCTGTGTGTCTGTGTGTCTGTGTGTCTGTGTGTGTCTGTGTCTGTGTCTGTGTCTTTGTCTGTGTGTGTGTATGTGTCTGGGCCTATCAAAGGGACAAGGGAAACCACCTTGGTCACGGTACCCCTTCTCAGAAGGTTCCACACGCGTTTTCAGGGGCACGGGGTGGATTTGGAGGCCAAGGTCCCCTCTCTCACAAGTGTTTTGGTGCAACAGCGGCAGAAGTGGGGTCGAAGCCAATCCTGGGTTCGCCTCTGTCCCCCCCCCACTTGAGCAGTTCCAAAATCCGCAGGGATCCGGGGGGGGGGGGGCTTGGTAAGGGTCGAATAAGGCACTCCGAGAGGCTCGACTCCGCACCTGGTAGAGTCTTCATAGCCTTATGGCCTTCTTGTTGAGAAGCGAATTGAGCTCTGCTCACTGAGTGGTCACCACCTGAGGCTTGGATTCTCGAGACATCGTTTTCCTTGCAGACCAATTCGCCATGTCATAATCAAGCCGTCCCCTCCGGTTTCGACGCATTCGGGTGTGTCTTTTTGAGGCTAGCCTCTTTGGGTTGTTTCAACACCACATGAAAACTTACGCCCATTTGGAGGCTTGCAACTCCGGGTCTCAAACTCGGGTGCCTTTGGATTGGTTTCAAAGGAACGCCCGGATTCTCCCGCGAACTTCTTGGGGGTTTGCCCTTGAGGCGCGGGTCGGGCGGGTCCTCATTGGAGGATGCCCGCGCGAGAGACGCCCAGAACTTGACCCTGGCAGCCACTCAAAATTTTATGGGCCGAAAGGGTCGTCGTGGGGCCTGCAGTTTTCAAAACCACCCAAAACCCTCGAGAAATCAAACAAAACGCAAGAAGTCAAACCCTCTGTACCTGGCCTAAGCCACTTGGGGTCTGCAAACTTGTTTTGAATTCTTGAGTCTTTTTGAAAGTGTACAACACCTCGAGTTTTCCAACAAGTCCAAAACATCAGAAATATCACTTTGCGGGCAAAGAACTTGAGAGTTCCAACAACACAAGACAGCGTCTCAGACCCTGTGTACTCAGCCCAATGGGGCGTGCAGCTTTGGACTTTGGATTCTGTTTGGGTTGCTTTTCGCAAACAATATAGACATGTGCTGCAAAGTCTGGGCGTGCGCCGGGCACGTGATTGATGCATGATGCTAGTACCCGCCTAATGTGAACATACAACATATGTGCCAAAACACATGCTCGGCAGGATGCAGCTAGACATTGGCTAGCCAAGTCGGACAGTTGACAAGTGATGGAACAAATGCAGTATATACTGGAACTATGTTAGAACTATGCTTGGGACATGGTATACGTGTTTGGAAGCAAGCTGGACATATCTGAAAATAGAAGAAATCTGTACACATTACACGCGTTCTAGATATATGCCAAACACATGCTGGACATATGATAAGAAGATGCAAGGCCTATCCAAGGCATACACAGCATACACACAAAGAATAAGATAGACACTGTGTTCGAACTGTGAAACATGGCAGGCAAGTGCTGAGACATCTAGAAATGTGCTAGCGCCCACATGGTCAATGTATGCTAGACACGTGCCAACATGCTGGCAAAGAACTGAACAGATGATGCGTAAAAAATAGCTGACCCTGGAAGACATGGACAGAATTGCTATTCACTAGACGTGCTAGACACATGCTAGGGCTATGTTAGGCAACTACTGGAAAACACGTGATAAGCTAGTGATAGTTACTGCAAGCAAGTTGGAGCTATGATGTCCAAGCTAGGATTATTGTGGTTACATATGCTCTAACATACCTTGGAATAGTATCAGCCATGTGCTGGATATAGATGACAGGTAAGCAAACACAAGTGTTAAACAGGGTACAACCCAGACATGCATAACATGTTGCACATGCCATCAGACAACAAAGCAACAGCGGCATGCGCAGCATGTTGCGACGCACTCTCTAAGACGGGATCTACAGGGAGGCGCTTGAGTCATCGAAGGTTTCAAGGATCTGACCCTTTCTTGAGAAGCTGGGAGGGGCCACTGACTTGAGTGAGCTGCATGGGTGTTTGCTCACCTCAATACACCTTTTTGACCCGTTGCCCCACCGTTCGCGAAGCAACGTTTCGCAGGAATCTTAGACATGTTGACATCTTTTTGCATTGCGGTGCTTGGCAAGAGCCAGAGTTGAGTTGCGCTTGTAGACTTGCAAGCTATTACCTCGTTTTCAATCATAACAGCGTTGCCGCGCCCCCCACTCCTCGTCCCCGGCAATGAAATCATATGGCGTTGGCAGAGCCTTTGAAGATTTCCGTGCGCGCTCTGCGCCTCCCAAACAGCCGTCGCTTTGGGCCTAAAATTTCCAGCAGGCCAGCAAGAATCACATCGCGGTATTTGGCCAACCATCAGGCTCTATGGCAGTTCACCACTTTGGCTGCTGCCAAACCGGCTTTCGAAGGCCAAAAAAGGCTCCACGGGGGCTGCCTGGAGGCTCGCAAATCATTGACACACCCTGGTATGGCCATTCGGGGATGTCCGGATCCAAAAGTGTCCAAGCCCAGATGCAGCTCTCCAGATTCACATGGAATCCCCGACAACCTCCACATATTGAGGAGGAAGATCCCTTAAGATAGGCCCTTAAGATAGGCCCTTGAGCGCGTTCTGGGCGGGAAGCGGTGCCCGAGCTCTGGCCTGAAGCGCGAGGACTTTGTGCGGGAGTACGGGATCAGCGAGACCGTGGCCAGCGAGCTCCGGACTTTGTCCCCGGAGGAGCAGGCCCAGGCGGAGTGGTGGCTGGCTGGGGCGGCTGGGGCTGGGTGGGGCTCGTGGGGAAGTGTAGGGTGGGGAAGTGTAGGGTGGGGTGGGTGGTGGGGTGGGGTGGTGGGGTGGGGTGGGTGGTGGGATGGGGTGGGGTGGGGTGGGTGGTGGGATGGGGTGGGGTGGGGGGGTGGGTGGGTGCCTTTGATCTTTTTGGCTGATTTTTGCATTTTGACCCATGCTTAAAATGCAGCCTCCGAGGTTAGGGCCGATGGCAGCGCAGAAGACAACGTTGGGGCTAATTTGGTCATGCTCGAAGGACGGGGCCTCTCTGTAGTTGCCTTTTTGGTGCGTGTGTGTGTGCGCGTGGCAGAGAGGCTGCGCTTCACCCCCTCTCCCCCTATTTGTTTTAGACTAGCAGTTGATGTGTTTTGGGTGACTCTCTTGAGGGGCTGCGGTCTTCCCGGGTGGAATCAAGCCAAGGAGCCGGGGTTCCGTACGTGGTTGTCCTTTTTGGACTATGCTGGGAAAATGTTTGGCACCCTCAAAGTGATTCCGATTTCCTCGCAGAGACATGGAAAACCAACAACTTGTCCCAACAAGAATCGGCTTGAATCAGGACATTTTGTTTTAGGCTTCTGAGCAGAAACACTGGCAGAACGACAACATCCTTCACACAGAAAGCGTGCTTTCCGCAATTGACCACAGCCGAGCAGAACGGGGGCCATCCAACAATCACCAGATAAGCAGTGGTGCCCTGGATGGGTGTCCACGTCACAGACTGGAGTGGCTGGTCGTGAATCCTTTGCTCGAACTTTAGACGGGGTTCATACTTAGCGACCCATGACCATGACCACAGAGGGAGTTTTTCACCATGCCTCCTGCTCGGCTTTGCAGACGTGCGAGGTGATGTCCTGCAACATCACCAATGCTCGCAACCCCTCGGCCATGGTGAAATCCAGGCGGGGCAAGCTTTTCCGCTGGGCAAAACTGGAGACTGGGATTTCCCCTAACCTGCAGAAAAAAAAAAGCTTCAGGGGGTCGATGGGAAGAGCTGGCGGCCAATTCGTCGGAGCCGCGACCCCTTGGTTCCTTTTGGGAACTGAGAGAGTGTTTGTGACGGTTCCTTGTTGCTTTTTGAAGGCTTCTCAGAATTTCTTTGTGGGGTAGTTTTCCTTGAAGCCAGCGACCCAACTTGATGCCTTGCCTTTTTCACTCTATGCAATTTTGACCTCACCTGTTTCACTGTACACAATTTCGGCCTGACCTTCTTTCACTTGATACAGTTTCAACCTTGCTTTTTTCACCAGCGGAAAGGGACCCATGTCAAGCAATGTCAAGCGGGAATGTAGGTCAGGAAGTGGGAGAGGAACCCATAAACATGTTAATTCAAAAGGCGACTGTGCCCATTTGTGGTTGAGACTATCCCTAACCTTCATCAATCCCCCGGTTTTGATTGTGGCTCATTTTGACGAGCCGACCACACCCCCAAGCTTCCACCGGCGAGTCTCCGAGTGGTTCCAGCGCCCCCAAGGACCACATGCAGCCACTCCAGTGCACATTTGGCGCACCCATCAGACCGGCTCCTTTGGACCCCGACCCATGTTGGGGTCTTTGAAAACCGAAAAAAACTTCGGAAGCCAACACCCAGCGACTTGGATTCGTGCCGGTTTTTTCCTCCCATCCTTCGGACCCTCAGCTTCAATTGGTGGTTTGGATCCCGGCGGTTTGGATGTGACGCCCAGTTTCTCTTGCGCCAACTAGGGGGGAAGCTGAACCAGGTTGGGTCTTTGAACCCCGGAAACAAACGCATTGGGCGCATTTTTTTGGAAGGCTAGCCCAGCTTGGATTCGGGGTGGCTTTTCTTTCAAGGGGCCGGATGGCTCTCTCTGAGCAATCCGTTGCATTCACCAATACTTAAGCGTTGGCAATACTTAATCTTAGGTTCCCAGAAGGTCAGCGCAAATCAGATTTGTTGAAAGGGGTGAAAGCAACATAAATACGGGGTGACCACTGTTTCGAACCTTGCCCGAAATGAACAGAGTCTCAGTGAGGGAATTCAGGGAGGAGCTGAAGCATCTGAGTATCAAGTTGCTTCTGGAATCGGGGTTGGTCAAAAGTCACTTGCTCCCACATGACCGTGGGAAGTTTGTTTTACTTAGTGGCAACCGCCATTTTGTGTGGCTTCCCCAATGGTCATCCCATTTCATCAAGCACCCTTATCTTGACTTAGACTCGCTTTGGGACCCAAGCGAGGTTATCTGGAGACTTCTTGAGTCTCGCACACGAAATAGGTATTCGTGTGTATGTGTGTGTGGGTGGGTGGGTGGGTGGGTGGGTGGGTGGGTGGGTGGGCGGGTGCGTGTGCGTGTGCGTGTGCGTGTGCGTGTGCTTGTGTGTCTGCGTTCTCGTGTGCGTGCTCGTGTGCGTGTGCGTGTGCGTGTGCGTGTGCGTGTGGGCGTGTGCGTGTGCGTGTGTGCGCGTTGTGTGTGTGTGTGTGTGTGTGTGTGGGTGGGTGGGTGGGTGGGTGGGTGGGTGGGTGGGTGGGTGGGTGCGTGTGCGTGTGCGTGTGCGTGTGCGTGTGCTTGTGCGTCTGCGTTCTCGTGTGCGTGCTCGTGTGCGTGTGCGTGTGCGTGTGCGTGTGCGTGTGCGTGTGTGCGTGTGCGTGTGCGTGTGTGCGCGTTGTGTGTGTGTGTGTGTGTGTGTGTGTGGGTGGGTGGGTGGGTGGGTGGGTGGGTGGTGTGGTGCATGTGTACCCCTCGTCCGGTTACTTTCAAAGAAGCAAACAGGACACTGCCCATTTGAGGGGTTCCTCGATTTTTAACACACCCAACGGCTGGCTGCTCGCTGTGCAGGATCCATGCAGTCCGGGACGAGTGTGAGCCATAGCCATGCGAAAGGGGTGGAGAGGGGGTGGGGAGGAGGGTCGGTTGGTCGAGGAGTTTGAGTTTGGGGCAATGAATTGAGCACCTTTTCGATTCCGTGTCAATTCTCAGGGGGATCAGGACTTCATGTTGGTTGAGGGTCTGGATCTGGACAAAAACCATCACAAGCTTTCAACAAGGTGAACATGGCGATTTGCAGCTGAAGGTGCCTCCTTTGCCTCCTCCTTTCCTCCACCTCCTCCTCTTCAGCCACACTGTGTATTCTGGCTTTTTTTCGCACCCAATTTGTCGTTAGCATTGCTACTTGGAAGATGTTGCATGTCCTGAAGGGATGAGCCTGTTGAGCCCCTCACGGCTGTTTGGGGCGTTCAGGAGCACGGGGCGTTTTTGTTGCCGGACGTTCGGAAGGAGAGGCCATTCCTATGGGCCTTGCCGAATGCCAGCATGTGAGCAAATGGATTGTCCTTTCGAAGGCCTCGTGAGAGGCTTGCTCTATTCTGCCCCTTGCCATTGCCAGTCTGGCCCTCTGGGTTGACCCTGCACCTTTGGCTTTTTGTTTCTCCGGGGGTTGGGGTTGGGGGGGGAAGGTCCACTCGTTCATCAGAGAGACCCCCACAAAAAGCGACAAAGCGGCTTGCGACGGCCGAGGTTCCAGCGCCATCAGATGGGAAGGCAGGTGGAGGAGCGCGAGTCGACCAGCCTCGCCCATTTTCGCCACCGGATGGCTGCGGTGTTTCCCACGTGATTCGGATCAAGTGGGACACCCCCCAGAAATCAATCGACAGATCGGGTGGTTGCTCCTGGGTGAAAATTGCCTTCACCCTGAGTTGTTATTGCCCTGCAATTTCACTATTGATACAAGTTGGAGATCCTTCGCCATTTGCTCTGACGGGATTGAGTTCCCCTTCAAGAGGAAAAATGCCTTTCAGGCAACGGTCCGCAGATGCCTTCTGCTTGTGGGCAAGGTTTTGAGTGCTAGGACAATGGATTATGGTTCGCATGCTTCCCCTGATTCAGGCCGACCCTGGATAGTCGCCATATTATTGCCCAAGTCTTTGTTGTATTGAGACTTATTTGGTTGCTTCTTCAGTGTTCAGCTACCAAGCACACGGAAGGGAAAGAGAGCTGCCTGGGTTTGGTGTTGACCAGATTGCTTAGTTCTGCAACAAGCATCTCCATGTCAGTATAACTGCACAACCCCTCTCGACATCTCGCTTGCGGAAGCTGCCAGAAGTCGAAGCTCTGTCAGATGTACTGGCAAGCTGGTGACAGTACTGGCAACTGCCTCAGCTTTGCGGTTTGAACGAATGCCATGGGCCTCTGGCACACATCGATTGCGTGTTTTTCACATTGCTTTTCACCCAGGTTGCTGGTAAACCCCCATGTGTCGCATGTTTCCCCACTTTCGCGCCTTCCTTGTTTCGGTTGCCTCGGATTTCTCCGAATCTGCATCCAAATCTCAGCCGTCGCGCCGCTGCTTCAGGAGTACCTGGCTCGGCACGGGGTGGATGAAGCAAGGAGCCCAGCTCACCTCTGAAATGGGCGGTTTCCCTCGAGTTTCATCCTAATGTTGACCCCATATTATCCCTTTTTCATCTGCCTGGTTCTGCTCATGTAAATCCGGGGTCGACTTTAGACCCAAAGGAAACCCATTAATGTTGACCCCGTATGAATCAACCCCTGCTTTTTCATGTGGGGTGTTCCCCTCCAAACGTGCTGATTCCCCGCTGAAACCCAGGAAAAGCACCCCCCTATTAATATACTGGTATGGCGTTCCCCAAATGCAACAGTTTTTTCTTGCGTGGTTTGCCTTCCCTCTGTTTATCAACCAAGGGTTCAGTCCTCCCGGGTCAAAAGTTGAAAGAAGAGGGCACCAACTCGAGTCGAAAGGGTAAAGGGCCGTTTGGGACAGTTCGCGGGATGAGACGAACCGGACGCTTTTGAAGTTCAGGCATCCCCTGTTCCAGATTTGGGCACCATCTAGTTGCTTGGCAGGAAAATTGACTACAAATGCCCCTAGCGGATCCACGCCACCGGCCACCGGCCCCCGGCCACCGGCCGCCGGCCACCGGCCACCGGCCACCGGCCACCGGCCCCCGGCCGCCGGCCGCCGGCCACCGGCCACCGGCCAGAAGAAAAAAGTCTATCCCCAGCGGATCTGTTGGAGGGGGTTTTCCATGGATCCGCGATCGGCGGACCGTTGATGCTCCCATGCGGCGGTTTTGATGTCTTGATCTCTAGGCAAGGATTGATTTCTGTTGGATGCAACACATCCAGGCCTTCCACTATTTTTCCTCAAAAGAACGGTGTTCCTTTAGTTTCCTTTTGAAACAACCTCAAAATGAGAACCCTCAAAAGTCAAAAGCGACACCCATATTGTTCTCGACCCCCAACCATTGTTGGCTAAAACGAAGAAGTTTCTGTGAAGCTGGAGATTGACACACCTTTTTGTGAGATAAGATATTGTGGAGAAAGCGAAGACTTAGCTGACCCAGATGTTCGAGACATTGACAGTCCATGGGAATTTTGGTCCAGACGTGCCGGCCTTGGACCCGGAAGGTCGCACCCCAGCTGAGAACCAAACATCAGCTCAGTATATGGCTTCCCCAGGTCATCAACCCCAAGATTGGGGGATCATATGGGTCCGACTTCCTGGGTGCGACGACTTTGGGTCCCCTTTGATTTAGGCCTCCCTTTCGATGGGGCGAGCGCCGTGTGTCCTCCGAGGTGGCTTCGGCCACTCTGCGTGGCGCCCCGCCGGAAGTACAAGCGCGCATCATTGAGCAGGAGCGGGCGGCTTGGGCCCGATTTGTTGTTGCTTCTTTCTTTTTTTTTTTGGGGGGGGGAAAGTGAGTGTTGGGGGGGGTCCCCCAAAAAAGGCATTGAAGAAAACTTTGGGGGTTGGAAGGGTTGGGGTAATAATTATGTCTAGGATCTTTCGGAGTCCTGTTTTTGCATTTTGAGATTCATTACACATGGACCAGAATGACATATGTGATTTTGTGCTTTGGGGCCAAAGCGGAGGTCGTCTCTCCCAGGGAGTTTTTGTTGGATTCGGAGAGCTTGAAGTTGGAGAGTGTTGGGGATGTCGGCAACGGCGGATGTTCTGAATCTAGTTCATGTTGGGAATTCCCCTCAACTAGTGGGGGAACCCTGTTTAGTGGAAGCTGGATGCGATATGGAACCACACTCAATGAAGAGCTTTTGCACAATGAAGACCTGGACACCTGAAGGTTAGAGGATAATTCCAACCACGTGCGGTTTTGATTTTGTCTTACTTGAGATAATGAGAGCTTACCTGCGGTTTGTTTTCATCTCGGCCGGGAGGCATGGGACAAACCGGGCCCCCTCCAAGTGGTTGTCAAACTCGTAAAACTGCATTTCCCTTTAAAGCAACTGTTGGGAGGCGACCCACGAGGCCAGACAGTACACCCACAAGGGGTCTCCAGTTCAAGAAGACCTACCCAAGCTACAGAACGCGGTGGTACGGCAGAATTGGGTGCCGGACCTCAAGTCCCAAGATTCGAGAGCCTCTCGAGACCTGGGTGCAAAAGAGGGCGTATTTTCAGGCGGCCCTGAAGTGGTGGTTTGGGGGTTTGAGCCCCTGCTTCTTGTAGAGGGTGAACGGGTTTACCACCCTCCAAGCTCCAAACCACCAATGCAAACCACCGATAAGTGGGAAGATGAGATTTACAGTCATGCACGTGGCTTCCCATGATGGACCAAGAAATTGTCGAGGACACCAAATTTTGGGTAGACGTCGTATGTCGCGCCGGAACGCATCCCTAAGGCCAGTTCCCAGCTGTCCCATTGGAGAAAGGCTCGGTCCGCGAGAAAAAGACAAAGAAACAAATCGGGCCGCCTCTGGATGAGGGGCATTGTGACACGTGGTCTTCGGAGACGGACACTGAAGCATCGAAAGAACAAGGTGGTGCTGGGAGGGTAGGAGGTCCCTCAGGTGGCCTTCCACCGGTCAGACGGCAAGAGGAGCGAGCTGAAGCACCTGAGCTCAGCTTGTAAGTTTCTACGGGAGCAGCTCCCTCGATTCGCGGCCGCCCTGATCTTGCGGTAGGTAGGGAATGTGGTTGAATGAACCCAGGGATTCGCTAAAACAAAACAGTTGGATGGTGTATAGGGGTCATTCCATTTCTCGTTTCCTGCCTATCGCACCAGCAAGCTTATTCTGTCCCCTTCTGTGCAATTCCCTATATAGATAAGTTGGCTGCGCTGGGATTCTGAGCTGACAGCGGCGTTTTTGGGCCATGTGCCAAACACTACCCGAGGTTTTCTTGGCACACCTCCAACAGGCGCCCAAAGTTGAGAGATTTTGGTGATTGGAGCAACCCATCTCAGCCGACCCTTGGAGCAAACTACCAGACAATCCACCAGGATCTGCTTGAAGTCAGGGCCCCAAAACGGATATGCGCCATGAAAGACCTTGTTGCACTTCTTCGAGACACTACCCTTTCAGGTTGGCTTCAAACGGGAAACAATAGGACAATACCTGTTGTTTTCGATTTTCTTTGGTGGGGGTCCAAATATTGATGTTGACGCATACCCTTGGTTTGCTCGGGATGAACCCGGGAGCAAACCCAGAGCTTCTAGCTACTTTTCGGGTTGAATGACCCATTTTTGGCTTCGCCTCAAACAACCCGAAGCCCAGAAAATGGGTGGTTTCCCTTTGGTTTCCCTTTCAACCAATCCCAAAATGCAATTTCCACAATTCGTCCAGGCCACCAATTTAACGCCCGGTTTCTTCTGCGACAAAAGGGGATGGATCATCTTCCTCAATTTGTCCCTGCACCCGATTTCGCACCCAGTTTCTTCCGGGAGAGGACATGAGCAATTGCCGCAATCCTTCCGCGGTGCTCATCGCACGAATGCGGGAGGCGTGGTGGGGCAGGGATTTGGATTTTGCAGCTCCGGCTTGGCGCATGATAGAGGCTCCAGGTCTCTTTCCTTTTGTTGGGGTGGTCTACCCTTTTGGCTGTCAATTGAACGTGAGTTTCTTTCCTTTTTTGGGCGACTTCGCCTTTTGGTCGCCCTAGCAGACTGGGCCAAGCCGCGAGTAGTTTCAAGTCCGGGAGTCTGAGCGACAAGCAATACTTGGGTAGATGAAGTCTAGGCGACGGCTTCCACCAGCAAGAGTTGTGGATCTCCCTTTTGTTTGCGTTTGTAATTGGACATCCCTTCTGCCTTTTGCCTTAAAAGGCAGGTTCTGACCTTGTTTTTGGTCCATGTCGGGTTTATTAATCTGGTGGATTGCTTTGTGCTAATAGGTGAAGGATTCCCTCTTTAGAGGGGAAATAGAGGTTTACTATCTTGTGGGTTCCCACAAGGGGGCTTGGGTCAGCTGAGGCATGTGCCCAGGCTCCAAGGAGCTGAGCGCTTGGGGCTTGGAGAAGCCCTTATGAGCACATCTGGAGCTAGAGGTGACCTCCCAGCACTTCTCCATATTCCCAGTTTGGGTTTCGAGCTGCAATTGATTCCACTCGGCCTTGTGGGGTGATGCTTGCTTGGCAACATGGATGTGAATCTTTTTTTCAATTGGAGGCCAATTTAAGGCGCGATTTACTCCCGGAACGTCATGTGGCTGTGGGTGAAAAATAGGGCAATCCCAAAATGGAACCCCGGTAAATGTAAACCGTGGATCACAACCTGCGGTCCACAACCTGCGGCTTAATTGTTGACCCATGCCGATTCATGCGCATCAGCCCTTGAGGGTATTCCGAATCCAGGATAGTGCCTCCCAGTTGTGCACCCTGACATGGAGGTTCCTTCCTTAATGTTCAACCCTAAAGATAGAATTCCTGTATCTTCGTGTTCAGAATTTAGTCAAACCCAAATATGTAAGTACGATTTCGCTTCACCTCGACCCAAGTTTTCTTGAGCAACCCCAAAAGGTCTATGGAAGGAATGGTTGGCCTCACATTTGTTTGATTCCAGGTAGAAGAGCTGAACGAACGGCATTTTCAGAACACCCGCCCTTTTCTTCAGAAGCTGCCCATCTTTCAAAGGGTGTTGCGCATTTTCCGAAGCAGAGAGTCCATACATCGACACTCGTTTGGGCTGCAGACCAATGGCCAACCAGCCCCCATTGGCATCGGAGCAGCCGCTTTTTCTTCTCGCCAGGCGAATGCCCAGTGAATGCGCACGAGTGGCCAGAGCGTCCCAGGTTTTGACCGGAGGGGCCTTGTACTAGGCGTATGACAAGTCGAATCATTCCTCACTTGGGATTCGAATGGCGATTTTTTCTACTTTGGCCAGACATCACCATTGGAACCAGGTAATTTTGCTTCAGCAAGGTTGAACCCTGTGCCTGAGGTTTTCCGTGAGAAATTCGCACACAAAGTTTGAGGATCTCAGCTTCAACTTCTTCACAAGTTCGGAGATCCGCTGAAAGTCATTCCCGTTCCAAGGTGTGCCTTGAAGCTATCAACTTCGGGCTGAGATAGAGCGACATCCCCGAGGCTTCCAGCTAGCTGCGGATGTTGTATTCACACAAACTCGATTAATATTTAAGTTAACACATGCCGGTTGGGTGGTTCTAAAGGAATCAAGTGGGTACTTCTAGAATTTCTGGAGCGTTAGTCACTTTTTGGGTTCGGACCATCTTAGTGGTAAATAAACAGGTTGGACTTTTTTGGGGGTAATCCACTCAGGAAGTTCGAGTGGGCAATCACCTCAGTGTTAGACTGCCAAACAAACAAAAGCTGCAGAGATGGAGCCCATGAAGGCCAAGTTCGGGAAGGCTAAACCAGGGAGTCTGGAGGGGCACTTTGCTAGGGGAATCCTTGCTCTTTGAGGGGATGCCGGAGCCCTGGCATTCTGGCTGAACTGGCATCTTGGAATTGTTTGAAACAGGGTCGCTAAATATATGAATCAGAATGGGAAATCTACATATATAGATATAAAATACATATATATATATATATATCCTGGTTGGTTGGTAGGTTGAGACATATATCAGCTGAGTGGGTCAAGGGAAAGGATGCATTGGGACGATATTGGACAACCACAATCTGCCGTTGTGGGCCCACGTTCGGCACCATGCTGCCGAGTGTGTGAACCACAGATGCACTGTATAGCCTGCTCGTGAGGCAACGGCAGGCGTGAAGGGCAAAAAGGCATGTGGCTTCATGAGAAGTCCGCTGGGAGGTTTCTTCCTGCAAGGCCGAGCTAATCAAGGTTCTTTAGCAATGGGGATTGGATATTGAGGTATGACCCTAGATTTCGGCTGTCTGAGCCGTGCAGCCTTTCTCAGAAAGCAGGTACTTGCAGCATCGGTGCCCCATTCATGGCGAGCCTTGAGAGCCATAAGAGCGGCAAGCAGTCGGACAGCCATATACCAATCATGGAAGCAGGAGGGTGTTGGATGACAAAGCCCGTCCTCTTGAAAATGGTCGGGAAAAGGGTGTATGGTTTCGGAGCAGATATGTTTTCGACCATGGTCCAATGGGCTACTCGGGGTTGTTGATAGTCATGCACCCCTCAAATGGGAATTCGGAGCAACCAGGATAGTGATTGCCAAGGAAAACATTGCCATGGCTCACATGCGGAGTTTGCATGGGACATACGGATCTGAAAAATAGGCCAAGCGGGCCAAGTGCAAGGGAAGAAGTGCTTTGAACTGACTGGTGGGGACCCCTATCAGAATTTGAGCTCCTTCCTTGATCCTCTGACTCCAGAGTCTGGGAAGTATGGCCCATCCAGGGCTGGATGTCAGGTTTGCTGTGTACACTCCCGTCCAACATGGAACCTGAAGGTCCCTGGTCCCTGATTTGCCCCACAGTTTTCACATTGGTTCGGTGGGCACTTTCTAAATAGCAAGTGACAATGGCAGTGGCTCATTTTTGTGATTTCGCCAGGACCCTTTCCCAGACGCAAACCGAAAGGAAGCACGCCATCTTCCGATCTTTCAAGAGGGGCTGGCAATTTTGCTGACTTTTACAGACCCAACAAATCGTGGTTTTTTGAGAGTTTGCCAGAACTCCCAGCTGCACCCCCCTTTTGCACCCCCCTCTCCAGGGTTCCAAGAGCGGCTCCGCGGCTTCGCGTCCGGCCCGGCGAGGTGCGGTGCCGCTGCTGGTTCTGTGCTTCCAAGAGCCCGAGCTGACGCTGAAGCGGATCTCGGCGCCCGGCGCCGAGGGAGCTCTCGGCCACCGAAGGAAGTCGGATGGGGCGGCTCGGAACCTGGGTGTGTCTTGGTCACTTGGAGTGAGTGTGGGGGTGTTGGGCGGTTTCCTTTTGGTTTCCCTTCAACCCCAAAGAGGGCAGATATTTTCATGAGAAAGCACAGGGGTGGCCCACTTTAGGCAACGTTTGCATTGAGCCTCAAGGTGATCAAATCACAGGGGTCGAACATTTTGACACTGGTGTCCTTTGGCTACCCTCAGGGGCCAAGTTTCTACCCTCAACTCTGGACTGTATGGGGATTGCCGGGGTGGAAGTCCTCTTGAGCAGTCGGAGTCTTCCATTGCGGGCGCTTGAGTTGGGACCAGACCTCCGGGTGTGCGCAGCACACCGCGGAGCATTTTGTTTGTCCACGGCTTTTTTTGGAGGGAATGGTGGGGTCGAAGCACTGCGAAACGCAACATATGTCAATGTTGTTGAGAGTGCTGCGGGGATCGGGTGGGCTGATGTGCAAAACACTGGCTCAGCCACATCTCGTTTGTGGGGATCAGGTGGCCAACGCGTTCTGCAGGAAGAGTGCACTCGTTTCGAAGCCAGCCGATGGGCTCGGATCTTGCAAAAGCGCGCCGCAGATCCAGCCCGAACATCCTCTTTGGCAGTTCCGGCTCATGGAGGGCGATTTTGATAGTGATCCTTCCCAGAAAAACGTACCCACAACCCGTAGAAGAGAGTGGGTTTGCAAAAAGATGAATGGTTGACAAGATTGCCCTTGGCTGAGTCCTAGTGCATGTTTGTTGCCCTTGGCTTCAATGCCCCCCCATCCTGGAAGAACGAGCCATGCTCAAGCCCAGCAACGCAACTGCCGAAATGCTGCTATCATGAGGCGATTTGGATTTCTCACCCCAGAACCCCATGTGCGTTTATATGTGAAGATGGTGAAAAGAGGTGAAACAAGGTTAAACGAGGTGAAACGAGGTGAAACGAGGTGAAACGAGGCGAAACGAGGCGAAACGAGGTTAAAAGAGGCGAAAAGAGGCGAAAAGAGCTGAAAACAGGCGAAAAGAGCTGAAAAGAGCTGAAAAGAGCTGAAAAGAGCTGAAAATATTATGACCCATTCGCTGTTGAGGTGATTGAACCGAGGGGGCACCAAGCCCGGTCCGGACAGCCCGGCCATCCCAGCGAGGTCGGCGCTCAGCGACATCTGCAAGCACTCCCCGGAGCTCGCGCAGACCGTGGTGGATGCAGGAGCCGAGTCGAGCGGATGAGCCAGGTGAGAGACCCCCCCCAAGACTTGCTGCTGCGATAGGCAGAGAATGAGAAATGGAATGACCGAATATGAACCATCCAATGTTTATTCGGGGAATCCACAAACAGTTCATTCCGTTTCTCATTCCCTACCTATCGCAGCGGCAAGAAAAGAACAAGGCTAGCTGCTTCGGTTTCCTTTTTTTCTCGAGGCCAAATTGGCCAAGCTCCAAGCCTTCCTTTTATCAGGGTGCCGATTGGGTCAGTGGGTATCAGTCCTCTGGCCCCTTTGGGGATCCTTCATTTTCCCTGCTTGGGCCGTGGGCTCCTTGGTTGGAGGGTTTCTTCTTTTTGCAAATCGACGGCCCAGTTCCGTGCTCCCGAGAGGAAAGTCGCTGCCTGCCGGTTTAGTGCAAATGCCTGCGTCTTTGCCCGCAAGTTTAAGAAGCCAGAGTAACCTAGGGATGCTCTTAGGAGACTTATTCCATTCGTCCCCCATCCAAAACGTCGACATGAGTTTTCGAGAAGCAAAGTACTCCAAGTAAGACACAGCTCAGCCAAGAGACAACCCCTTGGCACCGGATTCCGGCCGCTCCAAGGCGCCGAGACCGCGCGCGCCTTCGCGCGAGCGCGCGCCTAGCGACGGCGATTCGATGGCAGGAGCTGTGTCGCTGTTGGCCAAGGACATCTCCCACAACGATGCGCCGCTCAAGCGCCAGGCCTGCGCAGAGATGGGCATGGGGTCATTGGGGATTGGTAAGGCCACGCAAATGTTTAGGGAAACCAACCAGGTCACGGACCCCTGAAAGAAAGCCGACAAGGCCCCGGACCCCGAAGGGAAACCTAGCCTTAGGGAAACCTAAATGGGGCTTGATCGAATGCCTCGAGCGGTTGGCCCACGGGGCCCAGGGGATTTTTGTCTCCGTGAGGTCTGCTCGTGCCTGGCGCAGATCGCGAAGCACTCCGTGGACTTGGCGGAGGCTTGGAGCTCGAAGGGGGCGGAGCCCTGGTTTTCGGCGTGCGATCAGCTTATTGCTCCGATTTTTCCGAAAGGAGGCCACATTTTGGGATGAGTTTTTTTTTTTTCCAGACCCCCTCTTGTAACACCCGCACAAATGGATTTTTCAGCCTGAGTCGACAGGGGTTTAGATGATAGCTCCGAGTTAAACCCTGCAATATGTTCAAGATAGTATGTTCAAGATAGTCTCCCTGCTCAAGTTAAATCAGCATTCGGACTCCTGCATAGGGACCTGTTCGGAGGGAGCCAAATTGAATACTTCAAAAACTGGGAGCACCACCTGAAGGGCGAGTTTGACTTACGAAGGCGGATGTGTCTCCTCTCGTTCATCTTGACTCCACCTTCAGGGTGCCCCTGTTTTGCTTCAGCCTGATTGATTACTGGGAGGCGTACTCAACAAGCGGTCAACATTGTCACCTGGAAATGTCGGCCCAAAGCCAACAGTAGGGTCTGAGTCTGAGCACCGCAACAGGGCCAAGTAGTGGACCTTGCTTCTTACTCGCTTGCTTTGCTCAAGAACCTACGTTGGCCGCCAGCACGAATGCACAGACACACACACACACACAGAGACGCGGTTCCAGCTTTCAGGATGTATGCTCCCTGAAGCAGCGCTGGGTGTGTCAGACGTCATCCACCGACGGTGCTTTGCTGTGGTTTACATTCTCAACCAAGCCCCGAAAGGGTACTCAAGAAGACATACCCCAGACACCTTCGTCCTTTTTTTGCGGGAAGGGCTGCCCTTCAACATCCACGCCTGGCAACAGTCGGGATTGATTGGTTGATCAACCAGTTTTCATAGGGCCTCAAGCATCCAAACTGTCCATGCACAGTAGGCGTCCTTTTTGGGTCAATGTGATTGAGCATTGATTGCTGGGTTCCACTGGTTTCAGTTTGGTTCTACGTTCCATTTGCCAGCGCCGTCGATTTTTTTGAAAGGAGGGTGCATGAGATTATTATCCTTGGCATGAAACACTGCATCCTAGGATAGTATATGCTCTAATTGACCATACCTGTTGTTTTGACATTGATGGTTTGCTGGATTTTCAGAAAGCAGTGCCCCAAGTCTTTGCCCATCCCAGCCCACAATCGTGGAAGAAGAAGTAGCAGGGCCGCTGACCAAGCCGTAAGGAATGGATTCCGTGGGTAGGAAAAAGCGGTCCGGTTTCCCCAGGCCCCCCAAAGAACGGGGACTCGGAGCGAGGTCGGTGGCCGCTCGCCGTTAGGTGGTGGTGGAAGCCGAGATCTTCCCGCGCATCTTGCATTGCCTGAAGGCGGGGTCGCCGCGCTCGCCGCGGAGACTCGGGTGGGTTCCTTTGAGAGCTGATAATTATGTTGGGGCGCTTGTTTTGAAAGGGAAACCAAAGAGATACCGTTGTCGTTGCGGGTTCTACGTCGTTCTTGGAGACGAACGGTATATGAGGCAGTCTACTGATGGGTATAACAGTGGAGTGGAGTAAGAGCAAGCCAGTTGGGAGGTCGTTTACGCTGGCAAGGTGTCAATGAGCTGGACAGAGGTATCCCATGAAACTGACAGGCTTTTGGAAGACTATAGTAAAGGCTAATGGCTGTCTCTTGTTGGGGTAAACCAAACAATTGGCCACGAGAAGGGAGAACCCAGAAAGCCTCAGGGCCGGGCCGCAATTCTCTCCGGGTTTCGAAACCCGGCGCTGTTGTTCGCTCCAAGGTCGCCTGGGGCTGGATTTGAGAGGGGGTGCAGGGGGTAAATCAGACTTTCTCAGCGGTGGGACTTGATTCGCTTGAGCTTCCGCGCAGAACATTCAGTCTCGCCCCGCGTGGCTGATGGGTGCTCTGAAGGGTGCAAAACGGAGCTGCTCAGATGTGCGCCCAATACATGTGTAAATCCCAGTCCATGTAAACCGAAATGACCATGCAAGTAGAACCAAAGTCAGTTGGTTTTGGGTCAGATGAGATCCAAAGTGGTATCCAGATAACTGCAGCGAGGCTTCGTGAGAATAATGAGAGACACTTGGGGCGCTTTCGGGAGAGCCTTCTTCTCAAGATTCCGCGCGAACCCTCGAAGACTCACAGATTTCCCCACAGATCCCTAGAGACCAACCCAAAGTGGCTGGTTTTCCTCTGCCTTACCCATCATTCACCAACAGGTACCTTCCGTTAAGAGGGAGACTTGAAGAATTGGAGGGTCCTTTTCGGGGATGGTTCTACAAGCAATCGTTTTGGGCTTTGCCCCGATTATGGTCCTGGGCTGGAAACTTTGAAAGATCCCGCAGGACATCGACGAGTTCGTGCGCAAGAACGCGGCCACGTGCATCCGCGAGATCGCACGCGGGGGGGCCTATTGGGAGTGGGGGGGTTCCGTGCTTACATTGCAGGGCACCGGTTCCGTTGGAGCCGATCGCAGGGCCAGCAAGGTCAGTACAGCCGCCCCAAATCCAGATGCTTCAAATCAGGAGGAAGCAGGGTGGAGTGAGTTGAGGGTTCTGGAAGGTCCCCTTTATGAAGATCATTGACATTTGGAAGGCCACGGAAGGCCTTTCATTGGTATCACAGAAGTGGAGAGCCATGAGCTCTGGCGTCTACGAGCCAACCACCCAAGGCATCCTGGAAGTGGACAAGGCACCTTTTTCAAAATGATGTTAGGCTTCCAAAGCCTTTCTGTGCACCTCCATGATTGTTGCACAGAGTCTAGCCCGAAAACGTCCGAGTCAACTCTGTATTTGTCAATCTGCTTCCTTCTGGCAAAGTCTCCAGAGTCGGTGTTCTCTTGCACATCTTGCACCTTCTCTGTGTTTTCAGGCGTGTTTATCTTCACGGCTGTGGTTCCCACAACCCGAGACCTCTCTGGGAACAGTTCGGAGGAGCAACATAATTTGCTGGTCCCTTTTGCCTCATGCCAGGTTGCGACTCTTGGCCTACACAAGAGGCGTTTCGCCGCTTTTTTTTCTCCCCTTCCGGGGGACTCCGACTGAACACCGGGGAGACCGGGTGTCCCTTGGTCGGGTTCCGGTCGAGGCCACACGCCGGACCTGGCGAAGCTGATCGTGAACGCGGGCGGTGTGGCGGCCATGGTGGACTACATCACGGAGGCGCCCGGCGCCGGTGCCGGGGGGGGGAGCCTTGCCACTGGTGTCACAAGCCAAACCTGGGTCACCAACCAGGGGGTAACCCCAGCTGCCGGCCTTTTGATTCTTCACGAAATGTGGGTAGGCTGCTCTACCAGGTTCAGATTGTGACCGTGTTTGAGAACCCAGCGACCCTTGTTCCAGTCCAGAACAAATGCAATCAATTCCTCACCATGGCCGAGGAAAAGGAACAGTTCCATGACGTGAGCAAAGGTCCCTTTAAAGGGAATCTTCAAGACTGCTTTTCGGGGAGCATTGCGGGATTCGTTGTGGTGCCTGCAAGACTTGCTCGAGGGTTCGCTGACCCCCTTCTGCACGGCTTTTGAATGGAGTTCAAAAAAAAACCATCCACCTACTCCCAAATTTCAGAAACACTTGTGTACTCAGGGATCTCTCTTTGACAGTTGTTCACATCTTGCTTTCACTATGATCTGAGAATAGCATTTGTGCCTGGGGTAAGGAGCTGAGGTAGCTCCTATTCGTTTTCAACTCCTTTTGGTTGCCAGTTAGGAAACGAGCTTCCTTTAGGTGCTGTGTGAGTTGTTGAAGGGACATGTACGAAACCCTGAAGCATTTATCATTTAGAGGGGTCCCTGATTTTGAGACACCGCCAACCTGGCTGTGGCACTGCAGAAAGGGCCCGGCAAGCAAGGACCCCTGCTGATCACCTTTTCTGGCCCTTTGGGGAAGGGCTCCAAGAAAGGTTTTCAAAACTCATTTTGGGGGCTGACTATCGCATGGCTAAAGGAAGCAGGTTACGACGTGGAGGGGCGCCTCATTCCGACATCCGGGTGGTTTACCGTCAAAATTACTTCTGTTGAGTTTAATATTTGATGTTTCATTGATATTGTGAAAATGCACAACACCATGGCAAACGATAGGGGACTCTCAAAAAAACGATACCACTGGAAAAGCATGAAAACGCTGGAAACCAATAGGGGACTCTCAAACCAAGTGGCGAACCGGCCGTAAGTAAGTAATTTCGACCGTGCCTCACCTCACGTAGGCCTCGAGTTTGGGATGCCTGAAAGATAGTGATTCAGTGCAATGTACTGAATGCAAGACCATCGGGAGTCCCTAGACGGCTTTCCTGCAGAAGTCATTTGTGGTCCTGCGTTCTGAATTTAACGAGCTTCCGTGTAGAAGTAAAAGAAGAACCTCTTTGCTGTCTTGGCCGTTTTGGCCACTCAAACTGGTCAGGTGCTTGAACTCATGAAGTCCTACTTGAAGATGTTGCAGTCGGCTTGTATTTGCGGGGGCTTTCTGTTGAGACGCACCCTCCTTCTGAAGCTTGATGATTTTGCTTGAATGACTGTTTATGTTTTTAATCTTTCTTTCTCCCTTTCTCTCCCTCTCTCCCTCTCTCCCTCCCTCTCTCCCTCTCTCCCTCTCTTCCTCTCTCCCTCTCTCCCTCTCTCCCTCCCTCCCTTCTATTTTTTTCTCTCTTCCCCTCTCTCTCTCTGTCTCCCTGTGTTTGTTTGTGGCACCCTTGTTTGCTCTCCAGGCTCGCGGAAACAATCGCCTGCCGGGCATCATGACGCTGGGCTACATCGCTGCGCAGGGCAGCCCAGAGTCTCGCGGGATTTGCCCGCGCAGGTTTTGGCCACGCACCATAGAACTCGTCTGCTTCTTGGGCAGCATCGCGGGATTAGTTGTGGCGCCTACCAGAGCAGGTTGAGGGGTCAGGGACCCCCTTTTGCAAGGCTGTTGAGTGGACATGAACAGGAAGTCATCCGCCTATTCCCAAATTTTCAGAAACACCCGTGTTCTCAGGGATCTGTTTTGATACTATTTTGTGTCTTAAGGTTCGCTGAGTGTGTACCAGAAGCAGTTGTGGGTTTCGTGCCTTCAAGGCATGTACCTCAGGACCTAACCTCATGCTCCCTCCCGTGAGGCGAAACAAGTCACCCACCATTTCTGCAACAACACAATTGGAAAAAGGCCTGCATGAAACAATATCGAGGGTGGTTTTGCCAGCCTACGGGTCATGAAGCATGGATCTACACATGACAACAGGTGTTTCTCAAAATAGGGAGACCGTAAAATGGGGTGTTTCCTTGTGGCTTCTCCTTAAAATCAACCGCAAAGGGGTCTCGCATTGTGAGAACTCCCTCACCATAATCCTGGGCAAAAGCGGAGACCTCCGCCTTCCAGGTTCTCAGAGACTCTGGCGCTGGCGGTGGTGGTGTCGCGAGACTCAGCGGGTGACTGGCAAAAATGGGGAGCTGAAAGATCCGAGCGGTGAGGGCTGCCGCGGGGGGGGGTGGGGGGTGGGACGGGTGGCTTTTTCTGGGCCGGAAGGTCCTGGATGGGTGTGGTGTGGTTCCCAGATCGCTTTCTTTGGGGGGTTCCCATTGCATGCTGCCTTTTGTCGCTGACACGGACTCACGGAAAGAAGCTTCCAGAGCGCCTCCGCATCCTTTGAAGCCGACATGCTTTTCCCGATTCGCGGCGGGCGGACATCTCTACGGACCGGTCAGGGTACTGTCAAGGAAGCTACGTTATGATCGCTGTATATCATTTAACCCCTTACATATGTGATGTGCGGGTTCACACCATGGCGACCTTTTCCGGTTTCCTTGGAAGTCAGCGCGACAAACCGCACAGACAAACACTGGGCCAGCCATGTCTCGCCCCTCATGGGCAAGATGTTCATGTCTTCAGAAGCTTCAGACTCTGCTGCGCGAACGGATAGACGACCTTAAACAGGTGACGATCATGCAGTACACCATGCCGTGTTTGTTCATTTGCTGGTCCTTCTCATTGGGTTGCAGCTGGCCTTCGCGAGCGGGCTGAATGCATTGTGCCGATCGAGTGAAGTGAACCATCCAGTTGATTCCCGAAAGGTTTGGCGGAGGTTGAAGAACCCTGCAATCTGCCATGGTTGGTTTGCTGGCTTCGGACACTTACCGGAGTCGCATGTAGTTCGCCCTGGGTGCTTTTACATGTTAACCTGGGGTGTCAGAAGGCAAAGTCTGGGTTCAAGTGACATGCTCAAGATTGCCCCCCCCAAAACGGGAGGTTTGGAGGACCCCCCCAAAGTCATTGTGAGAACCTCGGGCAGAATGCTTACTTTCAGGCGCCCAGCTGCTTAGGGCCCCCCCCGGCTTTCCGGGGCCCGACTCTTGGGGCTGTCCCAAAAAACTTTCGACTCCGAGGTCGAAGGGCATCCCGCCACTGAAGGATGCGCTCATCAACGAGCCGGAGGACCATCTCAAGGCGCCCGAAGTCCGTCGCTGGTTCTCAGTCGGGAAGCCACGTAGGGTTTTGGGAATGAGGACACCAGAAAGGATGGCTGGTAAGAAGCATTGCCTCATTTCCTGCTGAGAACCAGCAAGAAAAGGAGCAGAGCAGAACTGAGAAGAGTGGGACCACGAAGAGTAGAGTAGAGGACAGCAACAGCGAGAAGAGGCCAGATTATTTTGTTTGGGTTTTCCTATCAATCCCAAGTCCGTTTTCGCGCCAGGCTGCGTCCGCCTGGTCTCTTGGCCAGCCCGGGCACTTGGCCCTGGGGGGGTTTCGTGGGGGCAGTTTGGGTTTGGAAGGCGTAGCCTTATATAGGTACCTTTCTGTTGCCGGATTTGCCTGCAAAAAATACGAATGGGTTGAGGGCTCCAATTTACTGTATATGCTTTGGCCACTGGGGTACAACCCCACGGGTGAATGACAACAGCTTGAATGCAGGTGCCAAGTGTAGTTGCGCCAAGTAGGAGGAAGCAAAGCAGTCACAGGTTCCGATGTCGACCCAGATCGAATCTTGCAGATCGATGTCACCAATCCATTGAAAACTAGCATTCTTCTTTTTGACTGGCCTTTGGAAGTCTTGGGTGATAATTCAGTGGTGTGCACGAGCAAACGTATAAGCTCATGCACCGGCAGTCTGGCTTAGCGCTTTTTGGTGTCATTGGGAGCAAGGGCCCGACAGATTCATTCCTGGGTCTCCTCCAAGACTTCAAATACTGGGGTAGACTGAACATCTTCAAATTTGGCGTGTCGACTGAATATCTCCTCCAAGACTGCCAATTTTAGGGTAGACTGAATATTTGCTCCAACACTGCCAATTTTGCGGGTAGTCTGAATATTTGCTCCAAAACTGCTGCCAAATTGAATCTCTGAAAATGAAGCAACATCTGAAGATACGATTTTCTTTCCGCCCGATTTGGGTCGGCCAACAATAGCCCATCGCGGACCCGTGGCCCCTTGGCTCCCCACTCCAGGATCGGGCGTCACTCCCCCGACCACGCGCGGGCGCTGGCAGAGGCGGCCGGGCTGCCCAGACCCCGAGGCTCAAGCTCACCAAATCCGCTCGCCAGGGTTCGGCGGCTTATTCCAAGGGAGATGTGCTCCGTGAAGGTTCCTTTCTGGGGTGTGCCTAAAGAAAGGCCGGTGACTGATATAGTTCACCCAGGGCATTTGGTGGCAGCTTATTTGTTCTGTTGATGGGTGGTTTCATCCATCCCCGCTGCAAAGCGGATTTTGTCCATCCACAGAAGGTGTGATGTCTTGGCGCTTTGGTTGTACCTTACGCGTCACCTGTTTGATGAAAACGGAGTTTTGGTCCACTAGCCAGCACATGTTGTGAGATGTTTTTTGTTTCGTGTATGGTCTTTTTCTCCAAGCTTTCTCAGCATCTGAGCACCTTCCGAAGCGAATTTGGTGTTTTGCCGGGCAGTGCTCTAGACTTTGAGCAGCTCTGGAGGAGCTGTCAGCAGATGAGATGGTGAGTGCCGAAATGCATGCAGGTGTGTGCACATGCCTATGCATACGCGCACGCAAAACATGCTCATGTCTACACATACGTACAGGTATGCACACGCTCGCGCGCGCGTGTGTGTGTACACACACACACACGTATATACATATATACATATATGGTACCCCCCCCCCCGCCGGGAATACTCAGGTTCTTGGCCAGAAATTGACATTTTGGCTGCAAACATGCATGCAAAACACGTTCCAGCTTCTAAAAATGAGGCTCTAAAAATGCACTCCATTTTTAGATCAAATTCTAGCATCGGTTCTTAGTGCAATCCAGCATGTGCTAGCACATGCTAGCACATCCTGGATTGAAGATTGAATATTGAAGATTTCTGACAATTCTTTCTGGGAATCTTCAAATCTGTACTTATGGCAATCCAGGGTGCGCACGTGCTAGCACGTGCTAGCACATCCTGGATTGAAGATTGAAGATTGAAGATTCTCTGACAACTCTCTCTGGGATTTTTGAATCTTCAATCTTCAATCCAGGATGTGCTAGCACGTGCTAGCACATATTAGCTTGTCCAAGGATGGATTGAAGATTTCCAGAACAAGTGGTCTGAGAATCTTCAATCTTCAATCTTCAATTCAGGATTGTCCTAAGTACATATTTGAAGAACTCCAGAAAGAGTTGTCAGAGAATCTTCAATCTTCAATCCAACGCCCGGATTGTCCTAAGTGCGGATTTGAAAAATCCAAAAGGCAGACCGGGAGTGCACGTTGTCAGAATCAAATTGTGGATGTGCACCTGCACTGCCTGCTTTTGGCCATGGGGAAAAATGCTGTTGACACCTTTACATATTTTTTTGTGGACTTGAGGGCTGGCCAGGATGGAAGATTCGCAAATATAAGATCTGGTAGATCTTCAACCTTCAATGCAGGGGGCAAATCCTTACATGAGTCTAGAACAAACTGTCAAGCTTTTGGGGGGGCCAGGATTGAGGATGCTCTAAAGATATGTTTGTGGAATCTTGCATATTCGATCTTCGATCCAGGGCAACACGATCTGAGCAAATGCTGAAAAACACTGTGTTTTACAGCATTTCTGCCACGAATAGGATCTATGATTGAAAACACTTTTCTGTCACTGGCTTGGCTCAGTGCTTGCTTGTTTCAAACCACATGGAGTTTGGCTAGGACAACAGCCCTTTTCGCAATTGAATTTGATTCCAAGTTCCTTTGGCCATGACAATAGCTATCTTCTCCAGTTGATTTTTGAAATACACAAGAAACTGCAAACAATTGAAATTGAATTTGGTTTGAACTCGAAAGCGTTTTAAACTGGATATCCTTCCGCTACTTGAATTTCAATAGTTGTTAGAGTCGATGATTGAACCAACTTAGACAAGCAACACACAGCTGAGATAGTTGCTTTGCAGAATATGTTTCAAATTGCACTGAACTAGCATGTACATGGAATTTTGCACAACACTTGAGTTAACATGTAAATGCAATTGCGCAGGGCATGAAGTAGGAATGAGTTCCTATTCCCCAAGTTGATGATTTGTTGAATTTCGCTGCCATGTTTTTTTTTTTACATAATAGAGCTGCTACAGGCGCGTTGAAGCTGCCAAAGAATACTACGCGCACTACTCTTGTGCTAACAAGTTGCTTTTTGAGCTGGAGCTGCCAAAGTGCACTTTGCATACTCCAATATGACTTTGAGTGCACTTCGCGCACGCCAATGTGACGGTCACACGGCTCCTATTCAACGTTGAGCTTAATTTCTGCTTGGTTGGAATTTGCATGGGGTTGCGCGTCCAGAGTTCATTTCAGAGGCTCAAGGCATTTGTCACCCCCAGTCTGGCCAAAAACCACAGTTCTGGCAAAACTTGAGTAATTATTTCAAGGGGGGGCAGCATATATATATATAATGTATACACACACACCAACAACACACGCGCACACACACACATTTGTATATATATATATATATACATATCCAGCATATATATATATATATATATGTTCCAGTCCCCAGGCCACCAACCCCCCTCCCCAGCTGACCCTATGCCCACCCCAAACCAACCCTAAGCCAACCCTAAACCCACCCTATACCCACCCTAAACCAACCCTAAACCAACCCCAAGCCAACCCTAAACCAACCCCATACCCACCGCAAACCACCAACCTCCCCCCCACCCCCCACCCCAACCCCCCAGGATGGGAACATGTATATATATATATACACACACACACACACTTGCATGTACATGGGCTTAACCTCATTTGGCCATCTTCTCACTCTCCGAGGATGTGCTGCGCCGGCTCCTGGCAGCGCGGGCCCCGTTTAAATAGCACCTGTGCCCAGGGCCAGGGTACCACCCTCAACTCCCGGGGCACCGTGGGAGATGGTACTCATCATCCCCTTCAACCTTTGGTTTGCGCTGTGTGGTGGTACCCTCTTCAATTAGGGCCGGGGAAACCAATAGGAGAACCGAACCCGTTTTAGGGCCCCGCTCTTTTGACACATGCCCACATAGAACCCGACCAGAAAGCCACTGGAAGCGGTTGGAGCTGAGTTTCCTCTTGTGGTGATGTTTAATGTGGGGAACCCTGTAGAGGAATTCCCAAACATGGGGAATGCACCCCCCGTTTTAAAAATGATTGGGGGGGGGATGTTTCACTAGCCATGGCTCAAGCAAGCTGCCTTTTGGTTTGCTTCAAAGGTTGGCAGGGCCTTGCACCAGCGGCGCCCACCCCTTCCATTTGGACATGTTCTGCACCAAGCAGCCACAGCTACGGGGGTTGTAGCCAATGGCTTTGGGGCGGTCCTTGGGCAAGTTTCTTGAGGGTTTCAGAGGCTCCAGAGAGGGGCGGTTGGGAAGCCGAGAGAACCCCCGCCTTTCTTTTGGGCATCCCCTTTCGAGACATACCCCCTCATGGAATATATGTGAGTGATCCCCCTTCGGACCATCAAGGAAGCCGAAGGTAGTTGATCCCGCAGTAACGGACCAATAGTGGGGTGTTTCCCTCAGACGCGATCCTGGTTCCATCTTGATTGGTTTGCGACCCTCGCGCAACAATCAATCAACAAGGTGCTTATGCACTGCTTCCTCCCTTCCCTTCCCTTCCCTTCCTTTCCCTTCCTTTCCCTTCTCTTGGGATTGGACCCTTTGAGATTTCGGGACCTGTACCTGAGGTCTACTTGCACCAGGACTCTTCCGAGGACCTGCGGACCAAGGCAGAAGTCCGGAGTCTGGGAATTCCAGGAGTCCTGGAAACCGAAGCAGGTTTTGTGAGAGTTTGGGCATATTTGGTTCACAGAAGATCCGGACTATCGCTTTGATTCCTTGCTGCAAGTTATGGAATGGGTCTCAGACGGACATGCACGTATAATAGTTTGGGCTGATTTGAGGGTAAACCAGCTCACCCATGATGAAGGTCCTTGTTTGAGGAATTTATTGAGTGAGGTTGGCAAATTTAGGTGCACGAGAATCCAGGGCATCGAAGCTTGGAAACGGGAAGCACAAGGTGGGGTTGTTCATGTTTGAATCCCCAAATATTGCAGGGAGCTAACCTGGACAACCCTTCAATTTCCCGTGGGTGGATGGTTTGCTTGCGGTAGTTAGGAATCAACTGCAAGTTGCAGATTCATTCTGGAACCCGTTTCAACAGCCACCTCTCCCCTGATTCCTTTTGGCTTGTTTTGACAATCTGCGTACTGTAGGGGATAGACAGGCCCCTTCATATATTCATGAGACTGGGCTTCAACGACCGGGTCCACTGCTTTTCTCAGAACTGGGGGGGTCGCTTCCTACCATTCTTTTGTAACTTGAAGCCTTAAGCTTGACAATGTAGGAGGAGGCATGTCCTTGACTCCATGCCAAGGTCAGCTGTGGCCCGTTGGCCGACAACATTCTCGTGTTCAAGCCTTTGAAGCAAAGCCGACTCTCCAAAAGGTACCATGCAACCGACAAAGCCCTTCGTAGAGGAATCTCCCTTTGAAGGACCTTTAGTCGGGCCCAGCTGGCCCAGGACCAATTCTCAACCATTGACGTGACATGATGTGAAAGAAAGGTCCTTGCTTCTCCACGTAACACCAATAAAGAGACCGTTTGTACGTGTTTTGATGACAGAGGACTGGACTATGCGGCAGAGTTGCTATATTGGTGTCCGCCCTTTTTAGGTGGGTTGAAGGGTTGACAGCGCGCCCATTCTTGGGGTCACCCAATTTTGTCACACACCCATATTTTTGTACCTGGCTTTTGGAGATACAGAAGGGGTTGCCCCCCCCTAATTACGCCAGAAAGGTCCGACTGAGGCCTGAGCTTTTCCCTGAGCCCCTGGGGCTTTCGGCAGGCGAAGCGCGCTCTGAAGAGCGTCATCCAGAAGTGCACTCACCTCCCAGCCCTGGAGCCATTGCTGGAGGCGGATTCGCTTTTGCGCATGCGGAGGGGCAAGGTGGCACCCCAGTTTCTATGACCAAACCGCCTTTGGGTAGATAGTTGGATGCCGAAAAGCTCGAGAAATGACCAAACCACATTGGGATAGACAATCGCTCCAAACTTGACTCCAAGCCTTAGAATGACCAAAGCACGGGGTAGAAGATCGAATCATTGGGTAGCCCGAAAAATGATATTTTTCCTTTTGGTTTCCCTTGAAACCACCCCAAAAGGGGTAACCTAACAAACACACACACACACACATGCCAAAGAACCCCAACCTGCAAAAGCCCCGAGTCGATTTTTCATGCTCACCATTCGTCTACAAATATGCCGCAAAGTGGTTTCCCTGTGGTTTCCCTTGCCCAGTTGGAAAAGAGTCTCCCGAAGAGCAGGTGTACAGGGTGATGTTCTGGCCTTACTATTCTGCTTTTGAGATGGGCTTGGCAGGGTCCTTGTATTTCACTTTTTGTTTGTTTTTTAAGCATCACCTTTTGGTTGCCAAGTTTGATTGAGTCCCTTGCATGGGGTGATGTTTAAACGGGGCATGGAAGGACTCCTGTTGAGTCAGGATTGTCATCTACCCTTTAGTCGGTAGATGTGCTAAACAACCCAGAGTTTTGAAAGGGGATGGTAGCTTTTCTGAGAGAAACTTCGGACTCCTTGGCAGGAAGTTTAGACAAGCATTAAACGAATCCATGGCACAAATCTTCCCATCTCCACGGCCGGCAATTCGCACCCCGTTTAGGGGACCCCCAAACACACCTGCTTTGGACATATCAAAGAACTTGGAGCTGTGTTTGTGGTTGCGGGGGGGGGGGCTCCTCAAAATATTCTATTAGCAATGCAGTGCAGAGGCATCGTCTTGCTCACCACTGTCGGGAATCCCTGCAGCATTGGGGATTTGCGCCGGAACGCGAGTTGGCATGAGACGTGATTCACTGCTTTGGCCTTGGACCCCCTTACTCTATTGCCGTTGGGTTGGATCTTTAGACTTTAACTTTTTGAATTCCCCTCATATTTCCCTTTGACCAGTAAAAAGTTAAACTGTTTGCTGGGGGATCTACAGCACCCAAGCTTAGAGTGTCTCGAAAGCCCTTGCAGGCGCCGCCCAACATCCTGAAGTACGTGGTGCAGCAGTTCGCGAAGGTCCGGAGATTCGAAATGCGACGTCCACGGGATCTTTGGCACCCCCAGTGCACACGTGGGAAAAGGAGAGACGACAGACTGGTTTCCTCAAATTCAGCCTGTGTGATCAGGCCTTAGGGTCCAAAAAAGGAGGGGGGAGGGGTGGACCTCACAAAGCGTTTTGGCGCGTGTGTCTGTGTGTGAATTCACCCAGAAAAATAAATACAGTCTGTTCAAGACATGGCAGACAAGCATGGAAGACTAACATTGCGCGCAACAACCTTCGCACTCAGACTGACATGGTCAATTCCCCAGGTGGCAGCCCCAAAGGCCGCCGCTTTTGGTGAACCCTTTGGCTCCCTCGGAGTCCTGTTCGGACTGCAGTCTGGATTGAGAAATCTATCCTCTCTTTGGGCCCTTCAAGTGGATTCCTTTCGGGTGTTGGTGGTTTCCCTTTTTGAGCACAACGTGGAGGGAGAATTTGTGGATGCCACTTTGATGATCTTGAATGGACTCCGGCCAGGGGCCGTGCAGACGGTGTTAAGAAGGTCCCACGAGGTATCACAATCGAGCAAACATGTGCCAAGCCGCAGCGAGTTGCTGTAGGGCTCTCGGGGAAAGAGTGTTTCAGGATTGTTCCAACCATCATGGAAGTGGCCAGAGAGGTTCCCCAGTACTTCCTGTCATGTTGGCGTTGGCTTTCTGGTGATTCTGGCTTCCGTGCCACAAGAACACAGCAGCCTGACAACTGTGAGGTGGATCTCACAATTCACCTACGTGTTTTTTTCTTTTTTTTTTTCTTCTTTTTTTCTGAGGGCTGCAACAACCAGCTGTCTATGCGTACCAACGACAGGCACCCTCAGGGGAATTTCCCATCCATCAGTCCCACAGGTTGCTAACGAAAGTCCCTTTTACTTCTAACAGTCCCGGCTCTTGTTTCTTTTTCCGGATTTCGGGGTTTCCTTTTGACAGAACAAAAAGCCAGTGCCTTTCAGTGAGAGGCCGCTTCTCGCTCGGTGAAGCAGAGCAGCCGTTTGATCATTCGGGGACATATCAACATGGGGGGCCCTTTCCACAAGGGAAGCCAGCAGAAGGCCTCTTGATTCCGATTTTCAGTCTGCTGGACCAGTTGCTCTATATGCTCAACTTCTTTGCACTGAGCAAGCTCCAAAAAGAACACCAGATTTCGCCGGCGAAGATGAGTGCCCCGAGCGCTGATACACTCCTCTTTATTCGCTGGATGCCCTTGTATACCCTCCCATCCATGGAACCGGAGCGTTTTGTTTTTTTGCATTTTGTCCGGTTCTCTTCAGGGGCCAGTTCTCAGGGTCCCGGTATTTTCCTCCTTGGTCGTTTTCGGCCTCACTGGTTTGGCCCATATGTTGCGGTTCCATGGCAGGTGCTGCCCAGCGACCTCAACGCCAGGAAGTCCTTTGTGCAGTCAGGCGCACCAGAGGGACTCGTCAGGATCGGCCAGTTCTGGCTTCCACCGCACGCTTCCTTGGCTTGTTTTGGTTTCCTTTGGTCTGGCCCTTTGGTTTCCAAGCCTCTAAGCGTTTGTTGGTTTCCTTTGGCCTACCTCCGACCAAAATTCTACCTTGTGAGCAAACCCAGGCGGTCTGCAGAAGATTCAGGAGGTCAAAGCGGAGGCGCCGGCAGGGGCGGGCTGTTGGGGAACATGGCAGTCTTTGGTTTGTCTCGCATCTAACAGAGGGCATGTTTTGTCATGAATGCGAAAAAGACGGCAACCGAAAGAATGATGTCAGCAGCGTGTCCACCTGTAGGCTTTTGATGTGGATGCGGGTGCATTGCTGGCTCGCAAGGAGCCACTTTCGGAGCAAGGCAGATGTGTTGGCGTGTGCTTGTCGCCTGCTATCCCTGTCACCTATGCCTATGCTGCGATTCTAGCTTCCGAAGCTGGGAAGGCAGCAAGCCCACTCGACAAGTTGTGCGGGGAACGGCTCACGATCCATCAAGCCTTCCTAAAGGCTTGCCCACTTCGCATGGTGCCCACTCAGTCGCACCACGATTTCGTCTGTTGCCAGACTCGCCCTTTTGCCCCCTTTGGGGCTTCCGTCATTTTCGGATAGTTCGCGCAAAGAATCCGGATCAGGTGGGCTCCAAGTTGCACGACTACATCGAGGAGATCAACATGCTCTACCCACCGGAGATTGTGCAGCGCTGACCCCAGCCTTCTCTCAAGCTCGCATCACCTAACCAGGAAATATATCACACGTGCCATGGTCCAAAGACCGTTTTACTTGGGGTTGGTAGAGATGGATGGTCATGTACCTTGAAATAAAGGGATCTTGGGCAGTCATGATAAGGGCTGCCAACAAGGGAACCGTGATGGCCCACACAGGGAGTTTTAAGCGTGGCATAGAGGGACCAAATCCCCCTCCGCTACCCCGCCGCCCTTTCCCCAGAGAAAGACCCGGAATTGAACGATCGGCAAAAGGTTTTGCAGGCCACCATTTGGCAAGTATCAAACGCCCTAGAAGATCAAGTCCATAGAATTACCATGAGCTCAGCGATTCGTGGGTAAAACGAGTGATTCAGCCCATGATGAAGGTCCTTTACATATCCAAAGAATCGTGTGTGTTTGCCTCGCTCTCTCTCTCTCTCTCGCTCTCTCTTTCTCTCTCTCCTCTCTCTCTCTCCTCTCTCTCTCTCTCTCTCTCTCTCTCTCTCTCTCTCTCTCTCTCTCTCTCTCTCTCTCTCTCTCTCTCTCTCTCTCTTTGTCACTGCCTTGACTCAGTTGAGGCACACCGTGAAGTATGTGGTCACATTTTTCCCAGAACAAATGAGGACCGCGCAAAAACCCATGCATTCGGTTTAGTATTCCGAATTGGGCCGACATGGCATGAACTTCCCGCTGTGTGCACGGAAGAGACGCGGAAGGGCGGGGGAAGAGATGCGGAAGGGCCAGGGCTAGTGACACATGTGTATGTGTTGTGATGTCAAGAAATAGAGTGGACTTGTTTTCAAAACGGATGATGTTTCATGGGCAACCAAAAGAGAAGCTATACCAAACAGCTTCAGGCGTTGTCTTTTTGGAACGGCAATCTAGAGTTGAGGTGCAGCAATGATCATGCATTGCTGCATGTTATGATGCAATGGCACATTTCGTGGATCAGTTTGTTGTGGGAACATGCTGCCAGAGTAGGGATCTTGTGCAGGAGCCCTTTTGGGCTCAGCGGTTTGCATATAATGCAGCAAGGTCGCTTCTTGGCCCTCGGTTGCTTGCATGAGAAGGTGTGTTTGTTTCGGTCGGCCCGGCAATTTGTTTGCTCTTGGCATGCTGGGGATGACACGGAGAAGGTGTATGTGACTGAAGTGCTTAAGCAGACGCCAAGTATCTTTCTTTGTCCCCCCCCCTCGGTCTTTCTTGTGATTGGAGAGTCTCAACATCGTACTGGGAAATGGAATCGAATTGCCCCAGACGGAAGCAAGCAACTTGGCCCGATGCTTGGCTTGCAGTATCAATGCCGCGATGTTACGCCCTCAACACTCGCATTCGCAGCGGGAAGCCTCTACATGAGTCCTTCCGCTCTCTTTGCAAGATGCGAAAGATCTGGCTGAAGCGCTGCGGTGTTGGAGGTGGTACCCTATTTCCCTTTTGTTTGGTGGTGGATTTCCCACCCAAAAAACTGTCAAAGGGAGGCAGTTTCAATTTTTAGCGGCATGTGTGACCATTCTGCTTCCCTGAAGCGGCCGAATCGGTCATCAGGCTTTCGTGTTGGTTAGTTGGGTTTTCGCTCGCTGCTTGGTGCGCGGTCACAACACATCCTCTCGAAGCAGATCCTTATCGAGTTCCGCGGTGGGAAGCACCGAACTCTGGGCGGTGGCATCAAACTGGCGATGGATAGGTTCCAAAGGCTTGTGCTGTCCACACGGTGCGGGCTGGCCGCCTTTGGCGCCGCCCAGGCAACGATAGCAAAGCACATGCGATCTTTGGCCCTGGAAACAGTTCCCGAGCGTCTGAGTTCGAGGATGTCTTGCACAGCGCCAATATTCAGACAGTCCTGATTGAATAGCCCAAGCGGACATGTAACCCACATGCCTTTCTAAAGAAGAACTTGTGAGGGGAATTCGTACGCCAGGAACGTCGCTTTTGCCCATTGTTCGGGCCTCTCAAGGCAAAACAAAACACATCAAAATGCCTTTTTAGAATGCTTTGTTTGGATCAGACCCGCTCAGCTTCCACCTTGGTCATTGGGTTTCAACCCCTGGTTCTTGTACAGGCTAACTGGCAAACCACGTCCCACCAAAACACCACGAAAAACCACAACTTTTCCTTGGATTCGACCCGCAGAGTGTTCCTTGAGGCCTATTCCCAGACCTGCAATGGCGCCTGTTTGATTTTTGGCAGGGCTTCCCCTTGGAAGGTAAGTCTTATACCAGAAGGGGGCTAGCCTTCTCTCCCCGGGAGAACGGGGGGATGCTATCAGGTACTACTCCCCCAACTACGCGGAAACCCTCCTGAAGAAGATGGAGGACTTCAACCCTTCCAGCTGAGCGAGAAGGCGCATTGCGCGGGCCGGCTTGGGCAAAAGCAGGCCTGCCTTTCCCCCGGTGCCCTGGGGACCCCTTCCAAGCGAAAATTTTAGGGATCCCTTGATCAACCTGGAGGAATTGGGGGTGTTTAACATCCCAAAAAGCGATCCGCAATATCTCTTCGCCCCTATGAATCTGCCAGGATCAACGCTACTTGGATGCCTTAGTCTAGGTTGGTGAATGATATAACTTGCGTAGAAAGCAGGGCTGTTGCATAGTTTCTGTTGAGAAAAAGGATGATGCATTGACATGTAGCTGTCGCTCCGGGAGTGACTGCGTCGTCGCAAGATTTGCTCTCTGCGGAGACTCCTATCAGCAGGGCACACGGTGCACACATGCTTGTAGCTCTCTCGTGCAAACTTGGATTCATTTCAATTACTGGGCCATGAATTTAACTGTTTGCTCATTATGAACGTGAGCAACTATGGATGCTTCTCTTTATTAGACTACTTAGTGAGTGTCTTTGATAGTGCTAAACATGTGGGGCCAGAACTATTCCGTGATTGTTGGACAGAAGGTAATGATTATACGGTGTCAAGGCCCCATCTATAGTCTTATGTCGAGTGCCTCTTGGCACAGCTGACACCAAGTTCCCCATATGTTCGCCACAAACTGTTGGTTGCTTGTTAAGGGTCTCTCACTTGTTGTTTTTCACTTGTTGGGAACACCCCCCGCATTAGTCGGTTTGACACATCCGGGTCGACAGGACGATGCCGTAGTCACAGCATGCAAAGTTCCACGACTAGGTGGCCTCCGTTTTTGAAAAGCAGTCCATCCCTACCAAGAGTCTTCCCAAACGGGGCCAATCTCTCCCAAAAAAAAACGGCGCCAAGCCCCCCAAGCACCGGCAACGCCCTGTGACGAGCGAGCGCCAGGCCTGCCGGCAACGCAGCTGCGGCCCCGGAGGGGCCTGGAGCCGGGAGGTGTCTTTTTGGTTCAGGGCACCTGTCTGGGGAGGTGGGTTTGAAGGGAAACCACAAGGAAAGCACTCAATTTGGGGATCCTATTTTGACACAGTAAGGTGTTGGTTGCATTTCTTTCTGAACATGTGGAAGTGTGGGCAACTAAGCCAAGGGCACCAGGGGAACTTTCCGTTTTCGGCCCCTCAAGTGCCCTTTGATTCTTTATGAGGGCTGCAAACAGTCCCGACCTGGATGATTGCTAGAAAATGTGTTTTGCTTTCCACTCGGTTGACCGTTTTTCCATGCGCTTGTGATTTGGGTTGCTCCAGCGTTTGGGTTCTCGCTACGTTTTGATTTCCCCAGTTGTGTTCTCCTTTTTCTGGGGCTGGTTATTTAGCAGAAAAGTGCACGTAGCATGAGGGGTGTCTTTTTGGTCCAATCCACTTAAGAAGTGAACTGACAGATCTGCGAAGTCTGGGTGGATATCAACCGTAGGCTCATTCGCTGCCCAGATTTCTTGGATCCCAGCAGTCACCGCTCAAGGCAGTCCTTTGGCCGAGGTTCAAAACGTGAACCGCGCGGCCGAGGCAAACTGAGCCTGGGCCCCCAAAGCAGAAAGATCGACGTTGGGGGGTCCCAGTCGAAATGTTTCCCTGACTGCACTTTGAGAATTTCACCCCAAATTTTGCACATCCGTGCACTGCATGTGGATGTTGATGTTGGAACTGCTCACCCTTGCAGTTGCAATATTGTTGTGTGTTGCTTTCTTTCCAACTGATATCTCACCAGAGATGAATCCAGCTTGGCACAAACTGTCAGTGAGCTGGACCGACAGTGACTTGCCGCGGACCAAAACAGGCTGAAGATTAATTCATAGTGATGCCCCTTTGTGAAAGCGGACGAATCGTTTGGCCGGTGTCAAGGAAAGCAACATGAAGCAAGAGGCTCACCATTTAGAGAGGTGCCCAGTTTTCGTGGGGTTGATTCCGCATCCTGTTTAGCCATCGTTCCGTTCAAAAGCCAGCTTGCTTGCTTTGTTGGCGGGTTCTCTGGGGAGACGCTTCACTGGAAATCGGGAAGTTTGCTTTACTGGCCAGCTGCTCTGCATCAAGAGCAGGCATAGCAACCGCAGTGCAATGACAGACACACTCACAGACACAGACGCTGATCGTATATATGTACCAGTCCCTGGGCCACGTACCCCCCCCCCCCCCCCCCCAATGGTATGGTCCCCCCACTCCCCCGCATCATCCGCATCTTGGGGATGATGCTGGCAATGCTGGGGATGCTGTCCAGTACCGTGCGAGCCCTGCAGCTTCGGTCCCAGACCCCCTTTCACCCCGTGAACCAACACCCCCGCACCTCTCGCAACATCCTACCCTAAACCAAACCACCCTGCAACCCCTCCTTAACCCCAACCCTAAGCCTAAATCAACCCAAAACCCAAACCCACCCGAAACCCACCGCAAACCAACCCTGAACCAACCCTGAACCAACCCTAAACCAACCCACCAAGCCTAAACCAACTCCGAACCACACCCAACCACCCAACCACCCAACCACCCAACCACCCAACCACCCAACCACCCAACCACCCAACCACCCAACCACCCCCACCCCACCACCCCACCACCCCACCACCCCACCACCCCACCACCCCACCACCCACCCCACCCCCCACAGGGGGGGGGGGGTTGGCCCAACCACCCAACCACCCAACCACCACCCCACAACCCCACCACCACCCCACCACCCACCCACCCCACCCCCACAGGGGGGGGGGGGGTGGGGGGGGGGTCCACGGCCTGGAACATATATAGATGTAATGTGTATATACATATCACTGTAGGTATACACATTTGTAACCATTTGTACCCTTCCAAATGCACACATGTACTAACTCATGTTATATTTTGCATGCCTAGATATTTGTGCCCCCACATTGGGAAGCCAGACTCGAATTGAAATCCGCGAAGGGCACATGTGAGCAGTTCGTGGTTTGGTATCCCCTCCAGCTGAATCGACAGCTTGGGGGCGCAAAGCGCTGCTTTGCGCGTGCATGGCGCTATGTCGCTGCTCAAGGAGCTGCTTTTGCGCATCAAGCAACATGCCGTGTTTATGCATGAACCCAACCCATTAGCTCTCTCTGTAGTTCAGTGCTTCTCAAGCCAAGGGGCAACTAGGCTTTGTATATTCAATTCTCGAACTTGCAGTACCTCAAGGGAAACCCCCCCCCAAGGTGGTCTCGAAGGATGCGTCAAGAGACTATTCTCGAGCTTGGGGATCCCGCACATTGCTTGTGGTTTTCCTTGAATGGCCTCCGAAAAGAGGGCCTGTTTTCCTTCGCTTCTTTCTTTCTTTCTCGAAGCACAAGAATTTCCGACCCAAGCGTTGGGATCGACCCATCACGAAGGTATGAGCATCCAATGCCATGGCCTCGTGGGTGTGGCTGTTTTGAGGGTACCCCTCTTCGAGGGTGGAATCTAAAGGGAAACTACAGGGAATCTCAAGGGAAGCAAAGACAGCTTTCTAGTGATAACCTTCCTTCTTTTTCAGGGATCCGTCTTGCGGAAAAAAGAAAACACAAAAAGAGAAGGGGAATGGCTGGTTTTTGAAAAGAACGACAGTTGAAGAGAATGGCCAGTTGAAGAGAATGCGTCTAACGCATGGATGAACATTTTTGGAGCCGTTTTTCATTGACCAGAATCTGTACACTTTCCGTGATACCAAAATGGGCGGTGCACATCCGCACGTGTTCTGACATAATTCCAAGGCAAGCATCGCCCATCTTTGTCGATGCACTCCATCAGGTACCCCGAGAATTGGTTTGGATTGGTGAACCCCAGGCAGCCCCCTGGCCAAACCCAAGCAAGCCACTAGGGGCAAGGTGACCTCAGCTGTCCTGGTGAATTGAAATGGACCTTCCCCCGGTCCAAACCAAGCCAAGCCAAACTACCAAACCCAACTAAACCAAACCACCAAACCAAACCAAACCACCAAACCGCCAAACCACCAAACCACCAAGCCACCAAGCCACCAAGCCACCAAGCCACCAAACCACCAAACCACCAAACCGCCAAACCGCCAAACCACCAAACCACCAAACCACCAAGCCACCAAGCCACCAAACCACCAAACCAAACCAAACCAAACCAAACCAAACCACCAAACCACCAAACCGCCAAACCACTAAACCACCAAGCCACCAAACCACCAAACCAAACCAAACCAAACCAAACCAAACCAAACCACCAAACCACCAAACCACCAAACCGCCAAACCACTAAACCACCAAGCCACCAAGCCACCAAGCCACCAAACCACCAAGCCACCAAGCCACCAAGCCACCAAACCACCAAACCACCAAACCACCAAACCAAACCAAACCATTAAACCACCAAACCACCAAACCACCAAACCAAACCAAACCACCAAACCACCAAACCACCAAACCAAACCAAGCCACCAAGCCACCAAGCCACCAAGCCACCAAACCACCAAACCACCAAGCCACCAAACCACCAAACCACCAAACCACCAAACCACCAAACCACCAAACCAAACCAAACCAAACCAAACCAAACCAAACCAAACCAAACCACCAAACCACCAAACCAAACCACCAAACCGCCAAACCACCAAACCACCAAACCACCAAGCCACCAAGCCACCAAACCACCAAACCAAACCAAACCAAACCAAACCAAACCAAACCACCAAACCACCAAACCACCAAACCACCAAACCGCCAAACCACCAAACCACCAAGCCACCAAGCCACCAAACCACCAAGCCACCAAGCCACCAAACCATCAAACCACCAAACCACCAAACCACCAAACCACCAAACCAAACCAAACCAAACCAAACCAAACCAAACCAAACCAAACCAAACCAAACCAAGCCACCAAACCGCCAAACCACCAAACCACCAAGCCACCAAGCCACCAACCACCAAACCACCAAACCACCAAACCACCAAACCACCAAACCACCAAGCCACCAAGCCACCAAGCCACCAAGCCACCAAACCACCAAACCACCAAACCACCAAACCACCAAACCACCAAACCAAACCAAACCACCAAACCACCAAACCAAACCAAACCACCAAACCACCAAACCACCAAACCACCAAACCACCAAACCAAACCAAACCACCAAACCACCAAACCAAACCAAACCAAACCACCAAACCACCAAACCACCAAACCACCAAGCCACCAAGCCACCAAGCCACCAAGCCACCAAACCAAACCAAACCACCAAGCCACCAAACCACCAAACCAAACCAAACCAAACCAAACCAAACCAATCCAAACCAAACCAAACCACCAAACCACCAAACCACCAAACCAAACCAAACCACCAAACCGCCAAACCACCAAACCACCAAGCCACCAAGCCACCAAACCACCAAGCCACCAAACCACCAAACCACCAAACCACCAAACCACCAAACCACCAAACCAAACCAAACCACCAAACCACCAAGCCACCAAGCCACCAAGCCACCAAACCACCAAGCCACCAAACCATGAAACCACCAAACCACCAAACCACCAAACCACCAAACCACCAAACCACCAAACCAAACCAAACCAAACCAAACCAAACCAAACCAAACCACCAAACCACCAAACCAAACCAAACCAAACCACCAAACCGCCAAACCACCAAACCACCAAGCCACCAAGCCACCAAGCGACCAAGCCACCAAACCACCAAACCACCAAGCCACCAAACCACCAAACCACCAAACCACCAAACCAAACCAAACCAAACCAAACCAAACCAAACCACCAAACCACCCAACCAAACCACCAAACCGCCAAACCACCAAACCACCAAACCACCAAGCCACCAAGCCACCAAACCACCAAACCACCAAACCACCAAACCACCAAACCACCAAACCAAACGAAACCACCAAACCACCAAGCCACCAAGCCACCAAGCCACCAATCCACCAAGCCACCAAACCACCAAACCACCAAACCACCAAACCACCAAACCACCAAACCACCAAACCAAACCAAACCACCAAACCACCAAACCAAACCAAACCACCAAACCACCAAACCACCAAACCACCAAACCACCAAACCAAACCAAACCACCAAACCACCAAACCAAACCAAACCACCAAACCACCAAACCACCAAACCACCAAGCCACCAAGCCACCAAGCCACCAAGCCACCAAACCAAACCAAACCACCAAGCCACCAAACCACCAAACCAAACCAAACCACCAAACCACCAAACCACCAAACCACCAAACCACCAAACCACCAAACCACCAAACCACCAAACCAAACCAAACCAAACCAAACCAAACCAAACCAAACCAAACCACCAAGCCACCAAACCACCAAACCACCAAACCACCAAACCAAACCAAACCACCAAACCACCAAACCAAACCAAACCACCAAGCCACCAAATCAGCAAACCAAACCAAACCACCAAACCACCAAACCAAACCAAACCACCAAACCACCAAACCAAACCAAACCACCAAGCCACCAAACCACCAAGCCACCAAACCACCAAACCAAACCAAACCACCAAACCAAACCAAACCAAACCACCAAACCACCAAACCACCAAACCAAACCAAACCACCAAACCAAACCAAGCCACCAAACCAAACCAAATCACCAAACCAAACCACCAAACCAAACCACCAAACCACCAAACCACCAAACCACCAAACCACCAAACCACCAAACCAAACCAAACCACCAAACCACCAAACCACCAAACCAAACCAAACCACCAAGCCACCAAGCCACCAAACCAAACGAACCCACCAAACCACCAAACCACCAAACCACCAAACCACCAAACCACCAAACCAAACCAAACCACCAAACCACCAAACCACCAAACCAAACCAAACCAAACCAAACCAAACCAAACCAAACCAAACCAAACCACCAAGCCACCAAACCAAACCAAACCTCCAAGCCACCAAACCACCAAACCACCAAACCAAACCAAACCACCAAAGCACCAAACCAAACCAAACCAAACCACCAAACCACCAAACCACCAAACCAAACCAAACCAAACCAAACCACCAAACCACCAAACCACCAAGCCACCAAACCAAACCAAACCACCAAGCCACCAAACCACCAAACCACCAAACCAAACCAAACCATTAAACCACCAAACCAAACCAAACCACCAAACCACCAAACCAAACCAAACCACCAAGCCACCAAACCACCAAACCAAACCAAGCCCAAACCAAAACCAAAACCACCAGGGTCAAACCAAACCACCAAACCACCAAACCACCAAACCAAACCAAACCAAACCAAACCACCAAACCACCAAACCACCAAGCCACCAAACCAAACCAAACCACCAAGCCACCAAACCACCAAACCACCAAACCAAACCAAACCATTAAACCACCAAACCACCAAACCACCAAACCAAACCAAACCACCAAACCACCAAACCACCAAACCAAACCAAACCACCAAGCCACCAAGCCACCAAACCAAACGAACCCACCAAACCACCAAACCACCAAACCACGAAACCAAACCAAACCACCAAACCACCAAACCACCAAACCAAACCAAACCAAACCAAACCAAACCACCAATCCAAGCCAAACCTCCAAGCCACCAAACCACCAAACCACCAAACCAAACCAAACCACCAAACCACCAAACCACCAAACCAAACCAAACCACCAAACCACCAAACCACCAAACCACCAAACCACCAAACCACCAAACCAAACCAAACCACCAAACCACCAAACCACCAAGCCATCAAACCAAACCAAACCACCAAGCCACCAAACCACCAAACCACCAAACCAAACCAAACCATTAAACCACCAAACCAAACCAAACCACCAAACCACCAAACCAAACCAAACCACCAAGCCACCAAACCACCAAACCAAACCAAACCCAAACCAAAACCAAAATCACCAGGGTCAAACCAAAACCAGTCAAACCAAAAGCGCCAAACATGGGATCTTGCTGTTGCTAACAAGGCCAAACCGCCAAAACCACCGAGCCGCCCTCCATCTTTTCCCTCGCGAGGAGCTGATGGACTCCCGCCGCAAGAGCCGCACCCTGCGGCCCGTGGAGACGGACGCCTCCGCCGGCCAGGCCATGCAGGCGCCGTCGTGGGCGCGCGTGGCGCGTATCACCGGCAAACGGCTTCCCTGGCAACGGGGGAAACACCGGTGTTGGTGGAAGAATAGGAATAGGTGGCTCAAAGACATGTACCAAAATGGCACCTTGGTAATTTTGGTAAATGGAACCAAAGACTAAGGCCTGCGTAACCCTAGCTCGTGTATTTTGAGCCACACGCAGGTGAGCAGTTGGTCCAGGAGACTCAGACTGCGTGGTCCTATCCATGGAAAGGTAGGCTGCCAAAGAAATGCTGCTTGTTTCGTGACAGGTTGGTACGCTTTGCAGGGGACGCATTCGTTTGAGAGCACTAAGAAAAGACATGCACGTGCTCCTGAAATTCTTGCAGACAGCACAAGTGCCATTTTGGGCGCTGTTTGGCAGGCTACGGTCTTTCTATTTGATGCTCCTGGCAACGTGTTTGGATTGTTTTCGGGCGGGCTTTGTTGTCCTTTGCGGCCTAGGGCTTTACGTTTTCCGTACCAGTTTCCCTTTCTGATTTCGGGCAACTAATACCTACAAAGATATGAATAAGACTGTAAAGAGCCCTGCAAAGAACCCAACCGGAACCTGCTAAGCGCCATTAAACTGTGTCCAAAAGCTGGCCCAGCCTCTTGAGTGATAGAAGGGAAACCAGGGTGAAGGTATCACTTTTGTGGGAAGGTTCCATCAAGGTTTGCCAAGGCACATTTCAGGTTGAAACTATGAACAGGGGTCTGAAGCAGAAGCGTGCGACCGACGGCATGGTCAAGAACTGCCTGCGAATATGCAAGCCCGCCAACAAGCAGGGCGGCTTCTTCTACTGCGAGTGGCCCTTGCATAGCCACGGCTGGCGCGGCTGCAGTGGCGCCGGTTCGCGAGATGCAAGTGGGGAACTTGCAGATTTCCAACGTATCACCTGGATCAGCTGCATGGGCGAGAACAGCGGCTCCAGTGAGCTTGGAGGCTTCCTACACCTAGTAGAGGCCTTGAACCGGCGGAGCAGACAACCTAGTTGTTGATCTTCCCGAAACGGGTAATCCATGGCTTTTTTCCGGACCCCGTGCAAAAACACGAGGCATGTAAAACACGCAGGATGTTCATTTGGTTTCCCCTAAAACACTACAGGAGTTCCACTTTTTGGGATGCCTCCAACCGCGTCTTTGGGGCAAGGGGTGATTCTGAAGCGGCTCACGTGGCAGGCGCAGCGGCAGCTCGCCATGCTCATCCGGGACGTGACCGGGAAGGAGCGGCCCTTTTTCAGATGGCGCTTTGACATCGCTTTCCTTTCAAGTTATCAGCATTCTGGCCCCAAATTCTGTGTTCAATTTCCCGCCTTTCACCAGGCGTCCAACGCCCGCTTTGGTACATTTCACCCTCAGTCGGGGCATGGGACAAAAAGAAGGGTCAACTTGAAACCATGGCTTAACCAAGGGCTGGAACTCTCGACTCGTCGAATGGCCCTGGCTTCTGGCCGCCTAACGCTTTCCTAAGACATGCGCGTCATGTGCCGCAGGTCCAGGAGCACCTGGAGGGTCTCTGTGCAGCGCAAGGGCAGCTGATGCAGGGCCTGCAGCAATACCTGGGCCCCGCGCCGCAAGTGTGGCGTTTTCGAGCAAGCGCTCGGGTTTGTATTTGGGACCCCGCATATAGTTTGAGGCCAGTTGTGGGGGGAAAGGTGGTTGGATTGTTGCGGAAAGGGTGTATGTGTGTATGTGTGTGTGTGTGTCTCTGTTGCAACCCAACTGAGGCCCTCTAATCCTCTAACGACCTGGGTTTGATTTTACATGCAAGTCCTCCAGAAGTGTGTGGGTCCCAAGCTTTTCCGCTGGAGACGTTGATGAACCGCCAAGCCATTCCAGGCGTGCGACTTACACGCAAGTCACCAGGTTTGAACGCTTGAAATTGCCTCCCCATCTCTTTCCCCCGGCAACTCGCCCCCTCCTTCCCAACCAACTGGTTTCCAATTATGGAGGCACAGGTGGCAACGGCTTCCGTTGAGCTTCTCATGGGCCTTTGTCACACCCTATCGCAGGGCCACAGCTCCGGGCGTCCATCCCACCCAAGTGGACAACGGACCCGCCTTTTTGAGGGGCTGGGTTTTGTCCCCAAAGCCCTCCTGCGCACTTGCACTTCTATGATTTGAGCCCTGAGGCCATCCGCCCAACCTCCACCCTGCAACCTGCGCCTTGTGCGACGTTTCTCATTGATCTAACTGACTCTCAAAGACTGAAGGGTCATATAAGCATGAAGCCTTGAGGGTCAACCTTGCGGCCAACTTGACCAAGGCCTTGCCTTGGGGGGAAGACCTCGGCTTTCACCCGGGACGAGGTCCCTCCCGAGCCTCCGGTCCTCCGGGTCGGTGTCTAGGCGTAGACGTGAGCGGGGTGGACGAGAAGGCCATGGCGCTGGTCCAGGACTGCGCGGACGTCATGCACCGCTTCGAGCGGCGCGTGAGGCGCGCGAGTTTGCGCCGGTGCGTTGATCGGGGATCCGTTGAAGCGGGGATCCGTTTTGGGTGTTGCTTCTGATCGGTAGGCAGAAAATGGGTGCTTTTTTTTGCTGTTGGGTTTACTTTAAGCATCAGCGAAAAGCAGTCTACCATGTTGAGAACCTGCCAAGTGGCTGGTTGTTTTTTCCCTTACGTGTCACGTGAAGCGTCTGGTCCCGGGCTGAGCGATGACGTACATTCAACCCTACTCGGCACCGAGTCAACCTTCGCCTGGCCATGTGGGCGCCAGTCATCTCAAAGACGCGAATGAACTCACCTGGGGGTAGAACGAGGCAACCCGTGAATGAAGGACGGTAGACAAAGTATGAAACAGATTCTGACCATTTTCTACGCAACCCCTGTAGGGCAATATTCCTTGTTTCCAAATAAGATCGCCAGGGTTCGGGCCGCTTTGGTTCTTTATGGATCCCCTTTGGTCTCATGGAAGGTTAGAAGCGGATGGGGTTTAGGTTGACAATTCCAACTGACCTCACGCGCTAGCATTTGCTTGCACACAGTTTTCGCATGAATCCTGCCTTTGGTCACTTTTGGGTGGGCGAGTGGTGGGCGATTTTTGTTTGCTTCTTTTCTCTCAGATGCCCAGACTCAGACGCTTCGTCTAGGTGTGTCAGCTCTGGTTGCGGATTTGTTATGGGTCTTCGCACATATTGATCAGTGCGTTTCTCCATTTTTCCACGGTTTCAACGGGTTTCAACTTTGAGCTTGGAAGCATTTCTTGTTCGAAGATTGACTCCCTTGTTGCTTTTTTTTGGAGATACCTCCCCCCAACTAACCTGGCACTTGTGGGGAGGTACTCGGAAGATCAATTTGCTTCTGAAGTGGCCCCTGTCAGCCTGTCAGGTGCCATGCTAGTTGGGAGGGAGGGTACTTTTTTCCCGGTCCCCCCGCATGCCACCCCCCTCAGCGTGGTTCTTTTTGGCAGGGACCAGGGCCTCTCGGAGGTGAAGGGCGCCTGTGAGCAGGTGCTGCTGCTTGGCAGATCCAAGGAAGGAAGGGAGGCGGGAGGCCGGCGGGGGGTGGGGGGGTTGCCAGAGGCTCACTCCCCGGAGCTCTTGGACATGAAACGTTTTGGTGAGATCGTTTTACTCATTTTAGTGGGGACAGCGCAAGATGGGGCGTTTGCTGGCCAATCCACTGACCAAGCGAGATGGACATGAGAATGCGGACAAGAGTGCCGGTCTGCGCACTATGCACAATCTCTATCTATGTATACACGTTATCGCACGTACATGTGCATTGGCTATCTAGAAGTCCGGAGTAGTGATTTTGTGCCAACACCACAGATGCATACATCAGCCTTGCTTTTTAGAAACAAATAGCCAGCTTGCTTGGGGGGTGGTAAAGCGAGCTCACCACGATGTAGGTCCTTTACTTGGGGACCTTTTCAGCTTTGGGAACTATTGTAAAACATGTAGATGGACAGATTCTATGCTCATATGATCGACGCCATACGCGCTCACCTGTGCCTGCTCTCAGCTGTCCTTCTTGCACAAAGTTTCTCAAACTTTAGGGCCAATTCCTCTAGGTGCCTCCAAAAAGGTTTCCTTTTGGATTCTTAACTCTAAGAGCGTCGTCAACTGTGGTATTGACAGCAGTGGCTTGGGGGTCAGAAGCTCTTTGCACCGGGAGGGTGTAAGCAAAGGTAAACCATACTGGCCTGCTCAATTTTCTGATCATACAAAGATCGCACTGTCTTGTCAAGGGACGACTCCACAGAAGTCGATCGGCATACTTTTGTGTGCTTTAAACAATATCTATCATAAACCGACCCCCCAAAATGTTTGTTGCGCTGGGGGGGATGGCCTCCCCCTTACCTCCCCACCCATCCACCCATCCACCCATCCACCCATCCACCCATCCACCCATCCACCCATCCACCCATCCACCCATCCACCCAACCACCCAACCACCCAGTCACCAGCCACCAGCCACCCAACCACCCAACCACCCAACCACCCAGCCACCCAGCCACCCAGCCACCCAACCACCCAACCAACCAACCGCCCAACCGCCCAACCGCCCAACCGCCCAACCGCCCAACCGCCCAACCGCCCAACCGCCCAACCGCCCAACCGCCCAACCGCCCAACCGCCCAACCGCCCAACCGCCCAACCGCCCAACCGGCCCAACCGGCCCAACCGGCCCAACCGGCCCAACCGGCCCAACCGGCCCAACCGGCCCAACCGGCCCAACCGGCCCAACCGGCCCAACCGGCCCAACCCCAACCCAACCCCACCCAACCCACCCCAACCCCACCCAACCACCCAACCCACCCAACCCCACCCAACCCCACCCAACCCCACCCAACCCCACCCAACCCCACCCAACCCCACCCAAACCCCCCACCCAACCCCACCCAACCCCACCCAACCCCACCCAACCCCACCCAACCCCAACCCCACCCAACCCCACCCAACCCAACCCCACCCAACCCCACCCAACCCCACCCAACCCACCCACCCAACCCCCACCCCAACCCCACCAATCCCCACCCACCCCCACCAACCCCACCCAACCCCACCCAACCCACCCAACCCCACCCAACCCAACCCAACCACCAACCCACCCAACCCCACAACCCCACCCAACCCACCCAACCCCCACCCAACCGCCACCCAACCCCACCCCTCCCCACCCCACCCCACCCACACGACCCCAACCCAACCCACCCCACCCCACCCCACCCCCACCCACAACCTCCCCACCCCAACCCCACCCCACGACAACCCAGCCACCCAACCCCACCCCACCCTCCCCAACCCCCAACCCCAACCCCCAACCCCAACCAACCCCAACCCCAACCCCAACCCAACCCAACCCCCAACCAACAACCCACCCCACCAAACCAACCCCAACCCCAAACCCAACCCAACCCCAACCCAACCCAACCCCAACCCAAACCCCAACCCACCCAACCCAACCCCACCAACCCAACCCACCCAAACCCCCCCCCAACCCCACCCTAACCCCAACCCACCCAACCCAACCCCACCCAACCCCAACCCCATCCCAAACAAACCCCACCCAAACCCACCCCCACAAACAACCCCCACCCAAACCCAACCCCCACCCAAACCCAACCCCCACCCAAACCCAACCCCCACCCAACCCAACCCCCACCCAACCCAACCCCCACCCAACCACCGCCCAACCCAACCACCACCCAACCCAACCACCACCCAACCCAACCACCACCCAACCCAACCACCACCCAACCCAACCACCACCCAACCCAACCACCACTCAACCCAACCACCACCCAACCCAACCACCACCCAACCCAACCACCACCCAACCCAACCACCACCCAACCCAACCACCACCCAACCCAACCACCACCCAACCCAACCCACCCCCAACCCACCCCCAACCCACCCCCAACCCACCCCCAACCCACCCACCCCCAACCCACCCCCAACCCACCCCCAACCAACCCCCCTGCCGAAATCCCCGAAATCTGGGCCAAAAAAAGCTGAAATGGGGCCGTGGGCCGGAGCCGGGAGGGGCGGGGGGGGGGCGGGGGGCTCGAGACCGCCACCGATGCCAGGGGCCGGTACGCGCTCCCCCCCCCCCGGCCCCAACCACCCCCCACCACCCCCCACCGCCCCCCCACCACCCCCCACCACCACCAACCACCCCCCACCACCCCCCACCCCCACCCCCAACCACCCCCAACCACCCCAACCAACCTTAACCACCCTTAACCACCCTTAACCACCCCCAACCACCCCCAACCACCCCCAACCACCCCCAACCACCCCCAACCACCCCCAACCACCCCCAACCACCCCCAACCACACCCCCACCACCCCCAACCCCCAACCACCCCCAACCACCCCCAACCACCCCCAACCACCCCCAACCACCCCACCCCAACACCCCCAACCACACCCCCAACCACCCACCCCCCCAACCACCCCCAACCACCACCCCCACCACCCCCACACCCAACCACCCACCCCCCCCCAACCACCCCCCCCCAACCACCCCCCCCAACCACCCACCCCCCCCCCCAACCACCCCCCAACCACCCCCCCCACCACCCCCCCCAACCACCCCCCAACCACCCAAACCACCCCCAACCACACCCAACCCACCAACCACAACCACCCACCACCCAACCACACCCAACCACCCAACCACACCCAACCACACCCAACCACACCCAACCACACCCAACCACACCCAACCACACCAACCACCCAACCACACCCAACCACACCCAACCACACCCAACCACACCCAACCACACCCAACCACACCCAACCACACCCAACCACACCCAACCACACCCAACCACACCCAACCACACCCAACCACACCCAACCACACCCAACCACCCCCAACCACCCCCAACCACCCCCAACCACCCCCAACCACCCCCAACCACCCCCAACCACCCCCAACCACCCCCAACCACCCCCAACCACCCAACCCCCGCCCCCGCGGGGGGGGAGTGGCCCGGTGGCCCCAGTACGGTTAGTCGTGGCGCCGAGGAACGAGTGCAACCAGCTGGCGGCGCTCTGCGTGTCCCGTGACGAGGCCCTCGCGGAGCGGCAGCACTACGAGGAGCGACCGGTTGATTCTCGGGGGGGGGGGGGGGGGGTTTGGGGGGGGGGGTGGAGGAAGAAGCCGCGTTTTTTTTTTTGTTTTCCTCGTTTTTTCCCCCATTTTTTTCTTTTGTTGTTTCTCGATATCAATGGGATGTTGAATCTCTGGAACATGGGCTGTAACTTCACTATGTTTATAACCATTCTCAATATAACTATGTGTCACTGCTTTGGACGAATTTGTGGGGTCATTCTTGCCTGAACAATTCTTGTTCGTGTAGTTTTGTGAATTCAATTCCTGGTTTTGGTTTTGCCCATCTGTGCCATGGTCAAAACTCCCGTGGGTCACGATCGTGGTGTTCCCTCAATAGGAGCCTGTACACTCTGCCGCCTGCGCAACATCAGTTAACGAACCTGAAAGCAAGGCCTTGATCTTGCCGAGGATTTGTACCTGAAGATGAAGCGTGGTAGTCAACAGTGCAGAATCACCCTGGTCGGGCGCCAACGCAGGCAAAGCTAACACTGAACAAGCCAATTGCTTTTAAACGATGTGAAACAATCTCCGCTTGACACGGACACCACAAAGGGAACACTCTGGCGATAAGCAACAATAGCGTTCTTACCCAGAACATCCCAGAACTGTAAAGTGGAATTGTTTCCAACATATTAACTGCAGGAAGCTCCCGATCCAAAGAGAGCTTGGAGCCAACGTCGTGGGCGTCCCAATGCCCAAACGCACTTGAGCCGTGCCGGAGCAAGGGCTTCCCGGTGATGCAGTTGCATCGAGTCCTCAAGGAGAAAGAAACAATCCGATCATGGCCGCGCCACCAAGAAATGTCATCCTCACATTGGCCCAGGGTGACATGAGCCTTTCTTGATGGGCCTACCGGCCAGGAATGGTTTGTGGTTTTTCTGGACGATCAGTTTTGCGCGGTTTTCAAGGCAGCATGTTCAGGAAGCCTCCAGCCAGCAGGCATCCAACCCAATCGCGGCCACGAAGGGACCAACTTGTGAAGAGACTGCCACGAAAAGCGGGCAAACTTCATGATAAGGGGTTCATGACCACTGCGGATGGACAACATCCTGCACCGGTTGGTGGGTGGTTTATGCACGTATTAATAGGGTGGGCAGGATTTTGCCCGTCTACAGTATTAGCATAGTGCCGAAGAGAATTTTCCTGGGCCAAACCCAGAATGGGGTTGCGGGGTGGGGTTGTCAGGTACTAAACAAAAACACTCATGATCAGTGGAAAACATGTTTGTAATCTAGTTAGCTCCTTATTTACATTCACTTGAGTTAATCCGGATGACCATACCAAAGATTCCACCTTTGTAGCATAATCAGCTACGTTATCCCTTTCTGCGATATAATTTTGGGCCACCCCCATGACTGCCGGGTATCATAGAGGACTCACTTGGTATCACAGCAATTGGCATTTTATGGGGTTCCATGCAGATGCACATAGAAGCTCAACGCAGCATCGTGTTCAGAGGAGAATCTCCTCTTGTGGGACCCCCTTGGAATGTTAACCCAGGATCAATGAATCCCGGGTTGATTCATAGGGTGTGTCCCATTCAACGGGGGATGCTTGACTTTTTGGCAAAACAGCCTGCTGGTTAATTGATCCGGGGTCGAAATGATTGCAATCACTTTGGAGGACCATGCTAATCTGAGGTCCGCTAATCCCCTAACTGAAACGGTGTCCGCATGTTCTTAGTCCATATTTTGCAGGCAGCCCAAGTCCTCGAGTTCGGAAAAAGAGGCCAAAGGCAAGCTCCAGGTGTTGCGGATCGGGGGATGGGTAGTTCAAGAAGCCTGGCCAGCTGTTTTGCAGGGACTTTGTCCCTCGCCGTAAGGAGCCTGTCAGGTGATTGAAATGCTCGGATTCCAACTGCGAGGCTCAAGCGCCCATTTTCACCCGTCCAACGATATGGACTTGTCTCCGAATGGAGAATCCTTCCAACATGTTGTCATCTTCCTTCAGTTGCCCTCGCAACTAATCCCTTAAAAGCTGACCAACTGACATGGAAGCACAGGAACCCATTCCAAAAGAAAGTCGTCTTTCAAAAAGTGTCCGTGCAAAATCCCCATTGCCGGAAAGAGGGTACCCAGGGCACCCTCAATAAAGACACATGAGCCACAATCAAAACGTGGGTAGATGCAAATTAATAAATAACCATCCCAACCATAAATGGGTTCAGCCGCCTCTTTAACTCTTTACATGGTTCTGGGTAGACCATTTGAATACCGATCGGTTTTGACCCACATCCATTTTGGCCCTCCCCTTGGTGCCGAGCCGCGCGCGGCGTTTTTGAGGAGAAGCTGGCGGCTCTGCACAGCGCCTCACGGGGCAGCGTCACTGAGCAGAGCCTCCGCCAGTGGAACTGTTTTTTCTTTTGGCTTTTCATGTTGCGGGGGGATCCGGTGTTTTTTTTTGCCCCTCCTCCCCAGGGCTGTTTTGGCTTCTTCTTTTTTAAAACTAGGCTGGATGGATGGATGGATGGATGGATGGTTGGTTGCTTACTGGGTGCTAAAAGTTGATGTTCCCCAGTCTCGTTTCCTGACCCAGAATTCTGTCTCCCTAACCCATAACGTTCGCATGTTCCCAAAATAGGAACCAGCCGGAGATGGCTAGTTGTTTCAACTTTGGACCGTTTTCAAGGAGGCCTTCCTTGTGAAATTCACAGGGCATGAGTTTCAATTTGGAGATGTCCACCGGTCATTTTGGAGGCCGGAGGTGAGGGGTCGCTTTCTCCTTGTTCGTCCGGACAGTGTTTTGAGCTCCTCTGTCTGAGTGTCGCGTCATCTTCTCCCTGTGCTGTTTTTTCCTTTGTAAATTCACATGTTTACCCTGATGAATAAAGTACCCCCCCAAGCAACTTCCCTCCCCCAAACAACTCTCCCAACTTGATTGTGAATTGCTAAGTATTGCTCACAGATTTGTTGTGTTTCAACTGTTTTTGGTATTGCTGGAGCGATTGGTCAGATCTGAAGCTTCAAAGGCAGGAAAGGTGCCAAAGTTTGGAGAACCTGGGGCAAGTTCTGGCTGGCTGGCTGGCTGGCTGGCTGGCTGGCTGGCTGGCTGGCTGGCTGGCTGGCTGGCTGGCGGGCGGGCGGGCTGGCTGGCTGGCTGGTGTGTGTGTGTGTGTGTGTGTGTGTGGGTGTGTGTGTGTGTGTTTGTCTGGTTTGTGGTAGTTTGTTTTTGGAGCACCCAGCCACTTCCCCACCCTCCCCCGACCCAGAAACAAAGTAACTCCTTTTTTCCTTTGGGGGGGGGGGGAATTAGGGGAGGTTTTCATTGTAGGTCGATATCACACATCTCTGGTTTCTCCCTGGTGAAATCAACACAAAGCTGAACAATCCTGTCTTTTCCTTGTGAACTCAAGCAACAACGGACATACCTTTTGGAGCAGACAGACCCCTGAAGCACGCACTGCTTCCTGAATTGGTCGGCAGAGTCGTGCCGGGTTCTTGGGCCCAATGAAGACGGGCTTCGATTCGTTGCCCACAGCCCCAGGATCGCGCGAAACCACGAGAAGCTGAACAAGGCCAAGGAGGTCTTGGACCTGCAGGCGGGAAGGAAGGATGCCCGACGGTCCCTTCCTTTTTTTCCCTTGGTCGGCTGAACCAAGGTGAGTTTGCCTTGGTGATGTTTTAGAGGGGAAAGTAGGGGGGGCCGCCAACCAGATTTCCCGCTTTGGTGGTTCTGAATAGCTTTTTGTTGATTCAACGTGAGGTTCCTTGTGGTGCCGGTGATGCTTCAGGGTGGATTTTTCGGGCCCTGGAATCCGACAGTAAGACCGTTGGCTGCCAGGTCACTCGCCCAGCATCACTGAGTGGACGTTGAAAAAGGAAAGACATCTCCAGCCCTCCGATCAGCGTCCGTTGTTGGAGTTCCTTTTTGTGTGAGTTTCAACTTGGTGTGATCTTTTAGGGGAACACGCAAGGACCTCGGTGTGATCCGGTGGGTACCATTGTCAAAGGATTGCTTTCTGTTACTTGGGGTGGTCATGGACCATTGCATTGTTTTGTGTTGACAACCTTCACGCGGGCCTCGCACAATTACTGGCGTGTCCTACAATTAGTCCTCCTGACCATCCAGAACCACAAACCAGCTTTTTCAGGAGCCCGCCTGCTTTGGGAAACCCGCGTTGCTTCAAAGCATCCCTCTAAGTTTAACAAGGATGGTCATCAACCCCTTCGGGATTTTAGACATCCAAACATTTTTGAGGTTCAGGGACACCATGACCATTGCCAGCAGTATTGACGCGAAAACAAAAGACGTGAGCTCAACGATGGAATTCCTCAACATCGGGCCTGCTTCCCCCCCTACTAGGGCCCAACAAAAATAGAGCATTCAGGAGAAAACCATTGGTAATTGTTCAGCCCCTGATATTCGAGTAGATGGGCTGCAGATCCTGTTTGGCTGATTGCTGACGAGCGCACCTGGAGGTAAACGAGCTCATTCATGAGGGATTGCTTTGCAAACTATTCTCATGTGCCCAGTTCCTATCCCGAAGCCTTTCGCTTGGCCCGAATTTGGCAAAGGGTTTCCCTCTTGACACGACAGGGACCCCCAGAGTAGAAGACGCCCGAAGAGATAGTCCCTTGATTTTCCGAAACTGGGGATCAACAAGAAAGCCATGGACAGAAGATCTGCAAGGGTCCCCTTGATTCGCCGGGGGGGGTCGAAAGGAACACCTCGCATCTTTGCCTGAAGGACCTCCATCCTTGGGCTGAGTGCTCGCTGACCTGCAACTGTTATCCCGCAATGTGGGTGGGTGTTGGGTTTCCTTTGGTTTCCCCCAGAAAAAAGGGCCTTCCAAAGCGGGTCCCTCAAAAGGAAACGCACAAACACACAAGCACCAACGCACAACCACACAACCACAGCCACAACCACAAACAGGACCATAAATACAACACAAAATGCAACCACAACCAAAAATGCAAACCACGAGTACAACCAAAACTAGAACCACAAATACAACAGCCACAAACACCCACACCCACAGATTTGATCCCTTCCAGGAGCGGAAGCTGGCCACGGGTATGCGAGTCTTCGTGTATCGGCGCCCGGTGCACTTCCGGCAGATGTTCCTCGCGCTGCTGCGGAAGCGCCTCGGACTTTGGGCGAGGGCGTGTCGTTCAGCTGACGGCCCGGAGGATTCGAAGATTCAGCAGCTTCCCCTTCGGTGGTTGGGGAGTTCCGGTTTTGGGGCTGGTTTCAAAGGGAAACCACAAGGAGCACCGGAGCCATTTTGGGGGGGGGCCCGAAGAAAAGACACACTTGTTTGGTGGCTTGGATGGGTGGTTTGGTGGAGGGGCTTCCCATTGACCCTCTACAAAAGGGGCTCAAACCCCACCACCAATCCAAGCCAACTAAGGGTTCCCTGAGAGTTTGAAGCATAGGTGTCCATTTTCGGTTAGTTTGGTTGAAACTGGCAGGAACACCCAATTGGGAGAGACAAACTGAGGAGAGGCATTCTCGACATCCTCTTCAGAATCCTTCTAAGAAATCTACTTGGGTAGGGAGGGGAACCGCAAGAGGTTTACCGGTCCTCTCACCGACGAATCGGAATCCCCTTAAAGGGAGAGCGGTGTTCCAGCAACCCAAAGTCAGGTTCTTTGCCATCAGGAGGGTAGTTGACTTGCCCACGGTCCATTTGCGAGCTGACTCACTAACTTTCCCTTGTTCTTTACGGGAACCGCATATTTTAACCGGGGCTCACAAGGGTAGAAGATTGGCTTGGAGTTCTGCATTTTCCCTCTTTTTGGGAATGATCAAAACAATCAGCAAACTCACCCAAGGGCACAACATGCGAAGCAACTCCAGAAGCAAAACCAGCAAAATTATCAAAGTACCGCAGACACAAGAAAACTGCAGAAAGGAGACTGGGGAGGCTGCCAGATGTCTTAGGGAAACTGTGGGATACTTCGCGAAACTGGGAAGAAGGAAGGACGACAGCCAAGCGGAAACAAGGGTGGGGGAACCATGAAAATATGGGGCAAACAAAGCCCAAAACCAGCCGCAGAAAGACAAGTACTGGGGGAGAGCTGGTCTTAGCTCCAAAAACAAACCACCCAGTCGAGTCCTGGGGTACGAGGGGTCGACGCTTGCTTGTCTGATACGGGGGGCCGACGCTTGCTTGTCTGAGCTGGAAACCACAGAGAAAAGGCGTCGCGTCGCCGGGAAAGCTCGCTTCTACAGTGACTCCCCTGCAAACACTTGTGACTTCACCTTTCTCTCCTGACCTCCGCATGTGGCGGAGCGTCCCTGTCTTCCGCTCGTGACATTTTGGGAGAGCAGACGCATGCAGAGCGGAGGCACCTCAGCTTCCTGGGCGCCGCGGGGCAAGACGCCCTGGGCGCGGTTGAGGCGATGCGTGCGGAGCTTCGCCCGGGGCAGCAGTGCCAGGAGCTTCGGCCGGACCTGGGACCTTGGGGGCAGGGGAAGGGGGGGAGGGGTCGGGGTGGTGGGCTTCTGGGTTCGCCGCCCAACATATGTAACACATATATTATAGTATGACTTTTGAAAGTGTTTGTCAACATATGGGGACGCCCAACAATGGTGGCTTTGGTTTCTTTTCTGGCTTCCCTTTACACCAACCTGAGGGCACCCCCGAAACAACTCAAAGGATCCAACTCCCTCTCCGCTATAAGATTCTGAGACTGACTGAACAAGACACAGAATCTGAATCTACATATTTTGGCGTACCATGTTGGACCACGATGCCCCTGGTTTCCTCTCAAGTAGTAAGGTCTTAGGCCCTGACGAGGAGGGCTTCTGCAGGATCTGGACATTTTGTTGCCTCTTCGGGCAAGGGGAGAAAGGAATACCCATATCTGAAATGCTGTTGAAATTTCGACGCGCGCCTGGCAGAAGATGCTTGACGTGGGGAGTATGAGACACACACCTCTGCTGGTTCAGCCCAGTTCAGTAAGCTGCCGCTCGCTTTTCTTGTTCCGCTGGTTGCCCAAGAAATGGCCCATGTTTGTCCATAGGGACCGCCCTCGGAAAATGGCCGGTGGACACGGCTCACGTGAAAATGATATCCGGAATGGCTTTTGCAACGCAAGTTCAAAACCCACAACACCTGTTCCGCGCCAATTCAAGTTCACCCCGTTTGCTTCAAAACGACACAGCGAAGCCGTGGGGGTTCGATCTCGCTGAGATCGTGGGCTTGCAGAAGGCGGTGGAGCTGAATGGCCTTGAGGCCAGTCTCCCGTGAAGGAGGGCAAAGGATCCCCAAAATGGCTCCCCACAGCCCACGTTGTTCCTTTTAGACTCCCTTTACACCAAACTGAGGGTGCCTGGGTGTTCTCATTGAGTGATGGGTTTTGTAAGGTGTTCAAAGGATGCCAAAAGGAAACCAGCATTTTGGGGGGCCACTGGATATTTTGATACAGACCCGTATGAGGTAAACGAAGTGTTTTGTACCAGCCCTGTTCAGGTTGAAACCCCCAAAACAACCACCAGCAAGGTCATTTTGGTTCTCGCCAATCGTGATTCAGGTGTTATGGGCGACATGAGCAGATATTTGCCCCCAAAGTGCAGATTCTTGGACCCCATCCAGAATGAGATTCTCTCAATTTTACGCACTCATAGAACATGGATGGCATCCCAAGACCGGTTTGGGGGGTTGGAGGCCAAGGCTTGGGACAGCTTCGATGTAGGTCCCGAGGTTCACCCTGGCGAAACCCAAGGGGCGAACCGTTCCCGTTCATCCTCGTTGGGCCTGGAAGCGATTGGATCGGGAAAGGCAAATGCCGGCCATGCCCCCAGATCAAAAGGACTATAGTCTATCGTCGTTTTGGCAGGGACGTCTGGGTTTCCCCACAAAAACCAGGGGGCTCACTGATTTTCCCATGTCCTCTGGGACTAAGCATGTCATTTTGACCATGGCTCATGTTCCTGCAGGCGGTTGTGCGTCGGAACTTGGTACCTTTTCCGAGATGGCCGGTTTCCGCGTGGCCGACACAACAAGAAGCGAAGGGCAGACTCTGCTTCTCACGAGCGGATCCCCCGAATCAACCCCGCCAGGTTGAGGTGTGGGCTATGCCTCTATGCCCCTATGATTCAACCCAAAATACCCAAAGGTTCGCGTTTCCTGGGTTCCCCCTACTATCAGAGTTTCCAAGAATGCCAGGCCACGGTGATTGAGGAAGAGGCTTGGGCTTTGAGTGCGGGCTGTGGCATGGCTTCTTTTCGCCAAGTTGGAAGATGGGTACCCGGACCTATGGATTTATGATGGGTGCCTGGGTTTTTGCACAATTTGAATAAGGTGTCGCCGTCCCATTGCAAAATGGGGGAGATTGGAAGTTGCCCCTCAGATGCTGCTGTCCTTGGTCTGAGCGATATCCTGCAAACTTGAGACTCGAGGCCCTTCTGCAGCGCAACATGCACCTTTACCTTTTGCCAATGCGCCCCTGCAGCCGGGGAAGCAGTGAAGCGAATCCATGTGAAGCTGTAAATTGATGGCGAAGATATTGGAGAGGCATTTGTTTCGCTTCGGGGTCTTAGACATTCTGATAACGAAGGTTTCCAGGGGTCAGCTTGACA